TCTCCAAGCTTGGAAAAAATCACAGGTGCCAATTAAGCTACCAGCAGAAGGAAAAGGAGAACACAAATAGGCCGCTTCGCAAGAGTCCAACAACTTTAACCACATCACAGATGCCAATTTGAAGACAAAAAGAAAGCAGAAACCAAAAGACACAAGCTCACACTGTGATCTTTTTGCATTGAGCATTCAAAAAAGTCTTTCATCTCAGTAAAGTCCAATACTGGAGCTCCACAAATATTATGGTAATATTCTAATCACTGTGGCGGAGAAATGAAATTACAGCAAACAACCTCTTAAAGCACTCACAAGACCACGACTTGATTATGTTTCAAAGAGTCCTCCATTACAGTAAGTCTAAGACTGGATCTCTACCCCCAAACGCAGTCATCACAAGTTGAAATTTATACATAGATCTAAAGCCATGGATGAGCAGTTGTGTGTAGTCATCAGCTTGCCCCATATAAACGTTCTCTTCCCCTTGGGTGCGCCAGCCCCCAAACCCCCAAATCAATCAAATTTCTCTATTAAAACATGTGAAGCAATTTAGAACATAATGTTGTCTCAGGCCGAATTGACAAAATCCCCCTTCCCCCTGAAATAGGATGCCGTTGCTCCCCTTGGGTCCCTAAAGCTACGCCAATGTCTGTGAGAAGGTTGTTAAAGGGAATGTACATCATTGGCTTTCGCTGTAATTTTCAGAAATGAACTAGTTGAGGGGTAGTATAATAGAACAAAATATTGTTACACTGACATGTTTGAAGTTTTGTGTCCGAAAATGCTTGAAAAACCAAGAAAAACAAAAATGTTCAAGTAGTCTGGTTCCCTGACTTCACTAAAAATGAAAAATGCATACAAAAATGCCATTTTCTTGAAAATGACTTCACACCAGGTGCCCTAATTTTACAGGATGCTTTAGACTGTCATTTACCAACATCCTAGTAAGGTACTTCGTAAAAACTTGGTAGTTTTATTTTTCGATGTTTGCAAATGTTGTATTTTCCCCTTTAACACACGAGGTACAATCTTCAAGCTCACTGCTGCGTATCTGATTGACCATGGACTGGCCACGGACTAACAACTCTGCATATTTATCAATTGTAATTTGTAATTTGAGGACTCACCCGATTAAGGCTGTACAGTTCCTCCAGATTGGCTTGCATCTCCTCACACCGCTTAGCTTTCTAGGGAACCAGACCAAAAGACATGAAATTGTTTTTTAAAGCTATAGTCCATCATTTGCAGCCATCCGAAAAAGTAACTGGCGTATTATTGTTGAAAAACATACTTGGTTGAAAGATAATAAGTGGACTAAACTCCCTGTGAAGTTAACCTTTCTGGCAAGTTATCATTTTGAAGTAATCAACGAAAGCAGGCCTTCCAACAGTGCGTCGTAAGAAAATTTAAATTAGTAGTTCGTTTTGCTATTTGTTGCAGCGCGCGCAAGCATTGGCATGATGCACAGGCCGGCGCGGTTGCTATAATTCATCGGATCAGTGCACGACATCGCGTATAGCTGCAATTCAAAACAATTCAAAACATGATTCAGCAATTTTTGATTTCAAATTGAGATCCTAGAATGCTGTTTTTCTTGGAATATACAGCTGAAGCTGAGTTGAAACTTCATCAGGTTAGTTGTTCAGTATCCTTCATTAGATTTTGAACACTTTTGTTGCTTCAAACGAACAAAATGCACAAATTACAAATGATGGACTATATCTTTAAGCCATGGAAGGTTATCAAAAACGAGATCATGTTGGATTTTGCCATGCATCAAACGAGCACATTATATGACTGAAAGTTCTTGTTTTTACAGGCCTATATTTCTAACTAACTCTGGCAACTCTTGAATAAGTTTAATATGAGAGATGGTTTAAACACATGGTTTAGAGCACCTTTATGTCAAAAAATTACAGGTAGGAATGATTTAATGGCAATGTTGGAGTTTGCACATCTGGCCTTCATGATAATTGAATGTTAAAGATTGTGTTGCCAAAAAAAAAAGAAGATTGAAAATGTGTCTGCTGCACCTGCTACAAGCATTTTAGTTTTTGACAGCTTCTGTCTATTTACTTGTATGTTCACAGAAGGATTTCTCGGTTTGTTCCCCCCCCCAAAAAAAAATCAATGAATTCAAAATTGTCTCACAAAAAGCGATTTAAGTTGGGATTCTTTTAGTAAACCATTACTTCCCTACTTTTGTTCTTTGTTTCAACTGAAACTTAAATTCCATAGCATTTGACTTGTGGGGCATTGATGAGATGAGATTTCTAAATACTGAAATCTTTTACTCTGTAGCATTTTACTCGTGGGGTATTGAGATTTCTAAAGACTCTGTGGTTCCACTGTCCCTTTTGTTTGTATCGGTCCCTTTAGGCCATATCGATGGGCGCATGGAATGTCGTTAGGGTGAAAAATGGTCAAATTCAGGTTTTTCGGTTAATCAATAGAGCATTTAAAATCTTTCGTTTGGTGCACATATTGCCTCATTCTGACATATTTAACAGAATAAAATTGACGGAAGGAGGTTTTTCATTATTTTTCCCCGGCATAAGGACGTTAGCATGTTTTCAATTGCTTACTAATGTAGCAAAGCAGTGTTCCCACCGCATGGCAAATTTACGTCCCACTGAAGTGCGGAGGTAAAGCAAAGTTTATTTCCCGCAGGAGGTCGTTATGAATTAGCATGCCGCTTAAGCGCATATTTAAGGCAGGATGAGTTCCCGGCAAAAGGTTAACATAAAAATGAAAATAACTTTAAAATTAACTAATATTTTGAAATAAAAATTCAGAATGTTATTTGAATTATTAACAAATTTCATCATTCAAAATTCCAGGCTTATGTAATTTTCCATTTAGAAATGGGAGCACAAAAACCTTTAAACTTGATTTTTGCGTGCCTCTGCTGCTAACCTTTTCCTTGGCACATGACAATATAAACATGTACCAGAGGTACGCTGTCACTAAATTTTCCTACAACCACTAGGGTTTCATGTGTGCCACATGGGCGTGAACTTGACCACATGAGCGTGAACTTGGCCACATGGGCGTGAACTTGGCCACATGGGCGTGAACTTGGCCACATGGGCGTGAACTTGGCCACATGGGCGTGAACTTGGCCACATGGGCGTGAACTTGGCCACATGGGCGTGAACTTGACCACATGGACGTGAACTTGGCCACATGGGCATGAACTTGACCACATGGGCGTGAACCTGACCACATGGGCGTGAACTTGACCACATGGGCGTGAACTTGACCACATGGACATGCACTTGGCGCCATGGGCGTTGCCAGGTTTTTTTGTGGGGGGGGGGCAAAAGCACATTTTGCCCCCAAATCCTTGTTCATGTACTTGTTATAGCATATTCTCAATTTATCATTTTTTCGAGGGTGGGCGGGGGACATTTACCCACCCCCATTGACACCCCTGCAGATGCCCATTTAGTTACATGTGTATAAATTAATAGCAAATATGACTTCAAACCTTTTTTTCTTTTTCTTATTTTCTTTATTTTATTTGTTTATTTTTTTTGTTGCTTTTCCGAGGGGAGGGGGGGGGGGGGGGCTAGCACATCCTGGCGACGCCCAAGCTTGGCGCCACCCCAGGACTAGTCAATGGACCCCATGCACAAATACTTTCTCAAAGGTCACAGAGGGAGAGTTGGTGGGGAGACCATTAGGAGAGACATTCAAACGCATTGTTGATGACACCTGATGCATGCTCACGCGAAGACGCTCTGGGTTTGTGTATAATCGGAATTATGTTAGTTGTGAGTATTTTGCGTAATACATGCATAAACTGGTACATGCATAGGGCGTGTTCCTCCCACTGGGGCTATCAAAAGTGGTCAATAAGCACCACCTTCTGTTAACGCAAAGAGTCTATTCGAAAATCAGTGAAGAAAATAGTAACGAGGTAAGAAAAATCTGTGAACACATCCAAGGCAAACAATAGGACCCTAGCTATCTTGTACCTCTGTGAGTTCAGTATTCTTGACCTCAAGATGTGCTTCACTCTCCGCACTCCGATCCTGCATTTCAATAAGAAAGAAAAAGACTTCAAAAGTACACACAGCTCAAATCCGCATTCAACTTAATTGGCTTGGGCCAGCAGTAAACCCAATTGTCTATAGGAAGCACTTTCAGTCACCTATTCAGATGCGGCCTGTGATGCTCATGCAATAGGTTAAACAGAACCACCTGAATTTCTTGAGCACTAGTTTTTGATACGTAAAGTAGATTAGTAATACCCCCATCACACCAAACTAGTTCTCACTATGTTCTTAAAAATGTTGCCGAACGGGCTCAAACTGTGTGCGAACGGAGTGGATGTAGTAGCAACTTATTACTGTCTTTTACGAACTTCATGGACGTGCTCGGACGGGAAGGGTGCTCCAGAACTTCGAGCCTGCTCAAAATTTTCTGGCGGCCATTCCGTTCTGCAATTAGACGGAGTGACAACATACTCAAAACGAGATGGACGTACTACGAATGGAAATGCCGTACTTCGATCCTACTAGGAAGGTATTACGACATGGTGCAGTTGGGCATCAATTGCAGTGCGTGTGCATGTTTACATCTTGAAGCGGTGAACTCGAATGAGGACTGGCAACAACGGACGGGGTAGGTCGTTTTGAGAACTACTTTGGTGTGAAGGAGCTATAAAAGAGAGGCAGTGAGCACCATTTCCTAAGTACAGAAATGCTTGTGCTCACTTCTGTGCAAAGACAGTTTAGGTTTGTGCAAATTGTCAGATAATTGGTCATGCTCATGCAATATGCACACAGACTTCTGCACACATGCACTGTGTCTCACGCACTGGCTCTTGTAAATGAGCAAACAGTGCAATGAAACTACTGTTGCTGCCCGCAATTTACATACACACTTGTAGCCAATCACAAATTCAACATTGAAATAAATGTCAACAGATCTTATTAGTAATAAACTGTGTTTTAGTTCACTCTAACAAATTATTTGTGGGTAGAGTAAAGTCAAGTCTGTCACAAGCCCATATGGCCAATCAGGCTGTCGTTTCTCTCCTGTTTCCAGGCATGCGACTGGGGATTTAGAAAAAAAATAGGAAATTCCAAACCACACAAGACTTTGTACAGTGTTTTTCAATTTGTCATGGCATTCATGAGAACTAAAAAACGAGGAATCAGCGGATAACTGGGTTTCAGTTGCGTAAAACGACCGAGGATATTTCTGTTCCCCCTGGATGGGATGCCAGTCCATCGCAGGTTACTCCCCAACTAATGCCGGTACCCATTCATACTCCTGGGTGGAGAGACGCAAGCAGGGGTGAAGTGGCTTGCCCAAGGCCACAACATATGACCAGCAGCTGAATTCAAACCCCTGACCTTCTGATCACGAGTCTCAAACCCTAACCACTAGGCCACACACACTCCCAGACAAATTATTGTGGGTAATTCCCCTTAAGATAATCCGATGAGGATTTTGTACCTTATATTCCTGCAGGACTGTCTGCAATCTTCGGTGTTCCTCCTGCATTGAATCTGCCTCCGCTAAGGAAATACTCAGCTGTTCAATCAATCAACCAAAAAATTCACTGTTGTAAGATGGAATTTTGTCTCAGGCAGAGGTGAATTGTAATAAGGGGTTTTGCCCTTCACAAATGTAATATTATTAGTACTTTCTACTCTGTGCCAAAAAAAAAATTAACAAAAATTTAAAAAATCATCACACACTGGTTTATTCCTATGATCTGACTTTTTAAGCTTTTCATAAAAGGTACAAAACTCTGTGTACAACAAAATGTAGTGCACAGGGACTCCTTTTGACATACTACGACAGGCATCATTTGGTTGACAAAATTCTTTGTTCCAAAAGGTCAATAGTGGATAATTTGTGTTAATCAAAAGAGAGATTACACCTTCAACTGCATCCAAAAGTATTGCAGCAGTCTCTAATACTGGTGGTGGGGGGGGGGGGGGGTGTTCGGTGGTGGAGGGGAGGGGGGGGGGTTTGGTGAGGGCATTTGGGGGTAATACACCTCTGAAATTGCTTAGCACGGATATGTAAATTGAAGAAACCTGGTAAGTGATTAAACAAAAACAAAAAAGGTGGACAAATGCATTAGGTTCAGCCTACCTTCTCTTGCACTGCTTGCAATTTGGTCTCCACAGCTTTTCTCTTGTTAGCCTGAAATTCAAAATATAGAACAGTCATCAATCATTACTGACAACAAGAATAAAACAAAAATGCAGGTTTTTTTTAGTGTTTAATTCAACCTCCTTTGAATCCTCTGTATTTTTGGCTCATGATTCTTAATATACATAATTTGTCTCTTTTTTTTTACCTCTGCCTGCAGGTTGACCAATTTTTCATCAAGAATACGTTTGTCTCTTTCCTATGAAAAACAAATGCAAGAAAATTTGATAAAATAAAACCCTTGAAATGTATATTTACAGGACAAATGCTACCAAGACTTATTGAATGACAAGAAATTCAAAACACACTTTAGAAAACTTGCAAGACATGCCGAGTTCATGAGAAGAAACAATTACAAATCTTTATGTCGACTCGCACTCTTGAGCCTTAGCTCAGGGTTTACTCACAAATCTTGGGCACTATTGCAAAATGTGAGGCGTACTTTCTGGCAAAATGAGATGGAACTGGGCTCAGGCCATAGTGGAGAAAAAATGCAAAAAACAAATGGGATGATTTTTTACAGATTTCAGATTTATTGATTTTTGTAATCTTTGATATGTCTACAACACACATTTTAAAGAAATAGTATGAGAATCATGGAATAAAAGTGTGTTTATGGAAAACAATTGGCATCTTTCATTTTACGACAACAAAACTTGAAAGTTTAAAGACCTTTTCCTCAGTATTTACTTTTTTGACATGTCAAGAAATGCAAACTTTAATCAGAAATAACTTGTCAACGGAATGTCCAACTGAAGTGCAACAAACAGTATTGTAAGGACTGTATTCTCTTTCCCAATACCCGCAAACCCTCATTTCGACCCCTGAAAGGTGTGCGACTTCAGCAAATTTCTTCAAGTCCACTGTCAGTGATACTTTTAACCGTGGAGGTGTTAACTATTAGCAGCTTTCTTGTCACAGGGCCAATGTTGATGCGTTTTTCCTTGGAATTATTTGAACAGATGTGTTGAACTTTGAAAAAAAAAATATCAGACTATGAAACGAGGAAAGTAAACATTCTTGGTAAGAAGGAAATCGGTTGCTTAGCAAAAATAGTCTCGGTAACAAGACTCGGAAGGTTGCTGTGTTTGTTTAAAAGGCCAATTAAAAAAAAAGCCTAGTTTGGTGTTAACAGGTGAATTCACATGTCCCTGTACGCACAATCATACTTTTCCTTGTTTTACATGTGGATTTAATTATTTTGGTTTTAAAGGTACACTGCGCATTTTGGAAGGAGCACTGCCGGAAAAACATTTGCCGGAAAAACTAGCAAAGCACATTTAAATGTACTTGTTTAAAACTAGCCAAGCACATTTAAATGTAGGCCCTACTTGTTTAAAACTAGCCAAGCACATTTAAATGTACTTGTTCAAAACTAGCCAAGCACATTTAAATGTACTTGTTTAAAACCAGCCAAGCACATTTAAATGTACTCGTTTAAAACTAGCCAAGCACATTTAAATGTAGGCCCTACTTGTTTAAAACCAGCCAAGCACAAATGTACTCGTTTAAAACTAGCCAAGCACATTTAAATGTAGGCCCTACTTGTTTAAAACTAGCCAAGCACATTTAAATGTACTTGTTTAAAACTTGCCAAGCACATTTAAATGTACTCGTTTAAAACTAGCCAAGCACATTTAAATGTACTCGTTTAAAACCAGCCAAGCACATTTAAATGTACTCGTTTAAAACCAGCCAAGCACATTTAAATGTAGGCCCTACTTGTTTAAAACTAGCCAAGCACATTTAAATGTACTTGTTTAAAACCAGCCAAGCACATTATTAATTTCCAATCATAAATACCTTTTCGGTCAAAAAGTCAAAATAAGAGGGCTAAAATTGACAAAATTCCAACGATTTTCTTCAACAGTTTTACCTCCTATGGTATGTGCCTCGCAAGTGTAATGCTAAACATCTCCTTATATGGAGATTGGCGCGTGCGACGCGTACTGCGCGATGTGGCGCAGATTGCAGCGGTGTTTTCCGGCTGCTTAAAACAACCCACGTGACTGGCTCTCAACCAATAGGAATGGGTATACTGTCTCAGGTATTTATGAATGACATTTAATATCCCATTATTTAAGTTCACTGGAAAAAAGGTTGAATTCAGTTGTATCTTTACAGGGTAGTAACAACAATTTTTTTTCCTATTGAAAACATGAATTTTGTAATAAATGTTTTGCACTGTCTTCGGAGGGAATGAATACACACAAGAAGGAAGGCGTAAAAACTGCTGAACAGGCCTCCGATTTGTACATGTAGGTCCAGTTGTGTCCACAAAACAGAAGTAAATAGGGCTGTCCCGAATATACCAAATATATTCAAGTATTTGATCATCAACTGAATATTCAAATAGCTTTTTGCTGGTTTGAGCATTTGCAAAAAAAAAAAAAAATATGCACGTTCACACACGACTGTGATGTCATTTTATCCTAAAGTTTGGGGTGCTTTATTGTCAGGTGCCACTGTTTTTTGTTAACGGTAACTTTTTTTTCCACAGCGGTTGATTGTTCCATTCCTTTTAGCAGGTTAAGGCCCTCGACAGTTACAAAATGATACTGCAGAAAACTCCAGTGGCCCATATCGATCACCACATGCAACTTTTAACTGGCGCGCTCTACGTGCAAATCTTGACCGCAGTTGCAGTTACAGCTGGCAGTTTGAAATATCCGAATATTCTGTCAAACACAGTTTCGAATACTCAAATACTAACTTATTCGAAAATGGACAGCCCTAGCAGCAAATAAAATTGCAAGGTGCCAGAGATTAGTATTTTACAAACACTTGAAACTATCAGGGCTTCACGTACCAGTTGTGCATGTTTCCTGTGCCATTCCTTGTTGGCTGTCTTCAATTCTTCATTTTCATCTCGGATAGATTGGCTCCGGTGCCACGCTTGCTGCAAGCTAGGGTAACAGAGCATAAAAACGAAAGCTCAAATACATTTTTAAAACTAAAATGCAGAAATTGTTTGGGCTTTGCATGGTGGAGAGTACATATGGCATAAGTGTCCCATTCACAAAAGGTGCACAAATAAAATTTATTTGTGCACCTCAGAATTTGTGGAAGGTCAAAAATAGCTTCTTTTGTTTAAAAGCCCATTGAGTGCCCCCCTCCAGAGATAGGGGCCCCCTCATTTAATGAGGGGGCCCCTATCTCTGGAGGGGGGGCACTCAATGGGCTTTTAAACAAAAGAAGCTATTTTTGACCTTCCACAAATTCTGAGGGGAAGGGGCACAAGGGGGCACAGGCCTCGAGTTGGGGGGGGGGGGGTGCCGCCTATGCTGCCCCTATCTTTGCCACTGGAGAGTACAACTTGGGAAAAGTTTGTGGATACACCATGTGAAGTGACTAACTCTATTAGAAATGGTTCTGAGAAGAACCAGAGGTGAAGCAAATTAATATTCTGGTCAGTACGCTCTGCCAATTATCATTCTCCTAATGATACTAACAGAACTAAGACATCAAGTCAATACCGCTATTCTCAAGTTAATGTCATGGAGTTATTCACTTCACATTTGTAACTTTCAAGTCAATTAACGGTAGAGTATAACACCTACAGCTATCCAAAAAGTAACTGACAAAATTATTGTTGAAAGTTTTAAGATAGTAATGGCACTAAAGTCCCTGTGAAATTATTCTTTCTGACTTGCTGTCATTTTGAAGAAAGCAATAAAAGAAGGCTATTTCCAAAGATGCGTCAAGTGACACATTTTTGGAAATTTCCGTTACTAGTTGATTTGTAATTTGGTGAATCCGTGAACGGGTGCGGGCAAGCGTTGACACGACTCACACGCGTGAGCGGTTGCTATTATTTGTCAGGTCAGTGCGTGACATGGCGTAGCTGCAATCGACTGAATGAGAACGTGTCCTGGACGCTGATTTCAGGCGCAATTCAAAACATGACTTGGCAACTTTTGAATTGAAACCGAGATCATAGAATATTGTTTTGTCAGAATATACAGCTTTCACAAAGCTAAAACTTCATCAGGTTAGTTGATAAGCACTCCTCTTAAGATTTGGAGCACTTTTGTTGCTCCAAACAAAAAAGATGCACAAATGACAAATGATCTACCCTTCCTTTAAAGTGCTTTAAATATTGAAAACTATTCTGTTTACCCATCTTACTTGAAACACATATTAAGAGCAAATTTCTTTTTTAGCCGAGTAAAAAATTTGCTACTTCTGATGTAACTCCACACTTCTTTGCTTCACACATTGCTATCTTGTTAAGTTACCTTTTTAGATTCTACATGGTGGGGGGGGGGGGGGTTTACAGGGAAGGGGCGGGGCTTATGGTGACCCCCCTTTTACCTTTTCAGCTCTCCTTTGAGTGTGTCAATCTGTGACATCAGTTGTTCGTTGGACTCATCCGAGGTCTCAATCTGCACCTGCAGCTTCATGTTGTGCTCTGTCAGTTTGCGGATCTGAAACTGCAGGTCCTCGATGCGGTTCTGCAAGTCCCCCATATCACTGTCAAACGGACCAACCAACAAAATTTCAAATTTCTGCCGTTTTGATATCTTTTATGTGTATGTAACTACAAGAAAGTATGGCATAACCGAAAACATTTCTTGTACAAAGCAAACTGAGTTATCATGATATTACCAGAAAGAGTCACTTCAATTGATCAATGGAATTACTCTTTCAAAAAAGAATGGGACAAGCCTCACAATGACAGAACTGATTATTAACTAGTGTACATGATAAACTTTGGTTAATTTGGAACAAGAAACTTTCAAATACTTAACCTGGAAAACTAAACATTACTTAAATGTAAGCATGCTAAAATCATAATGCAATTTGTGCCTCACTCAGGAATCTGGATCTGGAGCGTTATACTCCAACAAAACAGCTACCCACATCAAATCACTGTTTGACCTATGACATTTTGATGACCGAATTGTATCATACCAAATTTTTGCTCACTAGTCAACAAACAAGGCATAAACCTCTCCAATACCAAATTTTCGCTCACTAGTCAACAAACAAGGCACAAACCACTCCAAACTTCCAACTTTCAGTAAAAAAACTAGAAGTTCTGACTTTATATTTACCAAGCATTGTATTGTCTGATAGACACAGATATGTACCATAAGTATGCACGCACACACTACAAATTACACACAGACGCGTGCTGAAAATAAAACCTCACATGCACAGCTGATCAAGTCTCATTCCAACAAAACTAATCCCTCAACAGTCACGTCCACAAACAGCCTGTCAAGTTTTCTCCCTGCTTACCAACGCCATGAAATGTACAATAAAAAAACACGCGCACATTTACGTGTTTTGCGTACTTACGGTGCTGAGTCGCCGCCCTCTGCCTCCAGACTCCCATAGCTGCATGCGGACAAATCCAGCGAGGAATCCAACAGGCCTGGGTACATGAGAACAGTCAATGACATAGACAGAGCGTGGGATATCACGAGGGGGGGCCGTAAGTGATTGGGAACAGGAAATTGGGACTTCCTTTCTACAGGAGACTGTTGGCATATCTGGACAAGGCTCTTACAAGAAAATCTGTGTTGTGGTTTTTTTTTTTATTGGGAAGGGGGGGTCAGTCCAGGGCAGACAGCTGTGCCAAACATTACCACATGTGGGTCAAATGTGGTTCTGATGGGGGGAAGGTGCTGGTGAACGAATTTGATGTGTATGGCTGGGTTTTTTTAATTGGAGTATAAAAAGAAATGTCTGGAAAAAAAAACACTGAATAAATTTAATTATCAAAACAAAATCGAAAGATGGAAGATTATGAAACAAAAATGACAGGTTACTTGTTAACAGATTGGCAAGAGACTCAGCTAGACGAGAATTCATCCAGACAAAAGACAACAAGTATGTGACATTGTCAACAGATAAGCATGGTACAAGAAATCAATTATATCTGTTTCATATCCAAAAACTTTCAAGTATAAAATGATATGATGAGTGGATGTAAAATTTCTGTGAACACAGCAGACAATATAGTATTGAGAACACAGTCAATGAACTCTTAAACACTCTTAGAGTCTTTCTTCTTTCTTACCGCTAAAGAGACGTGAGGTTTCTGTATTTCTTGTTTTCCAATGCGCCCTGGTTTCACTCAGAGGTGTAGAAACTGCGAAAATGCAAAGAAATGTTCAAATTTAATGTCAAAAACCTGCATATCAATACACTTAGCTTTGTAAAGTGAATGAAATCAGTGTATTCTTTTGATACAAATGTCTGTAAGTTTCTGTTTTGAATTTTGAGATTAAATTATAAATGCAACAACATTTTGAAAGTAAAATATGTTGAACATATTTTTGAATTAATAATTTTTTTTATTTTATTTTATTTCAGCCACATCCACCTGCGCAAGCCTAATAACAGGATGGATAATGAGAATATAGGCCTAATGAGAAGAAATGACAGTTTTTAGAGGTGGGAGGAAAAGCCCAGAGGAATATTCTGAGGAAAACCCACGGAATCAGGTAGGGACTGAAAACCCAATCCACATATTGGCCCGGGCGGGATTCGAACCCGGGTCACAGCGGTGGAAGGCGAGGAAAGTACCGCTACGCCAACCTGACTCCCCATAATGCTTATAAATGCTTATAAATAACTTTGAGTGTTTTTTTTCAAAAGCTGAATGCAAAGGAGCTGGCCATGTTCATTCCCTGTTGACTACTGGTAACACCAAAAAATAATTGGCCCAAAAGTTGCAAATTACAAGTGTCGATGCAATGAATTTATGCAACAAGGTATTGACCCCTGAAGTTGTAAAATGAGTTTTACAAACTCTGCAACTGGGGATGAAAACCAGGCCAGTGACCTACGGAAGAGGGTCACAACTTTGCCCTGTCTGTATCCCATCAAAAGGTTCATTGTTTGGCAACAAGGAAGCGTTGCCAAGTCTAAAACGGTAGCACGCGCAGTATGTGTCATCATGACGCACTGGAGCAATGTGACGCTGATTGTAGATATCTAGCGTATACCACATTAATTACCAAACTTCAAAATCAACTGCACCCGTGCGTCATCTGTTCCAGACTGCTGGTAAACTCCGGCTATTTCTGGCACGCATACCGCAAACTGGCTAGCAAGTAGAATTGAATCATCAAAAATTGAATCATCAAATGTTACTTTCATCTTTGCAATGGGTAAAGTCCATTCCACGAAACACATATATATATATCAAACTGCAGCTGTTCCACAGACTGTAGTTCAATAGTTAAAATGATAGCATGTATTTTTTAACTAATTCCTCCTGAAATGCATGTTTACCCTCTCCCCCCCCCCCCTTAAAATAATAATAAATACAGTCTTAATCTAAAAAAAAACGTGGTTCAATTTTTACATTGTTTAATGCCATTGAATCTTGAGCAAACAAATTTGAAGCCCAAACAGAATGTGTTTGAAAGTTTAACAGATCAGTGAATAATCTTCAATTAAACCACAAAGGCAAACTGACCAGGTTTGTTATTATATTTTTCGAAGTTGAACAAAGAAATTGACTGGATCGGGGCTTGAACCTGCCAACATAGGGCTGAACAGCTCAGTTGGTAGAGCACCGGAACGGTAATCTGGAGGTCGCAGGTTCAAACCCCGCTCCAGTCAATTTCTTTGTTCAACTTCGAAAATTATAATAACGAACCTGGTCAGCTTCCCTTTGTGGTTTATTATTTGAAGATTTGTAACAAAAAAAGCTGTATCCTCTTTGAATAATCCCTGTTTGGTATTTCCCAGGTTTGCAGCATTGCTGATGTTGCTAGCATCATAACTTTGGCTGTGATCACAGGCTAGATGACATATACAGGTTAATGGCTTCTGACTAGCGCCCCTTGAACAAAGACATCAATGACAAACTGGGGAACCGCCAATATAGGGCTGGACAGCTCAGTTGGAGCACCGGAATGGTATTCCGGAGGTCGCAGGCTCAAGCCCCGCTACAGTCGATTTCTTCTTTCTACTTTGAAGATTAGTGAATAGACAATACCTTTTTTGCCTGCCATAAAATGACAGTAGCCCAGAGAGGGCGTTTACATTACAAGCAATCACATCAGTTACAGCTCTGAGCAAGTAGAATCAAGCTAGGGCTATTGGTTGGCAAGTACTGGAATCCTTATTTTGAACCTATATGTACATTATGTACATGCTTATTTTTATGTATGAAAATCGCTAATCAAACTGCTGTGGAACATCACCAAATCTCACGGTTCTGGCTCTCTGCTGTACATTGCAATACGCATGATGGATAGTGATTATCAGTGATGCATCCTACCAGAAAGTTAATAAATTGCTCTAATAATAATGTGTATTTATAAAGCGCACATATCCACCAGCATTGGTGCTCAAGGTGCTACATCATTATTACCCTGCTCATTGAGCCAATGAATCATTCTAAATACCATCTCAGCTCCCTGGGGAGTATACAGCTCGATGCTGCCATTTCGGCGCTAAGCAGCTAAAATCAATCACAACAACCATCGCTGCCCTCATAAGTACCAAGTTCACTCCTGGGTGGGGAGAATTAAGTAATGAGTGACAAAGTGCCCAGCCCAAGGGCACACGCACCATGACCCCAGGCTGGACTCGAACCCACAACCTGCAGAATTACAGGCAGACAACATTCAATGCTGCAGACCACGAGGCCACGCCACTCCACTGCAATGAATACTAGTCTACCTATCATGGTTCTTGACTGAACTATAGCTGTATACTGTTGCAGCCGATAAGTTTTCAATCCAATATCACAATTAATGATTGGAACTCACCACTGCGAAGATACCCGGTACCTCCGTCTAGACTTCTAGTTTTCCAGTGAGGGGCGATTTCTGGCGTGGAAACTGCAGGGAAGGTATTGCCGCCACTCGTTCGGTCCTCCATGGCTCCGCTTAACTCGCCCTTCCTGGTGCACATGCATGCAAACAATGCAAGGACAAAATGAACATCTACTACTTTCTTATTGTACAGAGGATAAGCACAATTATAAAAGAGGGCCCTCTTCACAAAGATAAACTGAGTCAGTCATTCCTGGTATTGAGCACTGCTGTTGTTAATGATTATATCACAGACTTCCCAGGTCCACATGTGTAGAAGTCATGCTTGTTATCTAGAATACTCTAGCATGGCACTTCAGTTTGTGAGGTGTCAATCAGTCAGCTGGTGCACTTACAAAATGAACTGTGCACGAGGCATCAACCCGATGACGCAGGAACACAAGCCTTGGTTGGTTAGTCATTCTTGATTAACTTTCAGATTAGTGGCATGCAGGTTCTGACTTGAACAGCTCAATCCCAACTTATAACGTACCAGACATGCTTTAATCTCCAAAAAAAACCACGAAATTCAACTACTGCATGGGGCATATAACCTTCATGGCAAAGCTATGAAATTGGGCTAATTTGTGAACAAAAGCAGAATTTTATAAATTTGTCCCAACGGTCAAATACATGTAATAATAATAATAATGTGGGGCTTATACAGACTGTCTCAAAAAAAAATGAAACAATCGAAAACGATTTTTTTTCAATACTAAATCTCAACATAAGTAAGTCGTTTTGAGCATCACATTAAAGAAAAAAGACCAGGCTTTCCAATACTTTTTATATCATCTCATTTGCTTTTGTCAATCCAGAGATAACTCCAGTTTACGCGGAACACAAACATTTAGTTTGTTTCTTTTGCCAAGTTGCAATCTTTTGTGAGCTTCAAGACAGCATGGCACAGTACTCGAAACAACTCTGCCCATGCATAAAAGTGGCACAAAATCAATTTTGGTGTATCGCACTAAATTGATTATATCTCTGAATTGACAAAAGAAAATAAGATCAAACAAACACTATTGGAAAGCCCAGTCTTTGTTCTTTAATATTATGCCAAGTAAGAATGACTTATTTTGAAATTTCATATTTAACCAATTTTTTTTCTGATTGTACCATTTTTTTTTAGACAGGCTGTATAGGGCTTTATACCACAGGTCTCAACACGCTTTCACCAATTATTATTACCCCAGTTCATCGGGTTGTGAGACCATGTTTTTTTGCAGCAGCAGCAGCTCGAGTTCAGTGCATTCTAGTCTTTACCTTCACAGGTACCCATTTATACTCCTGGGTGGAGAGAGGCAAATGTAATAAAGTGTCTTGCCCAAGAACACAAGTACCATGTTCCCTGTCATGCACCACGGCACGGTGAATCCAACACTGTAACCATTGGATCACAATGCTCCACATTGTAACCACAAATCGGAATCAATGCAAATGGCTAGGAACTACATGTAGCTTCAATACGCACCCTTCTTAGAAAAGAGGGGCAACCAATTTTTCCACCGTTAAAAATATTGAGTTTTGCTTTTGTTTTGTTTTGTTATCAAATATTCAAATTAGGTTTTTGCCCTTCACCGACGTTTAAACACTGTATACTCAGTGTGTTACCTCCGGAGTGAAAGTTGGAAAAAAATCACTCGGGTGGGACTCGAGACTTTGATTTATATCACCCCGACGCAAAATTCCATCTTATAATTATAAAATATTCAAAATCGCCTTGGATTGCCTGTGCGAATAAAAAAAGGAGAATGACTTGCCTTTGCTTCTGCACATTCTTGACCCACTGGGCTATCCCGTTCTGGTACGTCGGGAGGTCAATCTCTAGATCCAGTCCTGTAGGATCCAGCTGCAATGCAAGCTCATCAATGTCCCTGGACTGGGATGACAAAAAAAGAAGGAATTTATAAACAAAAATAGTAGCAAATTTAGCCCCTTATCAAATGTGATATTGACATTGTATTTACAATTTATGGTGCTCAGGGCTCAATTGTATGGCTCCAGGTGCTAACCATGAAATTATGTGATTCTGTATTTATTTGTGCTTTCAGCACCTGTACATACAGAACATCTGCAAAATGAAGCGGAACTGCGTAGCACTGAAGAAAAGTATAAGTGATGAAAACAAAAGTTAAAGCAGTGCTCACCAGGAATTATTCTGGCTGAATTTTCGGCCCCACTGGGCCTTCGTCGGAGCTATGACCATGACAACATCGAACGCCCAGCGCTTGGAGATGGAACAATGCATCATCTACAAGCTTGGAACGCTCATGCCAGGCGGTTTGAATGTGGATTTTTCTGCATTCAAACAGTCATAGCTCCGACGAAGGCCCAGTGGGGCTGAAAATTCAGCCAGAATAATTCCTGGTGACCACTGCATTAACTTTTGTTTTCATCACTGATACAGAATATCTACACACATATGCACAATTCCTGGCTTACCGATGAAATAAACTAGTTTTTTTAAAGCAGAATTATCAACTGAAGTAAATTGCAGAATTTTCTTTTACTCTGGTTAACAGTGCCATAAATTTGGAACGAGGTACTTTCACCAAGTAATTTTGTATACCAGCACATGTACCGCTACGCCCGAATGAGCTTTATAGACAAGGTGCACTATGAGAGGTCATTATATTACGCATCAAAATGTCCCAAATCTGAAAAAAAATTCCATATCCGTGATCATCAAAAAATCTGATTTTTGACCAAAAAATCCAACTTCATGAAATTAAGTCAAATGTTCACAAAAGGTGGGTAGAGGCCAGAAATAAATCCCCGAGAGATTTCAGCTCCCTACAGTCAGGATCCAGGGAGAAAATAACCATTTTAGTTTTTTTCCCAAATGTCTCAAATCTGAAAAGTTTTCCATATCCGCGGTCATCAAAAAAACAGATTTTTGACCCAAAAATCAAACTTCACGAAATTACGTCAAATGTTCACTCAAGGTGGGGAGAGGCCAGAAATGAAATCCTGGGAGATTTCAGCTCCCTTCAGTCATGATCCAGGGAGAAAACAAACATTTTAGATTTTCACCAAAATGTCTCAAATCTGAAAAGGATTCCATATCCGCGGTCATCAAAAAAACTGATTTTTGACCCAAAAAATCCAACTTCACGAAATTGAGTAAAATGTTCACACAAGGTGGGTAGAGGCCAGAAATAAATCCCCGAGAGATTTCAGCTCCCTACAGTCAGGATCTAGGGAGAAAACAAACACTTTAGTTTTTTTTTCCAAATGTCTCAAATCTGAAAAGTTTTCCATATCCGCGGTCATCAAAAAAAATGATTTTTGACCCAAAAATTCAACTTCACGAAATTAAGTCAAATGTTCACAGAAGGTGGGTTGAGGCCAGCAATGAATTCCTGGGAGATTTAAGCTGACTACAGTCATGATCCCGGGAGAAAACCATCATTTTATATTTTTAACAAAGTGTCTCAAATCTGAAAAGATTTCCATATCCAATGTCATCAAAAAAGCTGATTTTTGACCAAAAAATCCAACTTCACGAAATTAAGTCAAATGTTCACAAAAGGTGGGTAGAGGCCAGAAATAAATCCCCGAGAGATTTCAGCTCCCTACAGTCAGGATCCAGGGAGAAAATAACCATTTTAGTTTTTTTCCCAATTGTCTCAAATCTGAAAAGTTTTCCATATCCGCGGTCATCAAAAAAACAGATTTTTGACCCAAAAATCAAACTTCACGAAATTAAGTCAAATGTTCACACAAGGTGGGGAGAGGCCAGAAATGAAATCCTGGGAGATTTAAGCTCACTACAGTCATGATCCAGGGAGAAAACAAACATTTTAGATTTTTACCAAAATGTCTCAAATCTGTAAAGATTTCCATATCCGCGGTCATCAAAAAAACTGATTTTTGACCAAAAAATCCAACTTCACGAAATTAAGTCAAATGTTCACAAAAGGTGGGTAGAAGCCAGGAATAAATCCCGAGAGATTTCAGCTCCCTACAGTCAGGATCCAGGGAGAAAACAAACATTTTAGTTTTTTTCCCAAATGTCTCAAATCTGAAAACTTTTCCATATCCAATGTCATCAAAAAAACAGATTTTTGACCCAAAAATCCAACTTCATGAAATTAAGTCAAATGTTCACACAAGGTGGGGAGAGGCCAGAAATGAATTCCTGGGAGATTTAAGCTCACTACAGTCATGATCCCGGGAGAAAACCATTATTTTAGATTTTTACCAAAATGTCTCAAATCTGAAAAGATTTCCATATCCGCGGTCATCAAAAAAACTGATTTTTGACCAAAAAATCCAACTTCACGAAATTAAGTCAAATGTTCACACAAGTTGGGTAGAGGCCAGAAATGAATTCCTGGGAGATTTAAGCTCACTACAGTCATGATCCAGGGAGAAAACTATTATTTTAGATTTTTACCAAAATGTCTCAAATCTGACAAGATTTCCATATTCGCGGTCATCAAAAAAACTTGTTTTTGACAAAAAAATCCAACTTCACGAAATTAAGTCAAATGTTCACACAAGGTGGGTAGAGCCCAGAAATAAATCCCCAAGAGATTTCAGCTCCCTACAGTCAGGATCCAGGGAGAAAACAAACATTTTAGATTTTTACCAAAATGTCCCAAATCTGAAAAAAAATTCCATATCCGTGATCATCAAAAAATCTGATGTTTGACCAAAAAATCCAACTTCACGAAATTAAGTCAAATGTTCACACAAGGTGGGTAGAGGCCAGTAATAAATCCCCAAGAGATTTCAGCTCCCTACAGTCAGGATCCAGGGAGGAAACAAACATTTTAGTTTTTTTTCCCAAATGTCCCAATTCTGAAATGTTTTCCATATCCTTTTGTTTTCATCACTTATACAGAATATCTACACGTAAATGCACAATTCCTAGCTTACCGATGAAATGAACTAATTTTTTTAAGTAGAATTATCAACTGCAGTAAATTGCAGACTTTTCTTTTGCTCTGGTAAAGAGTGCCATAAAATTGGAACGAGGTACTTTCACCAAGTAATTTTGTATACCAGCACATGTACCGCTATGCCCGGATGAGCTTTATAGACAAGGTGCACTATGAGAGGTTATGATATTACGCATCAAAATGTCCCAAATCTGAAAAAAAATTCCATATCCGTGATCATCAAAAAATCTGATTTTTGACCAAAAAATCTAACTTCACGAAATTAAGTCAAATGTTCACAAAAGGTGGGTAGAGGCACCCCTCCCCTATCAAAAAAAATTACTTCTATGATATCCCATTCCCAACTACCACTTTATTATAATAAATTAAAATAAATGTTAATGAACAACATGGTACATGAACACCGCCAAAAAAAAGAAGTCAACACTCAATGGAGGGGTCATAATTTTGAATCTGATCGACTTATGATAACGTCATTTATATAAACCTTTTGGGAGTGTGGTGTAGCTACATTTTGATACTCCGTTTGCTACCAAAGACTGTAAATTGTCCAACATTGACAACAGTTTATGAAAAATGATGCAGTTTGAAAAATTGCAAATTTAAAGAGTACGCAAGTGGAAATTGCTGGGTGATACTGAGAATGTTACACTGCCCGAAATGAATGGCAGGCACAGTGCTTGTATGCATGGGAGAACGCGAATTGAATTACCTGCGCTTTGTTCGGGCACTGTGCAGTCGATAGGGGCCAATTACAGGCATGTGTGGTTACGCTTAGCAATTTCTCCAAGCAAAATCTTTAAATTTGCAACTTTTCAAACTGCTTTGGAAATTTTCTTTACCCAAATGAAGATGAGCTTTAGAAAATATCGGGTTAGAAAACAAAAGTAGATATTTTTCACAACCTCCATATAAGACTTCAATAATTTCACATTCATGGGATTTTATATAAAGATTCAAATAACACCAACTGTCAAACAACTAGCCTGCATGCTCTTTTGAAAAAAAGAAAGAGTTTTAACGATTGCAATATAGGCCAAGTTCGCACAAGGACTATAGTTGACCAATGGTTAACTAACGTTTGCCCGAACTCTGTCTAGTCGACGGTGGTTGACTACGCTAGTCGACTATTTGGAACCAGCCTACTGGGGTTGGTTGCTTCGCTGGTAACCAATAGCCGCGCGCATTCATAATGCTAGAAGAGAGCCAGGATCCAGAAGTTTTGCGATGACATTTTGACCAGCGTTTGACTAGAGACGTTCGCACTTTGCTATTAGTGCGCAGGCGTAAGGTACGTCACAAATCAACCACTAGTCGACTAATGGTCCTTGCCCAAACTTGGCCAATGATGTACCATCCATCTAATAAAAGTTGGCTGTAGCTACTTCAACTTACAATGTACCTGTCAACAAATAGGCCCTACTGTTAGAAATCCGCATTTGACACTGTCGCTACTAATCAACACGCATAACTGACTGACGCTCTGCTGCTTGCAGAGTTCAACTCAATATTTTTATGGCTTTTATTCCGCAGGTCTAAATAAATGCCATCATATATGTATAATAAGCCCCCCGCAACACGTGCTTATCCCTAAATAAAATCTCTAACTCAAACACCATTGTGTGCAAGTCAGTGAAGCATTAAAAAACCTATTATGCAGTTTAAAGTGTTGATTAAATATCAATAACAATCAATCCAATGTCGTCAATGACCTGTATGCAAAGGATTGTACGGATTAGGACACCTCTATATCTTCACTCAGACTAGTATACAAATAATGAATGTTTGTGAGTGCAATGGAAATAATAATTTCATGAGGTGACAGATGAAATGTTCCATTTCACGAGGCGAAGCCGAGTGGAATGGAACATTTCATCCGTCACCGAATGAAATTATTCTTTCTATTGCACGAACGTAAAACATTCATTATTTGTTTTATATAACACCTGAATAAATCCTCGTCATCTGATTGGTTGACTTTTAATAGCCAATTTATTCAGGTTAAAAATTGTTTACAAGTTTGACAAGTTCAGAGTTATCATATTATGCAAACTGTTCAACAGGTTGAGAACTATAATATTCAATTTATCTCACCTTAAACTTTTCCATAAGTTTAGAACTCAAACAGTTCAATAAGTTCAGAACTTTTATTGCCAATTAAAACACCACAGAGCCACCTTCGGCAACATGTGCAGTGACAGTACAATGGTACTTCTAATCACAGTGCAATAGTACTACCATTGCACTGCGCGCTGCGCGCCACGCGCACGCCGTGCATTGGTACGAATAATTCAAGACATGTGATCAACGATCCACCAATCAGATGACGGGGATTTATTCAGGTGTTGTATAAAACAAACTATTCTATTTACTGTGTGTGCAATTTCTGAATATAGCGGGTGGACTGACCAATTGAGTGTTGTACTGCAAATTAATCTTGTTACTGGAGTTTATTAGCTGGAATAGAAAGCATTCAGATACACTTTTGTTTTCATCTAAAATATTTAATCGGAAGCTCAGTCAATTGCAAACAAAAGACACAACATATGTTCACAGACACGATTCTGTGATCCTGCACTCAATACGAAAGTGCTTATTAATTAAATGCCAATAACTTCCATTCTACGTTGTACGTAAGGCAAGTTCATACTTTAACTGAATTTGGCTTCATAGCATATTTTCAAGTTTGACAATTGAAATGTGTTTAACCTTTTCTAAAATTATCAGTGCCATTACTTGCCACAATGTCACAAATATTAATTCGTGTGTCACTTTCTCCAAGACTACCGGGTATGAACCAGCTTTCAGTGGAAAACAGACGGAATTAACAAAATGGCTCTTTGGAAATGGACATTTTACATGTAAACCTACAGTAGTTAATTAACAAATTAAAACAGCACAGAGTATGGACACAAGTATGATTTTTTTTTTTTCAAAGCAAACAGCTCAGTCAGGAAAGTTTAGGTACTAGTTTTTATGCTACCTTAATTAATGTAAAACTTTCCCAGGAAAATATGTGATAGTGTCTCTGTACCCAAATTTCAAACCTAAAATTTCATTTACATACATGTAAGTGTATTGAATTAAACATGCCTCCCATAACAGCGTGTAAACATACAAAGCTATTACAATCAAAAATGTTTTAATCAATTTGACTGTATTTCTGCAACGTCATAGTCTATTTTGAGAAATTGTATACTTATGCACATTCGTTTATATCTGATCTCTCTCCAAAAGGTTCTTAAATAAGCAAATCTAATCAACGAAGCGATAAATTTGTCAAATGTAAATTTAGATAATATGAAATAGATTTAAAATTTAAATATACTTAGTGCAAAATAATTACAGTTGAAAAATCTAAAAAAAATTCTTTAAAGCACTTTATCAAAAATAATTTGCATCCAGGATCCTTGTTTGACGAGTGACGTGTATTGACAACGGCTCCATAAATCTATTGTTGGCACTGTTTAACCAGGTGTCTGTGTTAGATTCATTCCCATCACAGTTAATCAGTCGGAAAAAATATTTGACACGAAAGAACAGGTCGCAACTCGTCCTGCGCAGTGTGGTGGTATTTGGGTGATGTGCAATGTGTGAAATTTTGCAATTCTGGGGGCCGAGAATTTGATACACATTCGACATGTTTTAAAACCGAAATGATATCTACGTTCATTTATTTAACAAATAGTTTTGAGCTCTAAATATAAAGGGGCCTACAGAAGATTATTTTTTAAAAGAAATTATGTTCTATTTTGGATAAGATTTTAAGGTTTGCATAGTGAAGATAGCAAAAAGATAAAGTTTGTAACAAATCTCGAAACTGTGAGTGTGTGTACTCTGCCCGATAGTCTCCTGACGATGGGCAGAGCATACTGTCTGAAACATTGAGTTTCCCCGGTTCTTTTCAGAACCTCACAAACTCATGAAATAGATCGGTTAAAGCTATAGTCCATCATTTGCAGCCATCCGAAAAGTAACTGGCGTAATTACTGTTGAAAAACAAACTTGGTTGAAAGATAGTAAGGGAACTAAACTCCCTGTGAAATTATTCTTTCTGGGAAGCTGTCATTTTGAAGTAATCAACGAAAGAAGGCATTTCCAACGGTGATTCTTAAGAAGCACCGTAGGAAAATTTAAATTAGTAGTTCGTTTTGTTATTCAGCGCAGCGCGCACAAGTATTGGAACGACGCACACGCGCGCGCGGTTGTTATAATTCGTCGGATCAGTGCGCGACGCCGCGTATAGCTGCAATTCAAAACAATTCAAAACATGATTCAGTAACTTTTGATTTGAAATTGAGATCTTAGAATGCTGCTTTTCTCGGAATGTACAGCTGAAGCTTAGCTGAAACTTCATCAGGTTAGTTGCTCAGTATCCTTCATTAGATTTTGAACACTTTTGTTGCTTCAAACGAACAAAATGCACTAATTACAAATGATGGACTATAGCTTTAATACGTGGTACAACCATAAACGGTATCTTTCTTATGTCCTATTTTATGTGTGAATGCATCTAGTGTAGACTGGTTTCGACTTTTTCACCCTTATCATCAGTACCGGTAGCTTTTCTCTTTAACCAGTTCGCGCCGGGATTATTTTGACAAGACCGGACCCAGACGCGGGACTGTTTTCACAAACCTCGATGCCAGACGGGTTCAGGCCATCATCTGCGGGTAGCATACCCTGATATTTCCGACCTTGCTCGCTGCGTGTTTATCCGTAATCCTTTCCCAAAACTGCAAAATGTTTGCGTGTATACACGTCATCCGACGTGAACTGGTTAAGAAACTCATCTGTGTGTTTGTTGGGTTGTTTGTAGTTTGTTTGTTTAATTGTTTTGAACACCCTTTTGCATTGGGGAATAGCCAGGGATCAGTATTTTGGGATTGAGCCTTTTGAGGCAAGGATTTTGAAAGGCTTGATAAAGATTGATTTAAATCTCCTCAAAAAAGCCAATTCCAGTTTGGTATTATAAAATATTGTAAAAAAAAACATTTTCGAAGCAGCATCGTTGCAAAAAAGGACAAAAACCACATTATTTAACAAGAACCAAGTGGTACAACCCACGGCGGTTCCATGAACAGTACTACCACGAATTTTGCAATGTAATGGGGCGTGATCTAAGATGTAAATTAGACGCATGCGCATCAGTGTCACAAGCTGTAGGTATTCCATAGAAACTCACTGGCAAAGCTGTGATACACGTGTGGCATGGAACAGTATAATACACCCTGAGTAAGCTGTCCACCAACCAACCAACCAACCCACCAACCAACCAAGTTAAGCACTCAGCTCAAGCCCACGGCGTGTTTCACACCGCCGTGGAAAAACTGAGTTGCAATGTAGACTATGCACACAGTACACCATTCTACTTTAGTGTCTGCTTGTGTTACTCCCCTCAAAATACAGTTCATAAAGTGTTGCAGAGACACCAATTAGTTTTGATTTAGCTAGAGTGAGTGTTGTGCTTATTGCATCACTCAATTGTCACATAAATTGAAAAATGATTATTATTTTTCATAAATCTGAGAGAAACAGTGTTCATGTATATTAATCCCATTAGAATGTGTTGGTGTTGGCAAGCTTTCTAAAATTAATAGCCCATCGCACTGCACATTAAATCTGCAATTTATGTTTTTGGTATCACATTCCAAAGGGCATACAAGTACAAATGCATAGCATGTTTTAAGCAAACAAAATCAGAATGAGGCACAAACTAGGCTATCAGCTTTGGTCCAAAAATTGGGCCACCGGTATCAAACGATCGAAAGGAACAATGCTTATAAATAGCAATTTTTGGCAAGGTACTGGTATGCACATCTAGAGTTGGAAAATGTGTGATAGCTTTGCAGTGTGAGCGGTGGCAGTTTTTTGGGTGTTATCACTTTCGATTTTTTTGGGGTTCAAAATGGCCCCAAATATGCTTGTTAATACCGGATTAATTATGGTAACAAGCATGTTTTGGCCGCCATTTTTACAAAAAAGTTATAGCACCCAAACAGCTGCCACAGCTGCAATGCTATCACATATTTTCCAACTACAGGGCTGCATACTTTGCAAAATATCACAATGAGCATTATTCCCCTCATTTGATACCGACCAACCCCCAGGCTTATGGCCTGAACGTAAATGTACCGGTATGTACTTGTGTTTGATCACAAGTTGTAGATCTCAACAAAACTGCATGCAAGCTTTCAGACATAACAGTAAACTGTTTTTACTTCTCCTTTTCACAATGGAGTCACGTATACCTTCCATGCAACATATTCACTAGTCTGAGTATCACCCGTTATCCAAGGAGCCCAGTCTGCTGTCTATAAAGTCTGATATCTTTGTATGCGTGACGTCATTTCATTCGAAATCAGGACTAAGATTGTGATTGGTCAATTTCGATACCGCGTTTTTGTAATACAACAACCTGTACAAAAATGCTACTCACCGTGGGCGTGATGTTTACGTGCGTATAGAAGGCCCCTGCTGATTGGTCAATTTCCCGAGGTCATACACAGTCTAGTTGCATAATTAATTGCCGAATCTGTTTACGTATAATAGACCATGGTCGGCTTCGTCAGGGCCAGGGTCTATTGCATAGACTACGTATTCGCTCCGACCCCCCAAAAATGTCATGAGGACAAAAACCAGAAGCCAATAGCCAACATGTACTCTGATGTTCAGGTGCATAATTTATGTGTGATAATACTTCACTCCAAACTTACCTCACTTGATTCAATGATCATCTGTATGTGTTGTATAACTCTTGACACAGCTACACGTCCCTTTCCTTCTGTATCGCAGGAGACAAATATCGTATCCAGCAGATCTTCCTTGTCAATGACACTCAGTCCCCCGTCGTCTGTAGTGGCGCTGCTTCCTGAGCTCTGTCCGGACCGTCTGCGCTGGCCACGCTCCCGGCGATTCTGCGCAAAGATAAGATCTGGGGGTAGCGGCGAAGCCCACCAACTGGCGTTTTGCCGTCTTGGCGGCAAGCGTTGCGGGGAGGATCCCTGACCCTCGTAGTTGGTCTCAGCAGCTACGGAGGACAGCTGGCCATGCGACGCTGGCCTTGAATTGTCAGTCGGGCTTCTCTTCATCTCAGAGGTGGGGCTTAGGTCGACTGGGGGCTGGCAGCATCCGATGGTGAGGGGCCGCTCTGACAGAGCCAGGTCATCAGTCGACTTGTCGGAATGCCCCCGTGGCTTCTTCTGCAGGCCATTGTTGCTTTTCTTTGGTGAGAACAAGAAGCTCATCTCACTGACTTATGTACCTGAAAGCAACAAGAAGCACATGATAAAAGTCATTGCCAACCACCAGCAAGTACCGGTACACAATGTTGAGGCACGGAACGATTGCCACCCGCAGCCAATGCCTAAAGTAGAAACCCAACCGTAAGATTTCAGTCACCACAACATTTTGCATTGTACTTTAGATTTTACACACAAAAAGGACATGCACGGTCTGTACATGTGTACCTTACCCGAGCTTTGCTATTGATATTTCTGCACTGTTTGTTTTGCACTCATCAGTTGGAGTACTGTGGCCCATATTTTGTGTACATGTGTTAAAGCAGCCGTTTGGAGTTTTTCAATGTGGCATTAGTGGTAAGCTGTCGTGTTGCGTCTGTTACACATGTTGCGGCCTTTGAGCCTTCACAAAGTGAAACGGCGGTAGAGTGGCAGATAACCTTTCTTCTATGTATGCAGGTGAATGCTGAAGCTCAGCTTTTGTAATTAATATGGCTTGCAAAGGCAATATCGTATTTTGGACTGTTTTTATCTCTATTTGTATCCAGTTACTTTTTAACTAACATATTTGTGATTTCAATTTTGTCTGTAATTTGGGATTGAATACGTTTTAAAACATCTTTACTGCTGTAACGAAAGGTAGAAAAACAAAAATGCATTCAATAATGTGCAATATAGTCACTGATGTTTATTCTTAGGACAAAACCAATCAGCAACTATTGCCACAAAGCAAGCTTTGTATCGCTCCCAGTCAGACGACACATGGTGTATTTTTGCATACTCTCTCAAGTGCTGTGGGAAAATGTTGTCATTCACCGGCGCATGGCTGCCGGGCCAGACCGGCCGGGCCAGCCGGCAGCAATTCCCGGTGTTTATTTCTCATCGTCAATTTCCATATTATTTTTTAAAGAGTATCGACCGTAAATGTTTTGATATAACTTTTGTGGCCCTTTTTATAGCATTCGTAGTGTAAAGGATAGAGAAGATTGGAGACGCCGCAGGGATCCCGCCTGCGGGCGACGTGATGATGAATTGGTCCAGAGCGTTTTGACTTTAGAATTTGGAGGCCTTACAAAATTGAAACCGGTGCGGCTTATACGCCGGTGCGGCTAATACACCTACTTCAAGTCTGAATTTGCAGATTTTTGCGTGCTGCAGCTTATACTCCACACAGCCTATATTCTGAAAATTATTGTAACTTCATCATGAAATCACATTTAAAATATCAGCCTCTGAATTCCATCCCTTTGCCTTTCTTAAAATGTTTGTAAGATTTGATGGTTTCCATGGCGAATATAGCAATAAAATAAAATTTACGATTGCACCATGCAACAAATCTCGGAAAGATTTCCATAGGCCCTATACGAAGTTCACTCAACACCCTGTGTACAAACCCTATGAGATTGGACTGAAAAATTTTAAGTGTTTTCTAAGAAAATGCTTGTATTTTCTCACTGCTCAAATTGACTTTGATGACATGAAATTGCTATATGTGGGCTTGTTAGTCAATACAGACGAAAATTAGTGAACTTTGTATAAATCTTTCCCAAATCTCTTTTGTGGGGGACGAACGGCAGAATGTACTGTCTGAAACATTGAGTTCCCCCAGTTCTTTTCAGAGCCTCACACACTCACAAAAGAGATTTATTTAATGTGCTGCAGGAAATATTTTATTGAAATCCTAAACTATATTTTTTTAGCTACAGGATAGCAACTCAACAAATCATCATGTCTCTCCGTTAGTCCATTAGTTTGTTATAGTCCGTTAGTTAGTTAGTTACAAATGTTGACATTGCCTATTGCTCAGGACTACATATTTGACCAAATTCAACCAAACTTTGTTAGAAGTATCAGAAGCCCAGCCCCAACATGTCACATGACCAAACTGGAGTCAAAGGTCATCGTGGGGTCATTGGATTCAAAAAGCTGATTTATTTACAATGTACTCAAAACACTACTCCTTCCAAAAATAACACGGCACAATCACGTGACTCATGCATGAACACGATTTCGTTGGCCCGCAGCTTCCGAGAAATTTCCGCACGAGCTTGTTTTCTGATTCACGGCTCCAGTGGACTTTGTTTGGATTTTTTTGGGGGGGAGAATGGATTTGACAATTTAACTGACACATGCACGACAGTTGACTTCCGCAACAATAGTAACAGCATGAAAAAGAACTACATTTTGTGAATTTATTTTAAACTAAAAATATCAGACCCAAGTCTGTTGACTGAGTTCAATGTCTCATGAATCTTTTCTGCTTTTATAGTCTTCAATTTATTTTAAGGAAGAATGTAGTATTCCCTGTGGTTGCCTAACTTTACAATAGGGAAACTTAAAGGTACAGTCCATCATTTGTGCATTTTGTTCGTTGAAGCGACAAAAGTTCTCAAAAGAAGGGTGCCGAACAGCTAACCTGATGAAGTTTCAGCTCAGCTTCAGCTGTAGGCCTATATTTCAAGAAAAACAACATTGTAAGATCTCGATTTCAAATCAAAAGTTGCTGAATCATGTTTGGAATGGAAATGTGAAAATCAAAATTTGACAAAGTTCTACATGTTTTTGTACAAGTTTTAAGTGTGGCCTTTATTTACGGAGGTAGTCCAGTAAATTGGCCACATTTATGGGGCTAGTACTGGCTACACTACAGTACAACTTAAGTTCAACGCAGTATTACATTTTACGAAGTGGCTATCGTTACGGCAGTCGTTGTTTAGCGCCCTCTACAATACTGATACGCACGCAGGTATTTTTTTATTTGTTTCCACACGTTTTAGCGAGCAGTGCGACAGCTCAGTCGATAGAGGGTAGGATTTTGCACCGCGAGGTTGCGGGTTCGAATCTCAGTTTTGCACTCGAATTTTTTTCCTTTTCTAACCTGAGGCTTTGGAGGATTTTTTTTTAAAGGGAAATAAAGTCCGAATTTCATAATGTTCAAATTCACTTTTTTCCTTCTAATTTTATATTTTCTTGTCATGTTTTTATAAAAGTTGCAGTCTACCGTAACGATAGAAAATGGGAAATGCGTTACGGCTGCCGTAACAATAGCCACTGCGTACATTTTATCATCATCATCATCACTGACATTAGCCCCATAAATGTGGCCTATTTACTGGACTGCCTCCGTAAACATAGGCCACACATCCACATGTACAAAAAACGTGTCGACTTTGCCAAATTTTGATTTTCACATTTAGGCTTACTTTTTACGTTTTTTTTTTGCTTTAGAAGCATTCTCACCCTCTATAGGCTAATCAGAAAGTGCTGCCTTTTTCAGATGTCCTTTTTTCGTGAAATTTCCAGATACATTTGCACACGTTTGCATATCAAAATTTCAACATGAAATTTCACAAAAATTAAACATCTGAAAAAGGCAGCACTTTCTGATTAGCCTATAGCTATATAGAGGGTGAGAATGCTTCTAAAGCAAAAAAAATCTACAAAGTAAGCCTAAATGTGAAAATCAAAATTTGGCAAAGTCGACACGTTTTTTGTACATGTGGATGTGTGGCCTATGTTTACGGAGGCAGTCCAGTAAACAGGCCACATTTATGGGGCTACACTGACATGACTGATGTTTATTCCGGTTGCCAAAATGACTCGGTTTGCATCCACGACGTACACCATGAATTATTCCCGCCATGTCTTCGTGCCTTGTTGGTAGGTTGTGGAAGGTGGTTGTTGTAGGCCTATACTGCCTTCGTTCTGATAAAATACAAAGGGAATTGAAAGTGGATTACCTTTCTACACGGCCACAAGCACGTTCCCGTCTGCAAATTCTTATTTGTTGGAAAGTGACATCTCGGGTCAAAGGTCATCGTAATTATAACTTGACGCAAATGTAAAACTAGGCTAAGACAGCCACGAGAATGCCTTAAATCCGTTTAGGTGATGTAGATTTTCAACAGTTCAGATCCGTTTAAACAACGATGTCTTCGTTCCTATTCAAGAAAATAACGATATTGTCGGTGGAAGATTATTTTGGTGATACCTTGTCCTGAAACTGGTGAAAAATTGCCAAACAAAATCGCGGTGCGGTGATGATGAGCCTACAAAGACTAAGTATAGCGCCCTCTGTTGCCCGTCAAACTTTTCAACCAATCACAGTCAATGCTTCTTTGAGAGCTTTACCGTACTCGGGTGCCGCATTTGCAGTACTCGTATTTTCAACAACGTTTCCATTAAAAGTGGAGCGTACTGAGAAAGAGGTTGGCAGTACACATAATACTTTGTCGAGGGGTGGGGATAGGGGAAGGGGGATGTTTGTACGCATTGCCCTCGGGGTTCACTACCTGTTAACTCCTGCGCTCGATGACCTCGTGGGCTAGGTATTACATAGGATACCGGGACAGACAGATTGTAGAAATATTTCTGGAGATCAGGCATTCGGGACTTGCAGTGACGCACTCAGGATTTGGATGGGGGGGGGGGGGGGGGCTCACAATTTCTTTTTGCAATTTTTTTTTTTCAAAAAATTAGCAAAATTTTTGGCCGCAGAATTTTTTTTCGGGGGGGGGGCGGACTATTTTGACGTTGGTGGCACCACTTACACCCCTATTATACTACTCGCAAATAGGCCACATACATTATCACCAAGGTCAAATCGTGGGACTTACAAAAAAATAAAAAAAATAAAAATTGACAAACTCTTGGGGGTTCAAGCCCCCCGAGGCCCCCCCCCCCCCCCCCCCCCGGGTGGCCACTGGGGACTTGTGGCTTCGAACTCAGGGGATTACGTTCACAAAATAAAATTTAAAACTCCAAACAGACCCTTTATGATAGGGGCAGGGGGTCAATCTGGGCCAGCGACAGGCAACAGTTTTAGGGGAGATTTGGGATGGAATGTAAAACAGAAAGTGTAGGCTATCTCTGGTAAAATTTATATATTTATATATTTATTCATTAATTTTGAGGCATAAAATGAAACAACTTAGAAATACAAGCCCGGGCCCGGGGATTTCCCAAAAAGCGAACTAAGCCACTATTTCAAAGGCTTTCCAGACAACAAACAAAATACGAAAATTATACACAATAGAGCACATTACAATAAATGAAAAAAAGTAATCAGATAGAAACCTTTACATAACCACAGTAATTAAAGCCGGTGTTTTTTAAAGACTTTAAGCTTCAAAAAGGGTTGAAAATATATAAAACATACAAACCATAAAGCATAAAACAAACATACAAAGATTATGTCTCAAAATTCAGGAGAGGAGAGGATAGGAGGGCGCCCTACAAATATTTAGTAGTACGTGGCGCGCGATGAATAAAAGTTTTGTACATAATTTGGAATTTGCGTAGAGGTGAGGTAAATTCAATATTTGGGTTTTTGACCTTCGACGACGTGTACAGTGTTTAAAGGAAAAAAACAAGCATTGAACAGTTTTGTAGTCATTTGAATTGATTGCTTGACAGCGTAGCCAGTGTTCTCACCGGGGGGCGAGGGGAGGGGTTGGATATTACAGAAGGGGCGCCCAATGTTTATAGCACCGTTGCTGAAAAAGGTACACGTTTTTTTTTCATCGGTCAAAAAGAAAAAAGTGTGTGTGTGTGTGTGTGGGGGTGGGGGGGGGGGACACGCCATCTTTCTATGGGGGCGCCCTTCAAAGCAGACAAAGTATCAGACAATAAGTGGCGCTCTTCATGGCCGCATGTTCGCACAACGTTAAAAAGAGGCGCTTGAGGGGAAAAGGTCGCTCGTGGAGAAGGACGCCCCCAATCCACCTCACGCCCCCCTCGTTGGCTACGTCATTGTTACATGGTCCCTCCCCCTCACACCCCCCCCCCCCTTCCCCCTTGGCTATGCCACCGCTGTTGATTGGTCACAACGTCAATAGACAGACTATTCCAAATAATTATATGAGAAATAACTAAAACAGAACATTTAAAAGATTTGTTCTAGCAAAGGGGATTTTGATCCTAAAGTCATCGAGATGCCCGGTATGGATTTCAGGAAGGAAATGGTGATCTGGTATAAGACATATTGTTTGTCAAGGCAACATAATAAATTTGAGAAGTTGATATTTATGACAGTTTGCAATGGTAGGGAACTAAGCCATCAGGTTAGCACCACGTGACATACGATTATATAAACAGGCCCTGGTACGGCCATGGTTTATCTTCGTTGCACATTTTCTAAAGCATTAATTTTGTAATAGACACTTAGGGAGTCTTTTAGAAATTAAGAAGAGTCAGGGGCAGATCTGGCTGTCGGGAAACAGGGGGGGGGGGTATAAAACGGGGGTTGAGTCCAAGATGGCAGATTGCACGCGCGCCCTGCTGGGGGGAGGGGTCCGGGACATTCCCCCTGGAAAATATTGAAATCTATGATGTTTTCTCCTGTATTTTAAGCGTTAAGGCAATTTCAGAATATATGTAAGAACTTTAGCATTCCATTTATCATTTTGGCCCATTTTACTAGTATCACAGCATTAGTCAGCAGCTGAACAGGGGGGGGACCCCTCCGCTCTAGATCCGCTACTGTGAGTTTATAATTCTTTCAATACGTCCCCTACTTTCAGACCAGGCTATTAAACCCAGTATCGATTTAAACTGAGCAAGTTGGATAATATTGACCCTATATGATACAAGCACGAATCGTACCTCTTCCTCCTTTTTTATTTCATAACTGATTTCACGTAGCTTACATTACATACAACCATCCATGATTTCTTGTATGTGCCGTGTTCAATTTGTTCACGCATTTACGAGGTCAAAACTTGCGTGCAGAAAAGCAGTTGCGTCATCTTTTGGATTCTTTCTTCTTCTTCTTCTTCTTTTTGTATAAACTTTTAACGGTAAACATGTAAAATGATCAGAATTATTTTGCCAATGACAATCTGCTGGTACTGCTAAGGGGGGGGGGGGTGTCCGGGACATTCCCCCCTGGACAATTTTGAAATCTTTGATGCTTTCTCCTGCATTCTAAGCGTTAAGGCAATTTCAGAATAAATTTAGGAACTTTAGCATTCCATTTATTATTTTGGCCCCATTTTACTAATATCACAGCATTAGTCAGCGGCTGAGTGAAGGGGGGGGGGGGACCCCCCTCCGCTCTAGATCCGCTACTGTGAGTTTATACTTCTTTCAATACGTCCCCTGCTTTCAGACCAGGCTATTAAACCCAGGATCGATTTAAACTTAGCAAGTTGGATAATTGACCCTATATGATACAAGCACGAATCGTACCTCTTCCTCCTTTTTACTTCATAACTGATTTCACGTAGCTTTAAATACATTAATACATACAACCATCTATGATTTCTTGTATGCCGTGTTCAATTTGTTCACGCATTTACGAGGTCAAAACTCGCGTGCAGAAAAGCAGTTGCGTCATCTTTGGGTTTAAACTTTTAACGGTAAACATGTAAAATGATCAGAATTATTTTGCCAATGACAATCTGCTGGTACACGAAATTGTCACGTGGACGATTACACTGTCACAAACTTGAACTTCGGAACTCCGGAAACTAAACACGCACGGCACAGTCTATAGTTTTCTTTAACGGCGTGGATGGAATACTGCATACGACTTTGGGGATGGCAGGGGGTTAAAATAGATAGTTGATTTAGCGGGCAAAGTTACATCAAATTGCATCATCAACCTTGTCCACAGCCTACATGGTCGGCCAGGGTCAATTTAACAATTCACGTGGGTTCAGCGTTCAAGTTCAAGTGGATCACGATGGCGCATCTCGGCTATCGTAGATCCCGTGTCAGCGCAGTCTACGCCCCTTGCCCTCGTGGATCGATCACGTGCTCGCTGACATTGAACAAACACAACGAAATATTATTAACATGTATAAATAGCACCCTGCACCGCGGTTGCATAGTGGCTGCAATCGCTGCATTATTGCACAGTTGACATTGTACATGTTTAACACACAAAGAAAGCAACTAAACAGGAACAACCTACCACTGCCGTGAACTTGGCAGTGAACACGGCGGCAAAACTGCATAGGCGAACCGTGACAGGTAAGTTCTTCTATGGAGAATCATATTTATTCCTCCAAGAAGTAAGAATACCAACTTCTTCCAAAAAGAGTACTGTCATAATCTCTTGGTCCAATGGTTGATATTAAAGCTGCAGCCGAACCTCCAAAAACAACGCTCCAAAAAGCCTCAAGCCTCATGCAGATCAGAAAGAAGTTCAGAGTCATTTCATGTAGACTCCTTGTTCAATCATTAACAGCAATACGTCGCCTTCGAATTTATTTATAGGCCTAGTAATAGTACGTATAATTTGCACTGCAGCTATCCCACATGTTTAACAAATCGTCCTTCCAATATTATTGCGCAAATCGAATTCGCCGGGCGCGTGATCTCTCCGAATGCGGAAGTAATCATTGAACTGGACTAGAACTGAATTGTTAAACTTGAATATCATACTGAACAATAATTGTAAGTGTAGGCCCGTATAGGCCTATTTCAACTTACAACAAAGGAAAATTGAAGTGGTAGTCAACACTGTAGTCATGAGTCCGGTCAGTACGTTAGGAATAGGATACTGGAGCTGGAAACCTCAGTCCCCCCTCCCCCCACACCAACCCCCCCCCCCCCCCAAAAAAGACAGAGAAATTGTTAATGAAAGTTGCCACCACCACTATTGGGACATAATGCTCCCAGTCACTCGAAGCGTAACAAGCAATCAGATCCAACAGGGTCATAATAAGGTTTACCTGTTGGTCACCCAATATTGGAGATCAGCATGAATCTAAATGCTGATTTATAGATAGTAACAGTCAAAAATCTGTATCTGGGAATCGCTGGAGTATGAGTGCAAAGTCCAAAAAAGAAAACTGGGATTTATGGTGTTCATGACGTGCCATGCTGTAATACTTTATAGCATATCATTTTAACAGGCCTGATGGAATTATTTAGATTTTCCAGCAGTATTTCACTGTTTTTTTTTCTTCACATATTTCTTATTTCAAAGGCTTATTAGGAGCTAGTATTTGTTATTATTCACCATTTCTAAAGCACAAAGGTATAATGCTATTAATTAAGAAAAAAGTAGAAAAGTTCAATTATTAGGGATGATGCTGACTTTTTAATAGTGAATAGTATTTTCACACTAGACCCAATACACTGCAAAAACTGTGTTAGACAATTAAACACTTTTCTAAACAATTTCTTGCTATCAGTTTGAAAACATTTTTAATAACTTAAAAACATGTTAAGAGTAAGGAGGGATGGTGTTTAGCAATTGAACATTGATGTTTGGGAATTGAACACATAATGTAAGGCTTCTAGACATGTTTACAAAGTGATAGCAAAGTTGTGTTTAATGGTTAAACCATAGTTTAATATAGCTCTATGGGTTAAACGCAGTTTTTAGAGTCTATATCTGGGCTTGCTAAATCTGTAGCCTATGGAATATTATGTTCGAATTAATGTTTGATGCCCATGCCATTTCCTGATACACAAAAGAGCGGTGTTGCTGTTTGTGTGTCAAGACACTTGATGTACAGTTCAATGAAATGCGAATCTGAAATTTATAGCCTATAAGAACAGCTTGTTCAAAAAGTTTGCTCACCGATTACATATGGCTGTTTTGAAATAAATCAAGCAAAGAAGAGACACAGAACAAACCAAAGCTAAATCGAAAAATTCTGCTCAATCAAACATACGCCTAGTACTATACATGCTTAAAATGAAAGCAGTGCTTTGCTCAAGAACATAGAAATCGTATTAGCAAAGAAAACAAAAAAGAGCCGTAAACACCATAAAAAGTTGAAATACACTATCGAGGAGTTAAATGGGATAAAAAGGTGCCTTTCAAGAACTCCAATTTGCATTTTCCCTTAAAATCCTGTTTTGCTAAGCGTGTTACCAGGAAGTTGTGGCCTGTTGTATTATATACAATAATGGTTGTTGGCCTACCCGAAGCAGGACCACCGATGGTTGTACAGTAACCAACTATCTCCCTGGTGTAGGGGACTGCACTGTACACAACAGCACTCATCCTTAACACCAGTGACATATGATCTAATAAAGCTTTACTAAGGCTTGAAAGCATTGCGTCAGCCAACAAGAGGGCACAGTACGACTCACATTTTAAACTGGACCTTGAACCTATAGCCTAGTACAGACTGAATGAAAACTGAAAAGTAAGCAAAATTTGCGAGACATAACCCAATGTGATTGGGGTGTAGACACGACGCTATCTGTAGAACATTATTTGAATAAAGATAAGATTGATTTTGCCAAAAGCATTTGACTGGAGCGGAATTAATATTGGAGATTTGCGTGTGAAAAATGAATAAATGGCACTAAGGTCATTGGTGAACTGATACCACATGGCTTGCAAACTTTCACGTGATTTTGAATTATCAAAATGAACTATAACTCGAGTACGATTTCTCATTGATGTGTTGAGGTAGTGTTCAAACGATCTATTAAAATTGAAGCCACACTGAATTTTTCTTGGGAAAATATTTTGTGCAGCTTTCTACTCCTTTTTAAATATCTATATGAAAAGTATTTGAAATCCCTTTTTGGTTAATTTAATTGAAAACTGTATTTAAAAGTGCACTTCTGCAGACATTTAAAATTGTCCGTGCTTTTCCGGACTCCTGAGGGCACTGTTGCTGTGATGTCATTTCAGGAAGACACTGTTCAGTTTATGGGTTTTCTGTTAAAATTGTGAAGCAAAAAATTGCTCTTTGAAAACTTTTGTGAGAAAAGTTTGCTGATTGGCTTACTGCCTTGTACTGACAGAACGAATCACCAAAGAAAAGAAAAGAAAAGCAAAGTATCCAAAATTCGGACAACTTTGTGGTGCAGAAATAGCTGTAACACTGAGGCTTCTGCCTAAAATGACATCACAGTTTTGCTCATGAATATGGAAATTTGGATTAGCCTAAAAACCCAAAAGGCACTCAAATACCCTTAAAAATGGCAAAATGAAAATTGAAAACGAGGTTAAATCGGACACAAAGATGCATTTTCAAGGATTGCATTTATAAAAATTACATTACATGGCCCTTTGTTATGGACATAATCAAATAAATTTTCTCTTGAATGGGAGTGGAGTGGGAGAGGCCCCCCCCCCCTTTAAAAAGAATTTCCCTATTGATGTGCTAACGAGAATATATAAAGGTGAATTATCCACGACTTGTTTGAAAATGAACACTGTTTTCTTTCTAAAAGGTTCGGCGGTTTATCATCCGGGTCTCTTGCTTGCATGTTTGACGCGAGGTCTGCACCGGAAGTCACCATGACACCTCTATCGGACAAGGCAGAGCTGGTTACCAATGAAGCTCCTATGGATGGCTGTACAGATTGCCATGACAAGGTAAAGGCCACAAGGACCAAATAGTCTGCAGATTAAAATCCAAGCCCAAGCTCAATATCCTAGACAAATAAGATAAAGGCCTGTATATTGATGCACTCGAAGCGAATGTGAATGTGAAAGCCAATTTGACGTCGTGAACATTCTCAGTAAAATTAAAACAAAATGAGATTAGATGAGGTGTACTCATGCGAATTTCAGCACGAATAGTTGTGATTTTTTTCCCGTTGAGAGCAGAAAAGTTTTATATCATTTCATTAATCATTAGTGTTTATTTTTTAATTAAAATATCTGAAAGGAACGGTATCCAAGCCTACGACATTTTGTTATAAGAGTAAATTGTTGAGCGCAATATGTCTTGGTCACCACAGTGAAGTTTGTGCAACTGACAAAGGAAGGGCCGTCGGTTTCTGAATTGCAAACTATAGTTAATCTTTTCGCGTACCCCTTATTTGTGATGAATATTTCTTTCTTTTTTCAAAGCCTGCTCTCGTCAATAGGCGAGGCCTGACGATCATCACCGCTGCAGTGTTCATTGTTGGGGAGATGGCAGGCGGTGGTATCCTGTCACTTCCCGCTGCACTCAAATCCGCAGGTATATTAACGACAAGTGGACTGAGCATACACTGCGTGCCAATAAACCAATCCGGGCACGCCGTCATTTCAATCACGAAGGCCCCCTTCAATGGCGAAAGCATTGCGCTAGCTATTGTTCAGATAATCTGTCAAGGGGCAGTTTCTTTGTATATTGGTTTCTCTATTGTAGGGGGCCTTCGTGATAGAATTAGTGGCTCAGATTGACCTATCTCTAGGCATCATTGCCATTGAATAGAAAGAGTATACCTCCCAAACTCTTTGAGCGGGGCATGGACTGTTCATCCCATCACCATGTTTTGTAATGACCACCAAACAATGGCTTCAGAATTAGTTTTTTTTAAAATGTATTTCCCGTGGAATATTATAGAAATATTGACTGCTTCGAGAGGTGTAGTAAAACTAGCCTCCCGATATATAAGTTATTCACTTTTGAATGAGATATCGAACAAAAAAAATCCACCCATGTTCGGCCAACCATGTGGTCCCGGCTGGAAAGCAAGACCAAACGAAAGCAGTAAATGAAAATATATTAAAATTTACGATAAATTGTAACACTGCAAACTGAATGCAGTTTCACAATTCAACACGTGTAATTATTTAGTTAATGGTGTTAGATAGTGTACACCCCCATTTTTACTACCAAGCCCGGGGAAATTTCAATTTAATTCTCATTATCCCTCAAAAAAAAATCTAAGTCATTGCCTGTTTGAAAATATTTCAAATATTTATTCCCCCCTTCTTGCGTCTTCATGCATGGCAAAATAAAAAATACAATAAGTATGATATGGCCAGCAGAGTTGGCAAAACCTAAAGAGCGTAGCTTGTTATGTAGTTTTACATTCGAGAAGTCTTGCTTAAAGATATAGTCCATCATTTGTAATTTGTGCATTTTGTTCGTTTGAAGCAACAAAAGTGTTCAAAATCTAATGAAGGATACTGCACAACTAACCTGATGAAGTTTCAGCTCAGCTTCAGCTGTTTATTCCGAGAAAAACAGCATTCTAGGATCTCAATTTCAAATCAATAGTTACTGAGTCATGTTTTGAATTGTTTTGAATTGCAGCTTTACGCGACGTCGCGCACTGATCCGACGAATTATAGCAACCGTGCGCACCTGTGCGTCGTGCCAATGCTTGCGCACGCTTCGCCGAATAACAAAATGAACTACTAATTTAAATTTTCCTACGGTGCATCTTAAGCGCACCGTTGGAAAGGCCTTCTTTGCGTTGATTACTTCAAAATGACAGCTTCACAGAAAGAATAATTTCACAGGGAGTTTAGTTGCCTTACTATCTTTCAACCAAGTTTGTTTTTCAACAATAATTACGCCAGTTACTTTTCAGATGGCTGCAAATGATGGACTATAGCTTTAAAGCAAACCACCAGTTTAATTTTAAATCTTGAATTATGAAGGACTAGCAGCTTCAATTAAAAATGTTGACTTTGTAATGCAAAGAGACCCTTCTTTTATTGCACCAAAGGTTGGAGCGGGATAATGCTGCTGCTCTTCTGCGCTTTTCTCTCGGCTTATACTGGCGTCATCCTGGGCCGATCCTGGCAAATCCTAAAAGACAGATTTCCCTTTTACCGGGAACATATCAGGTACCCCTACCCGGCCATCGGTTTTGAAGCAATGGGGAAAGCAGGCAGGTGAATTCATAAACCTTCTTTTTTTTCATTTCTTTTGAATTCCATTTTTGTTTCTTATTTAAAATTCAGAGGTTTTATTTCAAATGTGAAATAGACAAGGGCGGATCCAGGGGGGGGGGGCCAAAGGGGGCCATGCCCCCCCCCCCCAAAAACGAAACCAATTTTTTTTTTTTTTTTATGTGACGTCGCAATAAAGGCAGGCAATGAGTACACCACCATCTTTTCCTCAAAAAACATTGGTTAAAGTGGTCAGAAATTGCCTCAGATCGCACCACAGAGCATCTAAAATCCAAAAAAATTCGGGGCCCTTAAGCGGGCCCCGAACCCCACGCCGTAATTTTTGGACCCACTTTTTCGGGGGACCAAAAAATTGTTTGGCCCCCCCCCAAAATGGTGTTCTGGATCCGCCCTTGGAAATAGATGGACACATTTACCGTTTATAAACATGGATTGTCAGCAAGTTTCTACGTTATTTGGCTTAGCAACTCTTTTTGGTCTAAGTATGTTTGATGTGCTCAACAGTTCCGTGAAATGTCTTGTGTTCTTTGTAGGATCGCTGTCACCATCTGCGTCAATGTGACCCTCTTCAGCGTGACCACCGTGTTTCTTTTGGTCGCCTCGGACCTCTTCGGGGGTCTCCTAGTAAAGGTACATGTCCACGTATCCTCGTGTGTTTGGATCCCCATCTTTGCCATCGGCCTTTGCCCGTTGACTTGGCTCGGGACGCCCAAAGACTTTTGGTGAGTTGACTCTGTGGTGTGCGGACAGTACTGACAGCCTCAGTACGAGGCAAAGATCAGACCCAGGCCAATTCCCATAGGATTTGTATTGGCTGCAGCTCAAACCATGTGACATATAGCCGCTGATATCGCAAGGCCATCAATCATCCTGTCGTTGGGCTTATGCAGTCATGAAGCCTGGAAACAGGTGGTCCTCATCATTTTTAGCTATATACATGTAGTCACTATCGAGCTGTTGTAGTGGGGAGATGGCCAGACAAAAACCAGGGAGATATAACTTGAACTTTTTTCACATGGGTACTGACCAAATACAGAGTAATCTTGGAATGTATACACCTTTTTTTGGCTTCAAATTGTTATCTTGAGCGAAAAGGACCTCTATCCATCTATTTAGACACTTTGAGAAACACGTACTGAAGGGATTGTGTACAAACGTAACACCCGTACACCATCATACTGAAAAGTTCAGTACTGTGGCGGATTACAACTAAAATATCGAAAATCTGAGCTGGGCTGGCTTATGCAATGACGTAGGCTATACAACCCACGTTCATATTTCAGGAACGCAAATGATGTCGTGTTATGCATTGACAGCCTCTCAATTGTGCATTGGAAACCTCACTTTGGATTTTAAATATGGCGACTCTGTTTCTCTTTCTTGTAGGCCGATTGCAGCAGGTGCTGCGGTCTCAACCGGCGTGGCGTGTGTTCTCATCGTTGTCCAGGAGATAGTGGACATCGGTTCAGTCCCTGACGTCCAGCATCCCAGCCCGACCTTCCAGAGTTTCTTCACGGCCTTCGGCGCCATCTTGTTCGCCTTCGGTGGTCACGCCATCTTCCCGACCGTTCAACACGACATGAAGGATACCAGGAAATTCCACTGGACCGTGCTGGTTGCTTACACAAGTTTGCCACTTTTTCTCTCTGTACTGCCCTTTTTATTGAAGACAGTTTAAACCAGCCATCGTTTATCATACAGTTTTAAACCAAGGCGCTGGGTAGGCATGTAAATGTCCGTCAAACCAGTTTAAAAGATGAAGTGAAACTCAATGCACCTCATGGAAACATTCGTTGTCGGTACGCATATACGGGGTCATCCTGTATGATATAACTGCCCGGCTCATAAGTGACATTCAGTTAGTCAGACGGTAAGAAAGAACATTACTGGGAGGTCCCCTGGGACCATTAAAAGGTTCATAAGGGAAAGACAGACAAGCTGTATACGCAACTATATCGTGGCAATTACAGGAGTGTTCTGTCTTGTTTTGTTTTTTTCAGTTGTGGTTTTATACTATCTGCCAGTGTCAGTGGGTGGATATGTGGTCTACGGGGACCAGCTCGAACCCAACATCCTCGACACACTGACGGGAGGAACAATCACGACCATCGTGATTGTCATGATCATGCTACATCTCACCATGGGTGTCATCATCGTCATCAATCCCTTCTGCCAGGAGATCGAAGAACTCCTCAAGATACCACTTAGTACGTGCTTTTAATACTTTGGGGGTTGGGGGTGGGATGTACCAAAACAACTTCACTAGTAATCAGTTATGTCACAAGTAAATCTCATCTGTACCTTATATTCGGGCATGTTTTGCTAATCCAAACGTGAAATACCGAATAACAAAACTAGAAACCAGACCAGTAACTCCAAGTTAATCAAGAGTATCGTTGAAGAGAGGAATAAACTAACAGTATAGTCCACGAGAAAAAAAAAAAAAAAAATCATCAAACGCCAATCACAAGTCATTCATATCTCCATGGTCTGCTGAAGTCTCTAGGTATGAATTGTAACAAAAACATTCGTTGTCATTCTTTGCCAGCTGAAAAATATACATAACAACAAGCAAATTTAGACAAATAAGAATTCCGAGTAATACTGACGACCCAGTACCTTTACAGTGGCAAAAGAGATATATTTAATTAAATTTTAATTAAATGAGGAGAAACCCTCATCATACAAGAGTAAAATTTTATATTATGCGCGTAGCGGGCTACATGAGGAAAATTATCTATTGGAGCATAACTCGAACTACAGGTAGAATCACTGAAGCTATTTGAAGTTGGTCATTCTAGGGGGATTTTTTATCCTACAGGATTTGGCTGGAAGCGGATCGTTCTGCGCACCGTTGTGATGGCCGCAGTGGTATTTCTTGCTGAGACCATTCCCAAATTCAGCGTCATCTTGAATCTGATCGGGGGCACCACGGTGACCTTGCTGACCTTTGTTTTCCCCTCGCTGTTCTACGTGCTGCTCCGCATCAGGCCCAGCCCGGACGGCGCCTGGTGTCCCAAGTGAGTGAAAGAAAGGCCTTGCTTTCATCAAGTTCAGTTCAAATCTTCCTTGCGTATTTATTCCTGGGTTTGCTGGTGCCAATTTCCCTGTATAAGAATTGTTTTCATGGGGGGGGGGGGGGGGGTTAAAGCCGAAGACAGAGACAAATCTGATGGTTTAAGCCAACTCTGCAAACAGCGCAATACGTGTAAGCATGGGGGGGGCAAGGGGGGGGGGGCAAGGGGGGAACTTGCCCCCCCCCCCCCCCGGAAAAGCAAAAAAAAAGGAAGGGAAAAAAAAGGAAAAAAAGAAAAGAAAAAGAGGCGCGAAGACAAAGTGGTGTAAATTTAATGAGTTGGGGGGGGGGGGCAAAATGTCCCTGCCCCCCTCTAAAACTGATAAATCGAGAATGTGTTGAGAAATACAAGCATTTTTTTTCCAAATTTTTTTTTGCCCCCCTCTAGAAAAAATCCTGGCGACGCCCATGCGTGTAAGCAGGCCGCGTACAGAAAGTGTGCACAACTACCCCTCCCATCTTTCCCCCTCCGCTTTCCCCTCCGTTTTTTTGTTGTTGCTTTTTTGGGTGTTTAGTTTGGTCGAGGGGAGGGGGAAGGTCTTATCAAAGTCAAGGTCTTACCACAGTCGCTACGCCACTGTGGAGTGTGTGTACCTTGATCACGGCAGCAATACCTACTTCGCCGCACACGAGAGCTACGTGCTGGGCAAAAAGTCATTCGAAGCCGTTTGCTCAGAACATAGCTCAGATTGACTGCACACGGTGAGTTTTCTACCTCGCGAGGCGAAAGAAATCAAACAGGGGAGATATTTTGCCTCACAGCCTCGTGAGGCAGAAAACGCAGCAAAAATCCACCGCACACGGTGAGCAACCTGCTGTGCAAATGACCTCAATGACTTGTGCCTCAGCATTTAGCTCTCGTTCGCGGCAAGCTAAATACAATGCCTTGCAAACTCTGCCAGATTCCTTCACAACCTTTTGTGATTAACAGCGCCTTTAATTATAGGGGGGGGGGGCATTAAATCCCATTTTGCTGCGATACTGGCTACCCTCTCTAATGACTTTAATATCTTTCTTCGTTCTGTTTCTCTTGCAGGAACATAGCAATTTGGGAGTACATCCTCCATGCTGAAATCATACTGGTAGGTTTGGTGGGTGGAGTGGCGTCCACGTACAGTGAGATATATGAAATTGCAACAGCTGAAGGCCCCACACTGTCCTTGCCATGCTATGTCGTCCGAAATGGCACGGCGGGATAGGTTGACCTGGTGGTAGACGAGGAGAGTCTTTTTTGCTTTATTTTTGTTTGTGTCCCTTTAAAGCCGACACATGGATTGGAAATCCAAAATAACCTCCGCATGTGATGTTATTAATTGTGATGATTGAATGCCGTGTGTGAATCAGGCTTGTGACTTTGTTTGCCATTGACAATCCAAAGCTGTATCCAAAAACTCAGACACTTTAAAGGTAGGGTAGGCCTATATCATATGTCATTGGTGCCTTTTTTTGACGGTAACAAAAGTGCTTAAAATCTAAAGACGGGTGCTTAAAGCTAAAGTCCATCATTTGCAGCCATCCGAAAAAGTAACTGGCGTATTATTGTTGAAAAACATACTTGGTTGAAAGATAGTAAGTGGACTAAACTCCCTGTGAAATTAATCTTTCTGGCAAGCTATCATTTTTAAGTAATCAACGAAAGAAGGCCTTTCCAACGGTGCGTCTTAAGACGCACCGTAGGAAAATGTAAATTAGTAGTTCGTTTTGTTATTCGGCGCAGCGCGCGCAAGCATTGGCACGACACACAGGCACGCGCGGTTGCTATAATTCGTCGGATCAGTGCGCGACATCGCGTATAGCTGCAATTCAAAACAATTCAAAACATGATTCAGCAAATTTTGATTTGAAATTGATCGAGATCCTAGAATGCGGTTTTTCTCGGAATATACAGCTGAAGCTGAGCTGAAACTTCATCAGGTTAGTTGTTCAGTACCCTTCTTTAGATTTTGAGCACTTTTTTGCTTCAAACGAACAAAATGCACAAATTACAAATGATGGACTATATCTTTAACCACTAACCTGATGGAAATGTTAGCTCTGTGAATGATGTATATTTGGAGAAAAACCCAATATTCTGGACGTGATGTCACACACTGAACCGACGATTCTCGGTAATAATATCAACCACGCGCGAGTGTGCGTCATGTCAACGCGTTGGCCCCCATTCACGGATTCGCCCAATTACAAACCAACTGCCAACGGAAATTTCCAAAAATGTGTCACTTGACGCATCTTTGGGAATGACCTTCTTTGATTGTTTTCTTCAAAATGACAGCATGCCAGAAAGAATAATTTCACAGGGAGTTCAGTGTCATTGGTATTTTTAAACCAAAGTCAGCTTTTTAACAATAATTTGGTCCGTTACCTTTTGGATAGCTGCAAATGGTCAACTCTACCTATAATCACGGTTGCGAATGATGTCAGTCACAAATTCACAAATTGTAAATGGGCCCAGAGGCAGATTACGATTTTGAAATTACTAATTATCTTCCCTTTAGGACCAGTTCCGCAAATTCGTCATGCCATAATCAACGCAACTAATTTTGTTCGGCAATAAATTATCAATAATGCACGGCATATTGTGTAATACACTGCATGCAAAGAAATGCGGTGATATAAAGAAAACCTCTGTACTATCGTTATGAGATGAATTCTTCAATATAGATACAACATACGATGAACGTATTGTCAATTGGTATATTTCCTATAAACTTTCAATATTGATTAAAAATATTCATGTAATATTATGTTTTTATTAAAATTTTAGATATCCAAAGTATATTTTGTAATTTTTAAAAGATAAATGTATGATGTATATTTGATCATCAATCACTGCATTTAAATTAAAGTTTCATTTAAATCTTATTCATAAATACCTCAGACCGTTTAGCTATTCCTATTGGTCGAGAGCCCGTCACGTGGCCGGTCTTAAACGGATGATAAAGACATGGCTAGCTGGTCTTAAACACTTTTCCAGTGTTCAATGAAATGTGGACTCCTAAAAATCCAGGACCTCTTATCGTTTCATTGGTTGAACGTTCACAATCCTCACGTAGGCATGCGCAACACTACCAGGGAGTCAGAATTTTATAGTTCTAAATTCAACACGCAACGCGCCAGGTGCGTTCTGCGCGACATCGCGCAGAACATGCTACGCGCGCGTCAATCTCCATAAAAGGGTTGCTTACATCTTACTCGCCAGCTGAACACTCCATTATTTTGCTAGAGGGATGTTTCAAAAAGCATGAAGTGAACTTGTTGAACAAAACCGGGATTTTTTGAACGAATTATTTGATTTTTCTTACCGAAAAGGTATTTACGAATGGGAATAAATGTGTGCTCGGTCGGTATTTATCACTCTGTTTAAGACCGCTTAGAGTCTGGGTGCTGATAATTACCCTCGCCTCTGGCTCAGGTAATTATCAGCACCCAGACTCTAAGTGGTATTAAACAGAGTGATAAAAACCTCCGGAGCACACATTTATTCCCTTAATAATGCACGGCATATTGTGTAATACACTGCATGCAAAGAAATGTGGTGATATAAAGAAAACCTCTGTACTATCGATATGAGATGAATTCACAACATACGATGAGAGTATTGTCAATTGGTATATTTCTTATCAACTTTCAATACTGATTAAAAATTTTCATGTAATATGTTTTTATATAAATGATAGATATCCACGGTATATTTTGTAATTTTTAAAAGATAAATGTATGATGTATATTTGATCACCAATCACTGCATTTAAATTAAAGTTTCATTTAAATCTTAATTTTTTTAAAACGAATGAAGATGCTGAAATGAGGATTTTAAAAACTATTCAACAGGCTGAGCGAATATCATTGTAAAATATCAACAGATATATCAAAGTACTCTGAAAGTAAATCTTTTTAAATTAACTACGATAAAATTGTGGTTACATTGCATGCAGCCAAACAGTATTTAAAATAGTATTTTTAAAATACGCAAGATTTCAGTCAGTTTTGTGTCCTTTTGAACATTTGAGCTTTTATGGCAGAAACGGATTAGATAGTATATAAACGGGAACTTTTTACATTTTTTTGTGTTGCAAACTTTTTATTCAACCTTACAAAATCGGCTTTGGTCTTTCACTATTTACAATTGGTGATATGTATATTAGCTTTAAGAGGCCTGAATATAAATGACATATTTCGTGACCTTTTAAAATCCCTGCTCTGTGAAAGTAATCGGCGGTGGATTTTATTTTTATACCAAGCACAAATGCGGTCAATGTTGTTGTATTACAATACTCAGTATTTGTATTTCTTTTTAACATGTCAGTCGAAATTGTTAATGAAAAAAACGCAACGACGTTAATCAAATTGTAACTTTCATTAAATGCTGTTGAGCTGCTTACATTTCATAAAATTTAAATCAACTGAAATAAATTATTCAGTATCTATAATCATTTCCAACGACATAAATGAACATTGCCTCTTTATTGAAGTGTTTCTGAAACTTATATAACTTTGTTGGAAACTTTAAAAAACAAACCTGCGTTGCATTAACTCAAAGTCTAATCCTTTTGATGGAGGAGGTGAAAGTCTTTTGCCTATTCCTCCTTTGTCGTCAAAGTTTTCAAGAGTTACAAGAAATGGTCCACAGTTTCGCTGTGACGTTCACGTGGGACAAGAGGCTTACTCTTCATCCAAAGTTCCAACTTGCGAGGGTTAGAGCCGCTAATTTCCTTCCGTATCTAATCTCTTAATCTTTTCAAATGGATTATCTGCCCTGATCCACTGTCTTAATCCTCTCGCTCTGACATCCTTTCACGAGCATCGTCAAACGGCAAATCGGCTTCGTCTTCGTCATCCTGGGAACTCGAGAGAGATTCTGACGGCTCGTCCACGAGATTTGCTAATGTAGCCAGCAGAGAATCGTGAATCTGGTCTTCGGTCGGGTGTTCCACTAGAGTGTGGTCACTGGTTGGGGTTTCTGAGTTGTCCCCGAGGTGCGAGAACCTCTCGACGTAACCCGGGTATCCAAATTTGGAACCACGCCTCGTTTGGGATGTGTCCTGCTCAGCATGTTCAGAGTCTACCACTGCCATGTTGTCATCCGGATTCGCAATTGGGATTACTGGTCCCAGGCCACTGCTGATTACTCTATTGACATTGGTACAGTCAACGTCTGTGCCTCCGTCCACACTTGGGTTTTCTGAAAGCGGCCTCCAGTCAGAGAGAAGCTCATCTTTAGAGGATGCCATGCCTACAGTGGACGCTACTTTGGGTGTTGAAGAGAGTACAGGCTGTGCTTTTTCTTCAGACTGCGTGACACGTAGCATATCCGTTTGCTGACTTTGCAAGCTCTCCTCGTACTCCTCATCCATTTGGTCAAATTCTGGAAGCGGCTGCCAATGATGAGAAGTTGCCATGGCAATGGAGTCTGCATCGTGGGTGTCTCTTTCAAGATGCGTTTGTGAATCCAGCATTAGACTCGGGGTCTTTTCTTCAACATCTGCATTGTTGGTATCGCTGAAGTCTGTGATGGCAGTGTGGTATGATGATGCAGTGATGAGATTCTTCCGATCCTCCTGTGAAGCAGACTTGGGTGGCAACTCCTCGGTCGAGGCGCTTTGCTCGGCATTTACGAATGATAACGTTTTCCCAGAGAGGACCCTCGATATCTCTTTTGCTGTCAGGACGGCGCTGGGTAAGCTGGCATGAGATTCATGCGACAAACAGCTCCCGAGAGAAGATGCTCTTCGCATAATACTAACCTCGGTGGTTTCTCGGCCCTCATGGGAAGATGGTTTCTCTGTTATGTCATCCATGGGAGGCCCAGGGTCTGGCGGCAGGGAGAACCTCCGAGTGTAGGCCGGGAAGCCAAATTTAGACGGCCGGCTCACCTGTGCGGCTTGGGTACCTTCTTCCTCGGAGGGAGTAATGGCCGTCCCCATGGTTGGCTCCTCCAATACACCACTGGACCTTTTTGTAGAAGCAACTGAACCAACTCTTGGTGAGCTGAAGACAGAGCTTCGTCTCGTATAAGACTCTGATGATTTAGGTGAACCCGCTAGTGTATGTCTTCTCTGCTTATGGTGTTCCTCAGGGACAACGGCCCGGAGATTGCCAGAAGACGACTTGACAATAAGTGGGGCCGCACAGACGGTCGAAGCTGCTGAGCCCCCAGTGCCGGAGATCTTACTCTTGGAGATGTTCATTTCGGAGAGACTTTCGTACGTTGGATGTTGATACACCTGCGTCTCGGCTACAGAGTAAGTGGCATCCTCCGACAAGCTCTTGGCAATCTCAGACTGCTTGTCATTGGCAACTGAAACACTCGAAGGTCCTGCATCAGAGACTAAATGCCTTGAAAGATCCTCTATGGAAGCTGTTACCTGGGTCACTTGTTTGATGTCCGACTGCTCCTTAGGGACAACGGCGCGGAGATTGCCAGAAGACGACTTGACAATAAGTGGGGCCGTACAGACGGTCGAAGCTGCTGAGCCCCCAGTGCCGGAGATCTTACTCTTGGAGATGTTCATTTTGGAGAGACTTTCGTACGTTGGATGTTGATACACCTGCGTCTCGGCTACAGAGTAAGTGGCATCCTCCGACAAGCTCTTGGCATTCTCAGACTGCTTGTCATTGGCAACTGAAACACTCGAAGGTCCTGCATCAGAGACTAAATGCCTTGAAAGATCCTTTATGGAAGCTGTTACCTGTGTCACTTGTTTGATGTCCGACTGGCGGCAGGAATCGAGTGAACCTGCTGACGACAGAGGGAGAGAAGTTTCCCTGATCAGGCTTTCAGATTCCGATGGTGTATGCGTTTTTATGACAGGCTGAGCTTCGTAGGTTGTTGACTCTTCAATTGGGATCCATGCTTGTGATCCCTCAACTCGCCCAGTGTCAAGCGTCGCAGAATGAGAACTGTACACGGAGCTCCTTCGTGGCCTAGGAGAAGCGACTGGCGGAGGCGACTCCTGGAAGGATGGAGTCCGCTGCTGGATGTGTTCTTCATACCTGACGGCTCGTAGTTTCCCAGACGATGACTTGACGATCAAGGGAGCTGCGTGACTGCTCGTAGAAACGGAACCTGTCCTCGATAGCATCACGGCAGAGTCGACCCTGGGATGACTCCCGCGGCTATGACGTGATACAGTTGCCATGGAGACGCCACCCGTGATTGCTTCCCTGTCTTCATCATATATCACGCTGTGGCGGCTGGAGAGATGTTCTGTTTGGCTAGCGGTAAATAATGCCTTCTTGGCTCTAGAGATTGACGACCGCGAGTGAGTTGACCCGCCGGATACAGAACTGCCGCTGGACCTTATCTTGCTGTCGACCAGCGAGCTCCGTTTCTGCATGGTGAGTGGAGAAACGGGGACAGGACCGGACAAGACGCTGGACACGCTCCCACCTCTGGGTTTACTCTCCTGGTACCCTGCCAACGATAGTACATCCTCAACACTTGCCTGGCCCTGTGACGGGGAGAGAGCAATATGGGTTGATCGCTGCTGCTCCACCTGTTCAATCGCTGGTGCTGGAGACGGTGGGAGAGAGACCGACTCGGCTGAAGAAGACTTCTTAGTTGGCGTTCCCACAACTTTTTCTGTCGACGCAATCTGCTTACTGGACTTTCTTCTCGATGTTGCATCAGGTACGGACTCCTTATGCATGGCTGATTGGCTCTCCTTGGAGCCAGTCACCGATGGCTTCTCGTCAAGACCATCGTGGCCTTCTCTGTCAGCTTCGGTGATCGGTTCGACAATCTCCGTAGTGTCTAAAGTTGCTTGGGGCGTGCTCTCCTTCTTGCCCTTGAACAAACTGTACGAATGCGACGACTTGAAGTTCTTGAATTCCTCTCGCGAGATTTCCCTGAACAGGTCGATTTCGGCATCGCTTAGAAGAGGCTTGTCGGGAGGGACAGAGTCCATTTGTATGACGGTGGTGGGAGAGGCACCTGGCTGCGAAGGTTCTCTCTTTTTTCTGTTCGGAACATACACAAAAGCAATTTAATATGAGACGCACAAAAAGACTGTGACTTTTTGTTCCCATCAGTTTGATAATCAAACGAATTAACATGAAAGATGAGAATGAAATGAAATGTAATGAGCAGATTCATTTTTATAATGATCAAAGTATTGAAGTGATAAAAATCATAGGGGACATTTTCCACACGAATGCGTACAGTACATGAAGGTAAAAGCGATTTCCCAATGAGAATTATCAATCGCATTATCAATAAGAATTGAGTAATAAGAATTGAGTGGACGACTGAGTAAAAAAAAACATGAGAGAGAAAATATTCGCGGGACTGATACATTTAAGTGATCAACATCAGTTCATGATTCACATTTGTTGCTCTTTTGTGACAGAACATGTGTTTTTTAAATTCATTCGTCGTGAATGCAAAATTCTTCTTTACATCCTCACATTAAATCACCCAATCCACTCCTCCACGGAACCCATATAACCGATTAATGTTTTTTTTTCAACCAAACTTACGGTTTTCTGTTCTTATAGAAGAAGAAAAGTCCAACTACAACAGCGACGAGAATACAAAATGCTATCACGGACATGGACGTATCACCGATGAAAAGCGAGGCTGTAGCATCAAAATAATGGGGAGGAAATGAAAATAAGAAAGATTGAGCAGATTTTTTTTAACATCACTTCCGCCTAAATGGTTAACTTATGCAATTTTACTTCTATTTCCTGTGTTAATACAGGGTGAGTCAAAAAGAAAGTGGCCGAATAAGGGGGGGAAATGAAAAATATGTGCCTAGCCCCATTTAAAAAAAAACACCACAGCAATAAAGAACATGTTATTGACTAGTAACTGAAAAATTCACGTAATTTTGCATACTCTATTCCCAAGTTAAGTCTATTTTGATTTGAAGATCACAAAACTCGGCTGTCCACCACTGATCATTTACCGGTCTACGAACTGATGAACAATGAAACATGGACGTTTTCCCACCTCAATGAACGGAGGAGAACTTACCAAGAAAACATAAATTACCAAAATCTCCATAAATATTTCAGGAAAAAAAAACTTGTTCCTCATAATGAGATTGATTTTAATAATTTAGTTTGACTGTCTTATTTTGTGTGTATATATTTGAATACACAAAATCAGACAGTAAAATTAACGTTTCAGTCTTGATTTAAATGATTAAAATCTCGTTTGTATCTGAATGCTTGTGTGTAATCTGTAATTCCCGCTCAGCTCAATAGCTTCCAATGGCACTCCGCTCTATAAAAATGGGTTCTTTTAGTAAAACGTGCACAACCCCTGATAGCATGGATCAATTTCAGTAATTCTTCTTGAGATGAGTGGAAGAACATGCTCTTTTAAGATTTATCTCATCGGTGTTTTACATTTGATAGCTTTTTATGAAAAACAACATTCATTTGGGTCACCTTCGTTTGGACTCGCACTGTACATATTACATGTAACTTAGCTGGAGTTACCTCAGACCTATATCCTAAATGACAATAGGGCTGAGGTAACTCCAGCTACAGGTAACTAATCAATTGCACATATAGGCTCTCTTTCTTGGAAGGAAAGACCAAGGTAAATAAGTGATCAGTTTTATAGATTCGAGGGAGAAACACGTACAGATACTCCAAGCAGCAAAACCCCAGCGAGTTTTCAGAAACAATATATAAGGAACAGATTAGATCCGGGCTTGGATCGGGGGCTTTTAACTGCCAGGAAGGGGAGGGGTAGCAGACGTTTTCTGTTCTTTTCTGTGCAATTTCCTCCTTTTTGGGCCCCCCCCCGGGGGGGGGGGGGGTTAAATCCTCTCACCCCAACCCCCGTTAGGCCTAGACTGTGCCCCCACAAATTCATACCAGTGTGCTCTGATGAATAATTTAAAACTTGCGACAACAAAATATTACCTAATGTTTTAAGCAACATTTAAACAAACAAATTAAAAGTGAAGCTTGGAAGGTAAAATCCAATCATAAAATAGTGTAGCATCATCCCATTCAACAGTTTACAATATATCCTCGTGAATACGGTCTATACTCTATACATGTCTGCAGTATTATAACACATCTCCCTAGAATCTCAAAGAAATTCCTGAGATTCCGGAAACACAATGACCAACACAAAAGGGAGGCAAGGGCGGATCTGAGGGGGGGGGGCAAAGGGGACCATACCCCCCCCAAAAAAAAACTTTTTTTTTTTTTTATTGCCTCAGATCGCACCATGTACCACAGAGCATCTAGAATCCAAATTTTTTTCGGGGCCCTTAAACGGGCCCCGAACCCCACGCCGTAATTTGTTTGACCCACTTTTTTGGGGGACCAACATTTTTGTTGGGCCCCCCCAAAAAATTGTGTTCTGGATCGGCCCTTGAATGGAGGGGGGGGGGGGGGTGTTCACTTCCGTCGCGTATGTTGCATCACATGCCCTGTACCCTGTACCCTGTTAGTTATACTTCCTCGAGGAGTTCTGAAGAGGATAACCACCAAGTACCAAGTACCAAGTATAGATCCGCAACTGATCACGCACTACACACACAGCCTTACCTTATACCTACTGTGGACGTTCTTTTGTATTCGTGTAGTAAAGAGAAAAAAGATAAGGACTCATTTTGTTCCCGATGTGAGCCCGCTTTCAACCCAAATTTGTTATCACGATTTCCTTGAGTGTTCCTCTTCATTTTGCGACGGATAAACCTAATCCAAAAATGCCTCTAAACCTGTTTTCCAGAGAGGGGGAAACCTAGTGACGTGCAAGTCATCAAAGCGCTCACGCTTCCTGCATCCTGTGGACCTCTTTTGTTCACAGGTTAACAAAGAGTAGGTTAGGTTAGAAAGATCACAAAAATGGTCAAAAATCAAGTTTCTTACAGACTTGGTCGCACGTGTGGCCCTCAAATTCGACGGTACATACACACTGGAACAGATGCCCGTTACTGCCATCGTGTTCCACGCAGGAGCCGCCGTTCTTACACGGGTTGTTCTTGCAAGTGAGCACGTCTAAAAGAAAAACAATTGTAGACATTTAATGTTTTCCTAATCTCGTGAGAACATCCAGCAACACTTTTGCATCGACTACGCCCTCCCCCACCCCCACCCCAAAAAAAGGCTTAGTGAAAAAGCACCTGGAGTTACAGATCAAATTGCAAGTCAGATTTGAACAGCAATAAAAAAATCCTTTCATACAATAAGCACATACATGTACAATTACATGATTGTGTACAAGCTTTCAGTCAAATGTCTTTCGCAGTACAAAATCACAACTTTGCATTTCACGGAATGAATCTAAGGCTTTAGTGTCTAGATAATTTTCGACGTCAGGAGGAAAACATTATTTCTCAAAAGGTCTTTTTTTTTAATCACATTTTTGCATTTAGAAAAAAAGGTTAGAAATAATAAACAGGGTCTAAGATTAAATTTTGGCGTGTTTTAGTTTAAAACCGATGTATAGCGATGGACTGGATATTTACCGATCTTAGCATCCGCTGTCTCGCTCGTATTATCGGCCATGATGACGACGCAGTGATAGGTTCCTGCATCTTCGCTCTGAACACCGCGTACTATCAGCTGGCTTCCCGTTATCTTGAATCTAACGAGGGACAGAAATTTATATGAGTGACGAAAACCGTCGGGCACTGGCGTAGACCGCCATCAACGAAAACCACAGAACATTTGCAATTATATTTGTACCAAGCAGAATCGCGAGCGATGTTTATGTGGTAAACACGTATTCGCTCGCTGCATCAATAACGTGATTTCGTTCAGGTAAATTCCATCACACACGGCTCTTTTGACGTTTAATGAAACTTGAGATTCAAATCTTTTTTTTGGCGGGGGGGGGGGGATTCATGAAAACTGTGCCAGTTATGGTGCGAGCCCGAGACCTCCATATTTTATTCTTAATTTCCGGCATCACTGATTACCCCAGGAGACCTTGTTGACTCAAAATGTGAGAACCGTCAGTCATTATTTCGAAGGGGCTGTAACAAGAAATATGTGAAACGACATGGCCACGCTAAAACAAAATACAGCTCTAAGACCAAACACCAAACTAGCAAAGCCGAATGAAATCGTAGAATCTGTACTGAACCGCTTCTTCCAAATGGTGCAAATACACGTATAGGTTTCACAGTGATAATTTAATTGACAAAGCAGTTCTTAGTGTTTGATACATGTATATCGTTATGGGCTCACTCACTTGTCACTGAAGGCGACACTCTCCTTAGTAATCTTCTCCCCAGTCGGGCTCATCCAGTAGATTTCCGTGGGTGTCTTGCTCGTGTCGTACCGGCAATCAATCTCTGTGCTGTGACCCTCCTCTTGAACAATATCTTCGGCCTTCTCCTCTGCGACCGGTAATTTGGTGGAGATGTTCTGATTATACTCACTTATGTATGTTTTTACGACCGTTGTGAAAGCCAATTTATGGAGGGCATTGAAGTACATCAACATATTCGTTGTACATGTACCAATCCGTTCCTCTGAATTTTTTTATTTCATTTTTTTCTTAATGTGGTGCATTCTCCGAATGTAACGCGACAATCACCATCAAATAAAAGTTTGAGATAAGTTCTGAAATGTTCATAACAGGCCCTGAGCAAGAAGCACAGGCGTGAAATCTTTAAACTTGTTTCGTGGCTTGGAAATAGCATAAGGCAAATCATCATACATGTTAGACAAATGATAGCATTTAACTTTTAACCTATAAAATGGCATAGGCACGTCTCACACATCTCAAAATAGGCTTGTTTATAATACTACTTTCACCACGGATAAATCTGAAAGATTTTTCCATATTTGATACATTTGTCAATGAAAATTTCGACCCCTCCCTATTCCATATCCGCAAATAAGATCGTAACAGGGCACACCATTGTTTGTTTTTCTCTTCCAAAAAGAGTCATTTATCCTCGGCTCACCTTCCAGGCACGCGTCGACAATACACTCCGTACTCTCCTCGCCGCTACCGGTGCAAAGGTCGTCCCGATTCTCCGGCGAGCACGTCCTCTTGCGGACGAGTATGCCCTTGCCGCAGGTCTCTGAACAGGAACTCCAGCTGCTCCAGTCCGACCACTCCGGAGAAGTTGTCACGGGGTCGGTTTGATCGGATGACGGCGGGGGTTTCACTTGCACCTGACCAGAAGGGTCATACTCCGGATCCTGTCGTCGTAACCGGTTGCTGCGCTTCTGGTTGCCGTCAGCAGGTGACGGGTTAGCACCTGTATTTGTCAACTTCCTCCGGTCTTTGGCTCCTGTCATTTTCTGTTCTCTCTTGCTGTCTTGCTCAAGGACCAACCGCTTACCTCCAGTGACCCCGAGATGTCTCCGGGCACGTCTCACTCTCGTCCTATCAACTGAGTTCAGCTCTTTTTCAATCTGATCCATTTCCTCATCATCTGCCAAAGTATCATCATTGTCGTCACCGAAATCCATCTCATCCCTCTCCTCGTTTGTTTCGAAATCGTTATCTTCACTTTTGGATTTCCACGCATTTTTACGCGACTTCTTGGCCTGTTGCACCCCACCACTGCCACCGTTGCTCGAATCAGCTTCCGCTTCTTTATGAATATTTACTTGGTACCCATCATCGTCTTCAATATGAATGTGTATCTTTGTTTTATCCATCTGCTCCCTTGACGGCTTCTTTCGGTGCTGGTGTCCACTGACTATTTTTCCAATCCGACTGGAAGAGTCGCCTTTTTCATCAGCTAAAGTAATGTTCGGTTGGACGCCGCCCGACTCGAAATCACGGTTGCCTATGTAGATACCATGATCCTCTTGGTTGATTAAAACCAAGTTGTTTCCCCGCCCGTCAGCGGGTGGCAGCAGGTGTTTTGTCAGTTGACTGGAAGCTTCGCCGGCTTTGAGAAGATCCAACATTTCAGAGAAATATTCCAAGTTACCGGCCTCAACCTTTCCGGTGATGGAGACGTTGACCAATTTGTGCTTGCGATTATCGACATTTTCATGGGAATCTACGGGGAGGGGAAGTTTCACATTTTCTTCTTTCTGTCGCTGTGTTGGCACAGGGTTTAAATCTGGGAATGGGTTTTCATAAATCTGCAACGAGTTTGGACCTTTGAAATCCGGCTTTTGACTTCTAGTTGAAGTTTGCGGCATCACACTCGGACCGAGTTTGAGACGATGAAATACCTGATCTACGTTTGCCATTTCTCCATCCAGTAGCTTAGCTGTCATGCTTCGTGTTTCAATGGGAGGTGCCTGAGTTGGCTGAGACGTTCCTGCACCGTCGTCAAATATGCCTGTGTCGTCAAACTCTATTTCAAATCCGACGTCTTGTGGGGAATTGGTAGACGACTGAGCCTCCAGGTCATGCACCTGTGTCCTATGCCCTTTGGTAATCTTTCCAATGACAGTCGGTATTAAGGCAGTCTGATACTCAACCTTTTCTTCTAGGTGAGGGAATGGTTCTAGAAATAAATCTGGCGGTTGAATTTGGTTAGTAACATGCGAAGTAGTTCCATTCTCTGGATGGATCAGGACCAAATCTTGTCGGAGAATAATGCCGGGTTCGGGAGTGACGATCTCTCTCAGCTCCGTCTGGAAGTTGTCTTCCTTCTGGCTTTGTTCAAAGCTCCCACCCGATTCTGGATTTTGGACACTGTCATAAGACTCCGCCTGTGTCGGTGTGGGATGGATAAGGACGAGGTCCTGCCTGAGAAACACGTCCGGCTCGGGCGTGATGATCACATTCATCCTTGTTTGGAGATTGTCATCGGGAAGCAGGTCAGCTTCTCGTAGGTCGTCGGTAACCGGATTGGGATGGACAATTAAGTCTTGTCGCACAAGAACTCCTGGCTCTGGGGTCAAAATTGTCATGTATTCCGTTTGCAAATTTCCATCTGTTGTGGGTTCCGAGAATCCATTCAGCTTCGGTTTTTCATCGAAATGAGTAGCATCGTTGTGTTTCCCTTCTGCCTTTTCTCCATTACTATTGACTTCCTGCTTCGTTTTTCTTCTCCGATGCTGATTCGGCATAGCGTCGTCCCCTGTCAAACCAATTTCATTCCACATTTTTAGGAAGTCACCTTTTACGCCACTGTTGCCTGAAATGCTCGCGAGGCGTCTTTGGGCGCCCTTTACTACTGATGGACTGTCTAAGCTTGTATCGGCATCGTGTTCATCGTTTTCGTCAGTATCTACAGGCTTCGAAACTTGACCTGAGGGGTGTTTCGTGGAGTGCAAGCGATTCTTGAAGTCCGTGTATGTCTTCAATAGGTGCCTACATTTCTGATCACGAAGACCATGGACTATCTGTCCCAGTTCACCCAGTAATGAGTCATTCCTAGTCCCATTCTTCTCGGACGTCCTGTCCGTTAATTTCGGTTTCTCGTGATGACCACCGGTCTCCTTAGAATAAGTGTCGGCTTGCCTTTTCCTGTTTGATAGAAGGCCGAAAATCTTGGTGACGTTCGTCCGAACGTCGTCTATACCTTTAGAGAGAACCTTCATGTTTCTATTGACAACAGCCGGACTTGGAGTCGTCGTGGCTGGACTGAGCTTCTCATTAATAGAGTCGATTGCATCCAACAGCAATTCAGTATTATCTACCTCAGTGTCCTCCTCTGTGTTTCCTAAGCCCACAAGTGAGCCCGGTTGTGATTCGTCGAGAAGACGTGGCGGCTGTGGCAGTCTGAGTGGGTGCCTCACAGGATCCCGGAGATTGTCTCTTGTTTCGGCGATCGGGAAGTCCGCATCGTCATCATAATAATCATCGGTTATTCGCCCGTGATGAGCAGGAGGCAACTTTCCCATCACTTGGCGATCACTATAATCATAGTCTACATCAGTGTCCGGCAAGGATACGGGACGATTGACCGGGGCACGTCTACGAGTCACTGAGGCCCTGAATGGAAGGTCGGTCCGTTCATTGAAACTCATCACATCTTCATCGCTCGGTCCAAGGACTCCATTTTGATCCGGTACCCGATCCCATGGCCCGCCCTCTGCCCGCTGGTCGTCGGCTTCAAAGAACATAGGCGCATCGGTACGGTGACTGTCGTCCGCTTGAACCATTCTAGGGGCGGGCCGGGAGTTTTGTCGGTCTCTTGGTAACAGGACCGGGTTTTGGTCTCCGGTAGTAACAGCTGGCGGTAGAGGTGGTTGATACTTGGAGGCGGAAGCCAGGTCCGCAGTAAAGTCTGCAAAGAAGATGTTGTTTCTTTTTTACATGTGTGAAAATACATTAACTTCAAGAGAAAGAGAGAAGGGTATCATCCGGGAGATGAACACATGTCAACATGAATATTCACAAAAAGATGATTCCACGGAAATCCATGGCCAACCAACAGCAAGCATCATTAACGTTTAACAGACTTAAGTATAACGCCCTGGGGCCGTATTCACAAAACGACTTAAGTCATAAAAAAGCAAGCACCCCACTTAAATATGCGACTTAGACTAGTTTTACAATTTAAGCAGTATTCACAAAGCATTTTCACTAAGCGCCCCACTTATTTTCATGACTTAAATCTAAGTGTGGTCGGACCTGTCTTAAGTCAAGTTAAGTGGGGCACTAGGGTGTCATGGCGGCTTTATTCCTTTCCGTTGGTTGGTATTTTTAGGCACAAAATTGGACTTTCTAGGGGTAGAGGGAAATATCGTCAATAACGAATGATTGTAAAAGGAAAGCCACGTTGAAATTAATGTGTGACAACCTAAAGATTGTAGTTCGTCGACATTCTGACAGTCATTTTCGAACGATTTGTTGATTTTTTATGCGGGCGGCACGGGTACGATTGACGAAACCAATGTAATGGCATGCACAGTCCTACCACGTGACTGCCGAAAGGCTATTAATTAAAATTAACTGCCTTACCTTCCAGCGCGTATGACATAAATCATCATGACAATTTGTTTCATACTCGATAGTAAATAAAATGAACAATTCACTTGTAGTTTAGTTGTTCAAACGACCGTAAAAACTATGGTAAATAACTACATGCACTGAGAGCATACGATGTGCATGACGAACTAGGTGGACGCGCGCGTGACGCAGATAAGTTTTTGTGTATTAAATTGAGCTTGGAAACTGTGTCGCAGAATACGCACACGCACGATTGTGTTGAGGAAACACGCACATTATTGATTGAACTGCTGCTGCGTAGGAACGTTTATGACGTACATATTTTGTGCATTGAGCAAGAGTGACTGTTTTGAACACTTAAGTTAAGTTGAGCACTAATATAATTGGGGTGCTTAGATCTTTCGTGAACACCATATTAAGCGTCCCACTTAAGTTAGTAGGGTGCTAAGATTTAAGTCTGGCTTAAGTTATCTCTTAAGTTTGAGTTTTGTGAATACGGCCCACATTAATTTTACTTTGTAACATATTTTGTGCAACTGTCTACTCCTAAAAAAAACAACAACCTTGACATCCCTTTTGGGTTAATCTTATTGAAAAGAGCACTTCTTTAAACATTTAAAATTGTCCATGCTTTTCCGGACAAATCTTTTCAAATTGTTAAGCCAAAATTTGCTAATTGGAAACATTTTGTGAGAAAACTTTGCTCCTTGGCCTACTGTCATATGCTGAAACGACAACAAATCACCAAAGAAGAAAAAAAACATTTATGACAGCAAATTATCCAAAATTCTGGCCAATTTTTGTGCTGAAATAGCTGTAACATTGAGTTTTGCGCCTGAAATGACATCACACTTTTGCTCATGAATATGCAAATTTTCATTAGCATAAAAACTGAAAAGGCACCAAAATGCCTTTAAAAATGGCAAAATTAAAATTGAAAATAAGGCTAAATAGGATACAAAGGTGTATTTTTAAGAACTGCGTTAAAACAATTACATTACAAAAACATGGGCCCTTTAAAAAAAATGTACTTCTGCCGATTCATGGAACAATACCAAAATCTGACGCAGATTGTTAAAAAAAATAACCTGTCGAAGTTTCAGCTCAGTAGAGATCATACGTTTAGAAAAAATTGTGACAATGCAGGTCTCACTCTCGGGATATGTCACTAACTGCAAAACAAAAGCAAATTCGATCAATTGGAGGCAGTATTTGAGGGGTGAAAACGCCGTTTTCCCCGCCTCGCGATGGTTGATTCCAAACCATTGCGTGGAAAGTGATGGTCACTCCTCTTTTCTTAAAAACAGAGCACTCAAAGAAGGGCAACGATTTCACAGCATGCTTGCTCCTATTGTTTACTTACAATCGAGTGAGATAATTCATGCTATCTTGGCAGTTTCTTTGTTGAATGATTGCACATGGTGTCTGTTATAACCTTTAAAATAAAACATTAGATCAAACATGACGCAAAATTAAGAAGTATGACCGGGAATGTCTACCTGTTCCTGAATCTTCAACCTCCAAAAGAATGTCATCCGACGCCGTCGGTGCTCGTCCTAGGTAGCCGACTGAAACGTGGAATAGGTACACAGCCTGGTGCGGCTCCACTCGGCTGATTCTGACTTCACAAACCCGCTGGTTTCTTAAAAGAGAATGAAGCAAGGCGTTTAATTACGATGATAGTATCATGTCGGCTTTTTGGTCATGACCAATCTGTTCAGAGTGGTTGAGTAATGTCAAACACGGTTAAAAACATAGATATTACATAATAGGCCTAAGAACAGAAAAACACATTTCACAGCAGTTTTTAAAATGTCGCAGCTTTGGTGTCCCTTTTACGCGTGAAACAGTGAACTATTTAGCTGTCAGAAAATTAGTTAGATGTTTCATATGCTTTGCTGCCAGATATTAAAAGTACTATAATTTGAGCAACTAAAATCATTGGTGTAGACCTTTCTTTTGTTTGTAAACATTGGCGCCATTTTATATGGGCTGCCGCAAGTGCATAAATTGAAGCCATGGTTGGCAACATGTTTCCCCCCAAAAAGTCCCCATAACGCCCTTAATACAAAGTAAAAAAAACATGGTTAGCAAAATGTTGTAGCTTTGTTGACAATGTTGTATTTCCAACAATCAAATAATATTTCGGTTATCTGTAATAACTCGTTTTAATTTTTGCAGTGTTGGACCTTCCATAATTTGCAACCCGTGGTTGGCAAAAAATGCAGGTTGCCAACCAAGCGTAGAAAAGTCTATTCGCTCTTTTCACACTCCGCCATGGGCATGCACAGCCTCGATCTGGCAACTTTACACAATAAAAATGGCCGGTTCAGTGATCTGAACCCCGACACGGGAATCACTGAATCCCGACACGGGAATCACTGAACCGGCTATATTTATTGTGCAAAGTTGCCAGATCGAGGCTCTGCATGCCCATGGCGGAAGTGCGAAAAGAGCGAATAGTCAACGTCTGTGCCTCCGTCCACACTTGGGTTTTCTGAAAGCGGTCTCCAGTCAGAGAGAACCTCATCTTTAGAGGATGCCATGCCTACAGTGGACGCTACTTTGGGTGTTGAAGAGATTACTGTTGGTAATACTAGGGAAACAAAATATCACAATGTAAAGAGGGATACCAAAATTCATTGGCCCCTCATTTACGAGAATAGGCCATATGCGTTTGTACAATGTGTAAAACTACTCACTGGCACTCTTGGATTTGACGCAACTGTCCAGTTTCTTGTGTGTTTCCCTTCTTTATCTCCAACCATTCAATGTGGATGGGCAAGGACGGCCGATGAGCTTCCGGCGGGGTGACACCAATGACGAACCGGAAATGATCCTCGGAGGAGGGGATGATGGCAAATCCATTCGTGGGGTGGATGACTTTCAGGCATGGTGCTCTATCCGTTGGTAGCTCTGATAGTGTTAATAATCAGTATAATTGCGTTTGAGTTCAGAAAAAGACTACGCCTTAAATGTTAACACTTAAACAGAACCACAAGAACACCGTCTTGGCTATATGCACATACACATTTTCAATTCCAATTCAATTTAATTCAAACTCACATAGGCCTATATACCAAAATGAGAAATACCAGCATAGAATACACGATTAAGTACGTGAAAAGGCGAAAATATGAATAGGTATGGAGGCATCTACTGGAAGATGCCTTGGACGGACATATAGTCGTGTTCCCTAACGTGGCGCACTTCGAAGCTTACCCAACTTTCCTCGTGTAGTGTTGCCAAACCTCTTTGTTGACAAACCTCAAATTCATGCAGTGAAATACTGGTACTTTTACCTTTTTAATGCTTGCTATTTAACCTCTGTGAACAATTTCAGTTTCATAAAATTTAATCCGAAATGCAAAAACGGTCGCGTCCGGAAATTGGGCACAAATTGGCGGAGTGTTCCCTAACGTGGCGCACTTGAATAAAATAATCTCAGAAAATTCCAAATTAACATTTAAGAATTTCTGTAAACTTGATAAATTCTGATAAATAATTTTTATCTTTACTTACAAACCCAGCAAGATGTTTGTCAGAAAATTATTTTCTTATTTTTCGGGGCATTTTCAAAGGGTTCACTTTGCACTTGAAAATAAAATCGGAAAATCACGCCAAAATAATTTTTTCTTTTAACTTTGTAACGGGTAAATAAACTCGCGATTTATGAACGGGAGTGTTTAGAACTTGACGAAATTTCACTTTCTGTGAAATTTCAGTTAAAACTTTTGCTCTAGCTAGGCGCTGCAGGCGAAAAATAAAAGTGCGCCACGTTAGGGGCCGCGCCACGTTAGGGTACATCAACAATACACAAAACAGAAACAAGAACAAGTAGGCTTACATGCACACGGACAGTTGAATGAAGACAGAACCTAAGCATGCAAACTTGCAAACTAGAACATTACGTAAATGTATTAAGAGAGAACACAAACAAAAATTGCTGAAAAACAAAATGAGAAGCAAGCTGTGTTAAATATTGAGAGATGAGAACATTTTGATCTATAAAAAAAGTATAAGCGACCCACAAATGAACTTAAGCCTGTAGTCTTAAAAACTACGTCAGAGTGAATAATTTATTCAAGACTCAATGAAGGCAAGATAAACAAATACAATGCAATTCGGGTGCCTAGGCAAAACAAAGGGGTAGGGCCTAAAACAAACTTGTTAGAGTCTGATATAGGCCTAGGCCTAACTGGTCCAATATTGTTTAGTGGGCCGAGCGGAAATGTCATTTTGAACCGCCCATTTTAATTTATAAGGGATGCTCACACCGTAAGCTAATGTCAACATTACTTCTGCTAGTCCCAACTGGTTAGGCTAGTCCGTTTTGTGACATTAAAGGGCTTATAGCTTAATGTTACAGCTATATGCAACGTAATTTTTGTAATGCAATTCTTGGAAATGCACCTTTGTGTCCCATTTAAGCTTATATTCTATTTTCGTTTTGCGATTTTCCAGGGTAATTTTGGTGCCTTTTTTATGCTGATGTGAATTTCCATATTCATGAGCAAAACTGTGATGTCATTCCGGGCGGAAACCTTTATGATACAGCTATTTCAGCACACACACAAAATTGCTAGAATTTTGGATATTTTGCTGTCATGATTTTTCTTTTCTTTGGTGATTCGGTTTTGTGTCAGTAGGCCCTGCAGGGCAGTAAGCCAATTAGCAAACTTTCTAACACAATTGTTTTTAATTGGTACATGTTGGGTGAATTCCCAATTTGAACAGAAAGCCCCTTAACTGAGCAGTGTCTTCCTGAAATGACATCACAGCAAATGAACGCCCTCAGTTGACTTTTCAATAAAATTAACAAAAAAGGCCTACCGGTACATAAGAGGAGTAAAAAGTTGCACAAAATGTGTTCCTAAGAAAAATTTAGGGAATTGGAGTTTTATCCCTCCTATTTCTCCTAGGCCTTCCATGCCTTCCTCATCACTTCTACTTCGACCTAGGCCCCCGACTTCTATCTAGGCCGACATTTGGTGAAAAACAAGTCTTTTTAAAAAATCGCAAGAGGCATTTCTACTTCTGGCGATCGTGTAGCCAACTTCTACGTGGGTAATTGACAGTGCGTCCAACAGTTGGATATTCGTCAATATTTGCTTGACGTGAAGGTTAGACGCCGTCTTGATTGCATTACAACTGCGGTAAGGGATCAGTCATGTCAGTCCACGGCCGCCTGGGCTAGATCTCCGCAGTGTAGATTTAACGGTTTTACATGGTAGACCTATATAGTTCTACATGTACTTGTATATTGGTGCTGAAAGAGTGATTTATGCCACCCATCCTTTGTCGTTTGTAGGCCTAGGCTACATTATTGTTAAGGCCTTGATTTAAAATCCAAAGTCAAATGTTATTTAGGCCTCGGCCTAGTTAAGCAACAAATCGACTTACCACTAGGCGCTTCTCTCCCGTCATAGCAATGCCACCCATTCTTGGCTAATGCAGCCAAAGAAACTGTATTTTCGCTAGGCTCAGCTACAAGTACAAGTCTGGCCAAAATTACCAACAATATCCATCCCCTAAAGCGACGAGGATCCATGACGACATTTGGGAACTAAGAAGTTTCGATTTTTTAAAATCAAATTAGGCTAGTTCTAGGTTTGCAAATCGTATGTCTGGGCGATGCGTACGCGCACTGCTTCGAAAAATGCGTGCAAAGCGTGGAGACGCGCACGGAGCGCTCGACTCGCGCGGGCGCGTGCATAAAAGGAGCAGGCGCGGGAGCTGGAGCGAGATAAAGAAACGGGCTTTCTAGTCGACTACACACAAGTCGTAGAAAGATCGACTGTTGCATTATCGTTCGGTATCATGACCGTGACTTCAGAGTCTAGTGAATGGAAAACTATTAGATATAGACCAATTTTAAACTTGATCTTCAAGTAAACTTGAATCCTCGATCCTGATTGGTCGATCCATGCATGGCAGTAAGCCGTGCTAAATATAACAATGTAGCACGGCCACGACCACACCGCCCTCCGCGTGTTGCGCTATTCTAAGATGCGCGCGCCATTCCGTACAAACACGCTCGTGTAATAGGACTTATAAGCGCTGAAGTTTGTGTACAGCGTGCGATTCATCTTCATTGTGCGTCAATTTGTTTGAAGATAAATTCGTTATCACGCTCGCGGAACACGGAAAATGTAGTGCGTCTGTGTCCCACATTCCGTGTTCCACTCATAGATATAGAACTTATTTTAAGTTCCAAATCTATGGTTCCACTCACTCGCGCTTGCGGGATAACGTATAGAGCGCCACACGAGATACACTAATATCTGGTGAACATGGGCGTCGCCAGGATTTTTTCTAGAGGGGGGCAAAAAAAATTTTGCCAAAAAATGCTTGTATTTCTCAACACATTCTCGATTTATCAGTTTTAGAGGGGGGCAGGGACATTTTGCCCCCCCCCCCAACTCATTAAATTTACACCACTTTGTCTTCGCGCCTCTTTTTTTTTTTTTTTCCTTTTTTTTTTTTTTTTTGCTTTTCCGGGGGGGGGGGGGGGGGCAAGTGCCCCCCCTTGCCCCCCCCCTTGCCCCCCCCCCCCCTCGCGACGCCCATGCTGGTGAATTCCCCCGTGATGCCCTGCCAATTATATATCTCTCTTGTCTGAAACCATTTGCCATTTTTTTTATGCGAGACAATGACTTATTCAGTCAAATTCAGGCCTATATACCGACCCAATGGCTTTCACAGAAAAAAAACAAAAAACATCCGCGAATATGACTGGTCAGAGCATGGCCGTTAACCAAAAAAAGAGAGAATCTTTCGATATGATGGCAGAAACCTTGATAGAGCTCATAATGAAATACCCTTATTCCATGAACTGTACTGACACAACCTCGTCCCCAGGGTGTCGGGCAGTACGCACCCACCAATGCCTGCTCTTACTATTAGAAACGAGGTTCGAAATAAAGTAAGCACTGGGTACGAGGTTGGTACTGACACCTTCAAATTAGGATGTGCGCTGGCAACATTTTTTTTCTGCATGCGTTAGCATCGAAATCCAGTGTTTTCTCAAAATGTATATTATCCACTGAGCTGAAAGTTCTGCACGTTACAATATGTACAGTCGAACACTGATAAGGAGAGCACTATTAAAACACAACGTCCTGCTTATAGCAAGGACAATTTTAGGTCCTAAATCTTTGTTTATCTTTGTTTTTCATTACTGATATTATAAGGTACCTGTTATAACAAGGTAATCTGTGAAGTCCAAGAACTTTCTTATAAAGGTGTTCGATCGACTGTATATATTTCCACAAAATGTGGACTAACTCACTTTTGATAAACTGGGGCAGTTATGGCAGTATTTGAAGAAAGTAAAGTTTTTTTCCCAACGATGGTCGGCCGACCATCGTTGAAAATTGATAAATAAATTCCACTTTTCTTGAAAATGACAGCACACCAGGTGCCATGATTTCACAGGATGCTTGAGACTACTATTCACTTACAGTCAAGTAAGGTATTTCATAATAATTTGGTAGGTTCGTTTTTTGATGTTTGCAAATGTTGTATATTACCTTTAAGTTGATAAATTGAAATTGATTCAAAATATTCAACAGCCGAATAAAAATAATGAAATAAAAAAAATAACAGGGTAACAAAATCTACCGTTGTAAACCAAGCAGAGAATAAGTTTATTCAAAGAAAAAGAAAACCAGTGCACATATTTCTAATCATTTCTCTTAATATAACTTTCATTAATAAATTCCTTTTCCACGCAGCAGAAAAATTGGAAAGAACACTACACACAAACAAACGAAAAAAGTTCATTATCTGTAATCAACAATTATTACATCATTAAATATTCTCCGTCTTCTCAAGCTGACTCTTTTTTTTCCTTGGTAATCGTCCACATAAAAATATGAAATATAAACGTTAAACAGGCATGTATGCTGGAATCTTTTGTTTTTCTCATCCAGAAAATTACTAGCAAAACGTTTTCACGGAAAGAGCGTTGAGATCATAAGGAATCGTTGTGTTTAGGGGGAGGTAGCCCCCAAAACGCAACGGGCCACTTCACACCTCTTTCTCGCATACAGTCACGATAAACCAACGTTTATGTTCTTATGTACAATGTACAGATTCGTTTTTAAAAAACTCTGACAAAACTCCTTCCAACATAGACACATCCCTTATGCTTAACTTCGGGCAGATTTATGGATCTTTTTCTTTTCATGATCTGGATCACAGGTTGACATAACTCCTAAAAGTTATTTTTCTTCCTCGCGGTTCCAATTTCTTAATGTTACCTCATGCAAAACACATTTCCTGGATTTGAAAGGCAATCAACACTGTCTTTGCAGCAACTCCAACTGCTTCTTCCCTTCTACCAAAGCAGGCATGCATCTGTGGCCACACCCTCCAACAACTCGCAATTACCACCAAAGAAAAAAGTACACATGCAATCATAATTTACTTCTAAGATCCAAGTCAACAGGCGTCCACTTTCATGCAATCCATAAACTCGATCAAAAGTCTTGGGGTTTTCGTAAACTTATTTTTTGACAGCAGCAAATCGTATTTCCAATACATAGCTGTAGTGTTGGCTGGACATAACACTCATGTACATTATACTCTTATTACACTATTACATTACTCTTATAACAATAATTTAACTATACACTATATAAAACATAATACAACAGTCCTGAGATTTTTGTTGGTTTTTTGCTATCAAATCACAAGTACTGTGGACGAATCGTCTCCCTTTTTCTCTTTACGTGTACCTTAAGTTCTGAAATTTTCTGGGTAGATTGTATAAAAAATAGAGTGTGGCAATGCTATGACAATTAACGCAGGGGTTTTGAGCAATTTTCCTGTAAAATTGAATGCAAACTGTAAACTGTAAACATTAGGACTAAGTCATTCTCATTAAATTTCATTAAATAATTGAATAAGTGATGTCTCCTCTGACTGTAACATGCACCCTCTGTTGACTGGCATTAGTCCTGGCAGTCAAGTCCATCCCAAGTCAATCAAAAAGCAATCAAGAGTCAAACCACAAGTCAAGATGCAAGTACGGCAACAGGTAGCAAAAAGTTCAAACGAACAGCTCATTACTCAGCTTGACACTAGATAACTTGCGACTGACTTGTGACAACTTCAGTCGACTACAACTCCTCCTGGTAGTTTGACTACCTGGGAAAGAGGGCGCATGAGTTTTTCTCACAATGGAAACCTTGACGTCGACTGAAACCTTCGGTCCACTGCAGCAACATTTGAAAAAAGATACTTAGTTGTGACTGTGACTAGGAAGTATGGAATACAAGAGAGCTGTTCAGGTAAGTTACTTGATAGGAAGCACTTTTGATGTTCTAACGTTACACTTCTAAATTTGGAATTAAAGCAGAGAGTCACTTGTCAGATGTGCGTGAAATGGTATAGGGGAACTTTGTGCTTCTCTTACTGTATTTATCTTTTTTTTCACAAACAAGGAATATTTTCTCATGAGACTGCGAAACAGCAAAACGGTTTGATAGTTTGGTTCAGAATGAAACTCAGCATTTCATTTAGAAAATAATCTATTCCAATCTTATAGTACAAGTATACACAGTAGAGAGATACAAAAACGGATACCTATTTACAACCACTTATAAACGAAAACACGTCTCTTCTACAATTTTGCTATAGCGGGTGTCACCATGAAGGCAACCGAATTACCGTTTTGGTCCGGAAAAGGCCACGAAAGGGTGATGAGCATATACACCTCACTATAAAAGAGGGTTTCAAGATTAGCACTAATCTGAAACAAGGCAAAGAGACAAAGAACTGATGGAACTCGTCGACTGCTCCCCCCTTCCTAACAAAAAGAAAAATGAACAACTACACTGACTGCAATGACGGCTGTAGAGTCTCAAAAAGAAGCTTTGCATGTCTTGCACATGACTGCAAAGAACAGAGTTTTAAAATTGTCTATATGGAATTAGTACAGGCTGCTGAACATGTAGTCCGTTTTTTCATGGAACCTTCAATTTCTTGCATTTTGTGATCGACAGTAAAGAGCAAATCGAGACAAAACTGAAATTGTTCTCTGAACTTGTCACCAACGGTTAAGAAAAAGACAAGCTTTTGATTTTTTGTTCTTTTTTTTGAAGACCTTTATAATACAGAGATGTTTGTGCAAGTAATGTATTTAGTGTGAATGTAATTTCCTGCTTTGGCGTATTTTTTTTCTTCTCTTGTTTGGAGATCGTTAAAATGAAAAAGTATCTGCCACAAAAATGTTCCCCATAACCTATCGCGACAAGGTCGGAAGATAACGCTAGTTTGACGCGACCCAGAAAGATCTGTTTGGGAGGTATTGCAATAGAAGGTAAACAAAGAAATAAAAAAATAACTAATACATGGAAAAAGAAAACTATTCCAGAAACCGAGATGAACAGTCACTTCAACAGAAAGCTCCATTCCGACAAAAAAAGTATATTTGTCATGTTAAATTGCATAGGGGTATTAGACAAAAACAACCAAACTATCAACAAATTTTCACAAAGGCAATGTCCTGGATCACTCTGTCAAGTTCACATTTGTTTGCATCACTTTCTGTACTTGAAAGATTAAAAATACGGTGACCACAAGGCTTGTCCGATGAAAAAAACCAATAATTAAACAGTGCAATTTTAAAGGTGTGTGCATTGATTTAAAGTAAAAAAAAGAAAAAAAGAAGGGAATTGACTGTTTCTAACTTTCCAACTTTGCTGCTGAATCTGCTCTTCCAAAAAAAACAGAGATAAGTTTCCCATCAGCCTCTTCTACAAATATTAAATCATTCCAATGTCGCGTCAGGCACACAATGAAACAGAAAACATCGGTTGGCTAAATATTCCAATACCCTGACATAACTGGCAAATCTGCATTTATAGTTGGATGATTACGGAAACCAACAGGTGTCTCTTTCCCCCTCCCCCCCCCCCCAGTTTGTCTGCTTACATTAAGTGGCAACAGAATCATTAGTCAATGAGGACATTTGGTATCAGTTTTTTTTCCCAGCACACATCTTCACAAAGGGATCTGGAACGAGGCAAAGGCTGGTGCCTGTAACACTTATTTCAAACTCTCTGCTGAAGTCTTCTGGGAACCAAAATGCGATGGCAGCACCTCTCTCAAGAAAAAATAAAAGGAAAGATTATCCACCACAGGAACCATATTGATATTTTTCTGATGCGCATTGTTGCTTCGTCATTTGCCAGCTACTTCTTAAATTTGACTTTCAGCCTCATCCAACCAAGAATACTAACAGAAACCTCCCATAAATTTCCTTGTCCACAAGACTCTAAAGACCGATCCATTCTTTCTGTAAACCAATGCTGTGAAGGTTTTGTTTCACTGATAAAAGCTGTTCGATTTGACGGATCTCAAGCTGTCATCAGACAACAATGGTGCATAGGTCACAAAAGGTGCCCCCTCAGTTACTTAACATTCAAAAGAGAAAGCATTTGCTGTAAACGGAATTTTACAGGAAGGTCGACAGACGGGGGTTTGGCTCCAGGGACATGGGTCAAGAGTCATCTTCATCGTCCGAGGACAACGCCAGATGCCTGGTGTCATTCAGCTCGCCCACACATTTGGCCAGAGTGGAAGAAGCCTCGAAGTTACTGATGGCCAATCTGGCAAGATGGATCTCGTGTCTGCGCAGTGAACTACAAGGACAAGGAGGAGAGAGAAAGAAAACGGTTATTCGCCTGCTTGCTGTCTTCAGGCAATTTGCCATCACTTTAAGAACTAGCTTGGATCAAGCGTAGGGTCTTTAACACCATCTGTTAAATTGTTATCAAACAACTGATGAATAATTTTATTTACCGGCATTGTTTGGATTTACATACCTCCTTGCATCAGCTGAGTATGTGGCCAAGTTCTTCAAGACTAGTGCAGCAGTGATACGGATACTCTTGGTCACGGGTCCTTCACTTTCTCCCTGTGGTAAGGAGGAGGCGTAATTGCTTAATTTTATACAGTTTCCTTCAGATTCCACCGGGCTATTCATGGCTTGGGGACTTATGGACGTGATGGTCTTGATGTTGAAAAGTTTCCGTACAGAGTACGGAAACTTTTCAACGGAAAAAGAAGTGTCATGGCCTAGTGGTTAAGAGCACCAAACTCATGCTCTGGTGTTTCAGAGGCAACAGTGACGTGGGTTCGAGCCCGGGCCCGGACACTTGTGCCCTTAAGCAAGGCACTTAACCAGCATTGCTTCGTCCTTTGGATGGGGTGTTAAGCCGGAAGTCCCGTGTGTTGAATAAGGCCTAACGCACGTAAAAGAACCCAGTAACACTTATCGCTAAGTGAAGGGGTTTGCTCCGGTGTTTCTGGCCCCCTAGTTATACTCCCTTGTGGAAGTCCTTAGGAGAAGAACCAACCAAGTACCAAGTATATGTTTCACTGGGTTCCCAGGCGGAAAGAATTTTGGAGGATTCTGGATGGTTCCTAGAAAGATATCTGATTGACTTAGGATTTAAATACATTAACTTTTAAAGCTGCTTCCAAACTCAATACAAAATATGCAGTTGAAACCCTTCAAAATTTGCATTTCCAATAAAAAGATGAAGGAAGGAAGTTGGTAACATACCAGGAGATCCTTGAGAGATGGAGAGTGAAGACTCCTACGGATGGCATGGTAGGCAGTGTGAGCGTTGTACAGGATTGGGGTAGGGAGCTGTGGTGTGGAACCGGCAGTCGTCGTCGGTGTGGAAGCCTGCTGGCGTTTCTCGGCCGCTGCCCGCAGCGCCTGATCTGTGCAGTGCTTCTCCTGTGGAGCAAAATACATCGCATTGGGAAGACAATAATCAAAAACTGTGCTTAAGACACTAATAAAGTAAATTGAACCCTACCACAACTGCAATATCTAAATTTAAGCATTGAAAAGTTTTTGTTTCTCTCAATGAGGCTTCCAGTGAAGAAGTAAAATAAGCAATAAAAACAAACAAAGCTACACATGCTTTGAGCAAATGATGTGAACGACTCGTTCAAATTATATAAATCGGACTTGCCACCTAAAAAAAATTAAAGACAACACAACACTGGGGCAGCCTTGGGGTTTTAATTTTAGAACCCGCCCCTAATAAAGGATTTTCATTACAAGGAGAGATACAATGTACAAAATCAGAGAACATGACGAGGCATGAATACAGCATATATACACATACACATATATACACATACACAAAGTTTGCACAAACACATGTATCAAACAACAAATAAGAGCAAGGTTTTACACATTGTTTTGTAGATATAGGATTAGGTCTGGTTTGCATCATGTATTATAAGAGGACAGTAATATTATTTCGGACTCGGGTTTTGTTTTCCTTGTTCGTTTCTGCTTTGGGAGTTTGGAATTGTGAAGTAATGTTAGTCCAGTGTGATCGTCGCTCATTTTACCCACTATTTTTTTATTTATTGAATTGGTAAGACGTCTGCACTAGAAAGCAGGAGGCCGTGGGTTAGAGTCCCACCCTAGTGATATTTTCCAACTTTCACTTGGGAGGTAACACACTGAGTATACAGTGTTAGGCAAAACCTAATTTGATTAATTTGATGAATTGTGTGTGTTAGGGAACTTCACTTTTGCAAATTGCAATCAGCATGGCCACTGAACCTGCTCATGCTGCTGCCTCCGAGAGTGTCCTTGACATCTTGGATCAGGATTTTTTTTCAGCATGGAACATTGTTTTAATATATATAGTGATACGTATCGTATCTTTTGGCATGTATCATGATATGTATCGTATCGTGACCCAGGTGTATCGTTTCAGCCCTAGGGAGGATGGCTTTCAAAAACCCTACCAACATCACAGAGGAAGATCTTATTACTCACCGACATGTGACTGACACAAGACCACCGTTGCCGCTGGATGTTGTCACAGTTCTCCCACTCACACATGCCTCGGTAGGCTGGGCCCATGACGTGAACAGTGCTGGCGTGGACGTGCAAGGATTTCCTTGTTTTGAAATTCCTTTGTGACAAAAAACAAGATTTTTGACCACGTAAAATGATTTGCAAAGTGAGTTGCAAAGGTAATCCCAGATATTCTCAGAATATCTTGCGCGAGAGCGAAACTACGATTGGACGTCAAACATTTACCAATCATAGTACTGTATTTGTTTGAACTTTGAGTATATTTTATGACTCAGAATCCATTGTGCTTGGTAATTTTTCTCAGAGCAGCTTGCGTCTAATTTCACCACCTGCCTTGCCATAACACTACACAACAAAGTTCTAAAACTTTCAAATTATGGTACTAAAACTCAGTCTTTTTTCTTTCAGACAAAAAGGACTTGCAAATTATTACAAAAACTGAACTGAACATGGTCCATCAGCGCAAAATACATTTAAGAGACAACATCACATAACATCATTGGAAAATAATGAACTCCATTTTCAATTTACTTCATACCATATAGGCCAAAGTTGTCGGCTTGCAACGGACTCTCAAAAAATTGAAGAATACATGTAGGTCAAACACTCTCCTTGGGTAACGGTTATTTATTTCTAAATGAAAACCTCAAGGTTGAACCTAGAAACACTTGTCAAGAGTCAGTCTAAACTGTACCATTTAAAAAAGTCAATACTTTCCCGTTTCCTAGTGGTGTTGGAAAAATACGTACGCTTTATCAAAAAAAAAACCAAAATTGTCATGTGGGCAGGACAATCAACATATTATTGTTGCAATGATGCCAATAATCCCAATAAATCTCAAGCAAGGTTGAGCTTGATATAAACAGTCACAAGATATGAGCATCAGTTATGAACACATACCTTTTGCATCCCCTCCAGTCACAAATGCAAATCTCTGCCTCTGCTGGCTGTTGCTGCACCGGCACTTGATGCTGCGCCTGCTGTTGCTGTGACGACTGATGGTGATGATGGTGATGATGCTTGGACTTGTCACTGGATGAGGAAGAGGATTTCTTGTGATGTGAGCTGCCTGATGATGAGGAAGACCGCCTCCTCTTCTTACTAGAGCTGGACTCTCTGGAGCTGTGCCTTGACCTCTTCCCTGACGACTTTTTGGAGCTGGATTTGGAGCTGGAACTTTTCTCCGACTTGATTTCTGACGAGGGTGTTGGCTTTGAGGGCGGCGGGGGCGTTGCCACTCGGGAGTTTATGCTGGGTGCGTTCGCCGAGGTGCTTGAAGGTGCTTGTGTTTGGGTTTGGGGGACCTGCCCTTGCACAACTGGGACACTCATCACTAGTGTGGAGTTCTCAGAGTTTGTTTCACTGCTTGTCGATGATTCTGTGTTCAGAGGAGCACTAGATTGGTTACTTGTGTCACCGGCTTGTTGTTGAGGCTTTGGTAATGCGGGGCAGACTACACCTTCCATGGGATCCTCCTGAGATACGCTATCAGTGGTTTCTCCAGTGCCTTCAGCACCACAGAGACTGGGATTACTGTTGTTGTTTGTATTGCTCTCCAACGTTGGTGCAGCCAGGTCAGACATGGGCATGTCTGCCGGCAGATGTTCTCGGATGTCCCGACAGAAGGCAACCTGACTGGACATTTTATTAGAGTCTGCATTACCAACAGCGAGAGCAATTATAGCACCGGTGCCATCATGCATAAACCCTGTTCGCTCATTCAAGACAATGCCGCTGTCTGACTCGGAGTCTCTGTCTTTTTTGGAATCCATGTGGTCCATTAGTTCTTCATGACTGGTTTTACTGTCCCCTTGATCCGCAGGTGAGTTCACGTCATCCTTGCCGAGGTCTTTTCTAGACTCTCCATCCAGGTTTTGTGAATCCGTTGCATTCACTACGGTGTCCGCTTTGTCACTTTTCTCAGGAATGTCACCATTCACGATGTGATTTATGCAGGGTTTCTCTGAAGGCTCAGTATCTGCATCCGGGTCCATACTTAACCTGCAAGTTCTTTCTTTGGATGTAAACTCCTCACTTTTTCGTCGAATTCTGGGGCTTTTGAGGACTTTGTCCAAGTCCTTTCCTGAGTTTTCCAAAAGGAATTCTGCCCGTTGGATCAAGGCATCATGCTGCGTTTTGTCTAGATCCTCTCCATTTCCAAACCCGTTCAATAGGCTTTGCTTGAGTGAAGCCTCCTCTAGTTTGGATTTGAGTCTTTGGATTTCGTTTGTTTCAGGAATTTCATTACTTTCATTAGTAGCTGACCCATTACAAGTGGGCTTAGCATTCCCTTGATAATCTCCACACTCTTTTACACTGTTTGTCTCCGTTTGTGTCTTTGGTTCCAATGATTCAGAATTATTGCAAGGTTTCGAGTTTTCGATTAAATCTTCAGACTTTTCCGATGACTGATTGCTGTTGTCTTCAGCAAATGAAGTGTTCTCCATCAAGTTGATGGGGGCTTCTTTCTCTTGAACTTTCAAAACGTCTTTCCCATGCTCCGCCTTTGAGCATATGATTGGGGGACTTCTACTGCCAGATTTCGACTTTTTCTTTTTGGACGATTTCTTTGACTTGTGTGATTTTGACTTGGACTTTTTCTCAGATTTATGCTGAGGAGACGGGGATGGGGACATTGGGTATAACTTGGAGGTCGAATTCGGACTTGAGGAAGAGCTGCAGCTTAAAGCTGGACTCTGTACTGGGCTTGGACTCGTACACACTGGGGGAATGAAGTGCATCACTGGTTGCAGAGGAGCCGGATGGCCTACTTGAGTGAATGGTGGATTCACTGCGTAAGGCTGTGGCATACACTGCTGTGCCATTGGTCCCTGGATGTTGACTAGCCCATACCCTGGTGCTGTCCCGCTGCTTGGATTCTGAGGGACGACCCACTGAACTGCGCTCTGCATATTTGGATTCACAACCTGTGGTTGAGGCAACTGATTGGGTTGGGGAGGGTGAACTGACGAGCCAGACTGCAGGAGTTGCTTAATCAAGGGAGAGTCTATGTGTGCAGATGTGATCTGCTGTCCTTGGCTCTGTATCCGAGCTGCAACATGGCCAATGGACTGGCTCTGAGAACAGACTGTCGTTGAAGGCTGGGTTGATGGATGGGCTGCTACACCCACTGCAAAACTTTGCTGTACTTGAGGTGCACTGGAAATAGTTGAAACTGCAAATGACTGTTGAGGCAAGGTCCCTTGAATGCTGGTGAGAATGTACTGCTGTTGGGGCTGCTGCTGTTGCTGCTGCTGCTGCTGTTGGACCATGTGCTGATGGATAATCTGCTGTGGCTGGGCAACAGAATATGACTGCTGCTGTGGCTGTTGTTGCTGTTGCTGATGGAGATGTCCGCTCAATTTCGGTTGAATTGGAATATACGCTCCGGAACCGCTCGTTGTTGGCTGTGATGTGCCTGAAGAACCTCCTTGCCCTGTCTGGCCAGGATTGGTTGGCGTGACTTGCCCAAGAACAGTCGGCACACTACGTTGAACATTCTGTACCACGGCATATGCAGAATACATCTTGCCCCCATTTGTAGCAGCACTGCTGCCAACAATAACCTGCTGAGTGGCAGGGACAGTCTTGGGTAAGATAGGAGGCATTCCTTGAGCGTCAGATTGCTTGATCTGGAAGCCTGTCTGCACAGGAAGTGCATTGGTCTGTACGGGAAGAGCACCAATCTTTATTCCATGTGTCCCAGACAGAACTCCTTGTTGCACAATCTGCATGTTTGGCTGACCCTTTAAACCATTCGTTGCAACAATACTTGGTCCGTTGATGTTCACAATACCCTGTGCGTTGGGTTGGCCTACTTGGGGCTGTGCCTGAATCCATTGCTGTACCCCAACCTGAGTTGTTGGTATTTGCATCTGGATGCTCTGCTGAGGTCCCTGTGTGACAATCTGCTGCTGGTGCCCGATGACGTTCCCCTGGGAATGGTTCATTCCCTGTGGATTAATCTGGATTCCCTGGGCACTTATCTGAATTCCCTGGGAGTTCACGGGAATGCCACTGGCATGCTGCAGCTGTTGTTGTGTTATGAACACCTGCTGATTGGGAATGTTTACAACCTGCTGGCTGCTTGTTACCGCAGCATTGCCGGCTGCTTGAGTTGCATTGGTATCTGTGGAAACTTCCCTTGGCTTGGCCTGCAATGAGGTCTGTTGCTGTGCATTACTTGTTTCAGGGTTGAACACTGCAGGTGCCGCCTTGGCTTGCAGTAATGGAATAGAATTGGCTGGAAAGTTATCTGATCCTTCTTGTGGGAATGCAACGGACACTTGGTTCGTGTCTAGTGGCAGCTGAGCATGGATGTTGGGAATCTTTTCTATCTTAACCTCCCCTTCTTGTAGCACCTCATTTGGGATAGTATCCGAGGAATTAGGCAGTTTGGGACAGCTTGCAGGCAAGGGGGGTGTGGGGCTTGTGGAATTTGCGACACTAGAGGTAGGAGTAGTGGCTTTGGCTCCACTGCCTGCTGGACTACGAGGTCTGTAAGGCGGTGGCGCCCTACCAGGGGAGGCAGGACTCCGACCTGGGCTCTTGCTAGGATCATTATTAGCAATCGCCTGGCTGTGCTGTGGTAAGGGATTTTGAAGAAAAGCACTTGGGATACCAGCCTGGTTGACAAGACTTCCTTGAGGGGACAGCATATCAGAGTCATCAACAGAGTTTGCCTTTGGCTGTGCACTTTGAACAGCAAGTGTTGAACAGTTTGAAGGTACTGAATGTGTAGTTTGGACCTGTTGCTGTGCCCCATGTACACTTCCTGTAGCTTGAACTACTTGCTGCGGATGAGTTCTTTGATTACTAGGAGTCGATCCAACGGAGGTTGGATGACCGACTTGTCCCTGTGTGACAGGGTTTTGCTGTCGCAGTCCGTGCCCTAGGATCAACTGCTGGAGTTGGGAAGTGCTTCCCGTGTTGCCACTGGGAGGACCCGGAATCATTCCGGCACGGTACATTTGAGGGGGCATCAGGTTGGTACCTACACTGCTCATCCCCTGGGTGAACAGCCGTTGCTGAGGGCTGGTGGACGAGGAAGATCCAGGGGAAGGGGACAGCCTCTGAGCCATCCGCTGCATGATGCTGGAGGCCAGGTTGGACTGGGGCCCTCCAAGCTGGGGTTGGTAGTTGGGCGAAGGCTTGGGGAGTTGCTGGTAGAGCAGCCAGTTGAAGGGCAGTGGTAGAACGCGCTTGTGGATACCAGTGATATAGACTTGAGCACCACTCTCTGAATCCACGCGCTGAAATCCTGCCGCTGGAAACACCATCCTGTGAAAAGGTATACAAAATACCATTACAACTCTTGACAACTTACATGATGAGTATTAGTGGTTGCAACAATACCTCAAAGATTTTCACAGTATAGACGATATATGTGAGGCTCAAACATAAATGGAATTTTCAAAATGTTTAATTTTTCAAAGCAATTATCTTCCTTTAATTGGCTTGTTTGGCAAATTCTGGGAACCAGTATTCAACAAATATTTATCCCCCAAACCGGCAAAACCCAATCCCTAACGCAGTAAGAGCATCAACTGATCGGGAAAATTATGTCCACCTACTTGATGCACGTTGCAAAATTTGTGGAGGTGACCATGTTGACCCTGGAGGCTTTACTACACGCAGACAGGTAGTCACTGTAGAGATCCAGTCTTGACACTGAGGCGTCATTGTCAGCCTCATAGAATGAATGCAACCTGTTGGGACCGGAATAGACCAAGTTTTTGTTCACAGTTTGCAGGCTGAAGATTTTAACCCTTGAAGAAGTATGTCATGATGTGAAGGACCACCAAACCTGATGGGTAAATTAGCTTGGCCCACCACACGCACGGTGCCAGTAACATGGCACGGTTCGGCACACCGGTACTGTTTGCCATTGTCTGCGTACTCAATGACTGCATGTACATGACTTGACTGTGCATTCATTTTGAGAAAGTAATATCAGCCCTAAATACCGCATTGTTACGAAAGGAAATTCACCCATTTAATGGGTAATGTTTCAATATTTTTGCTAGCGCAAATAAAAAAGCATGGCGCTAAAATACGGTGCACAACTACGATAGGAAAATGTTTTGGGAGCTAGTATTTGTTCCCGTCATCATGGGTTACGGGGTCACATGAAAATCGGACACGTATGAAAATCGGACTCTTTTTCCCTTTTATTGGTTAAACCCTCCCACATGACAGGTCTCTCTCCTAATTATCTATGCATGAGCATGCGCAATAACACCGATGAGTCCGTATTTCATAAAACCTAAATTCATGCTACACAGGGAGCAAATTTCGAGAATGTAATTTAGCCACCTGCCCCCATTAATATCAAGCCCTTGTGTTTGAGTCTGACCACTTTCAGTATCTTATCGAGTACACTCACCATTGACAAGTAAATTTCTCATTCTCAGCGTCTCGGTTGACGGGTTGAGCAGGAGCTGGGGGAGGTGTTGGGGTGGACTGCTGCTGCTGCATAGGTCCTGAAACATAAACGGAAGTGTTTATTCCAATGGATACTCACCTCATTTGCGGAAAGAAAAAGAACAAATGAGTATCACAAGTAGTGTATATACACATGCAAAAGAATTAAATAGTGCCTTTGAAAATCTGTAGGTTTTGCATGTAGGTTTCTTAACCGACACATCATCAGCTGTTAAACTGTTATTAACAGGTGCATCACATATCTTCTGAGAGAAGATATCTGTACCAAGTAAATGACAGAATTGCAACATAATTACATACCAACATTAATATTTTTGAACTGACATGATCAATCAAAATTATATGTATACATGAAATTAAAAAGGAAATAACCCTTTTCCATGTTTCTGACCTCTTCAATGAAAATTAACCCTGACACTTGCCCGATCTTGAAAATGAGAAATGTACAGCCAAGCAACTATTATTTTCACATGGGAGCGAAGCCCATGTGCCATTTGGTTCATGTACATGATACTTAAAAAACATTTTTTTCTCTGCTTTGCTTAGTCATTATTTTACATATTGTACCGGGTCTCACTCTTAAACCTATTGTCCTGTCTTAGTCCGTGTGTAGTTAGTTGTTTAAGTTTTGTCCTGTCCCAGGGAAAGGTGCAAAAGCAGTGCTTCACCTTTTTCCTTTATGTTGACATTTAATATTTACACTTAATTACATACTGTCTGTGAAGAATGTTTTGTTTATACATATATTTATACTGTTTTCTGTCTGAATTGTTACCGAGGATGTCAATGTGAAAATAAATTTCGAATTGATTTGATTTGAAAAAAAGAAAAAGAAAAAAAAAAAAAGATCTTAGAAGACAGAGGATTCACAGACGTTCCCGGCAAAAAATACCTGGAGAATTTTGATTAAACAAGGTTGTTGGGGATGAATATGATCTCTATGAATATGAACTTACTCATGGAAGGAGGAGGTGTGGCGGCAGTCCCAGCATTTTGGGGTGGTGGCGGCGTGGCCTGTGACATGGGCTGGTACCTGGCCATGGTCACGATGGGATGGTGGATGCCATCGGGAGCGTGGTCAACAATCTTGATGCCTACAAAGGCCTCGGCACCAAGAGACTGTGCATCTAATGTCACAAGGCACACTAAGACATCTGAAAGGGGGAAAACAAAGAAAACCAAACTCGTCAGTTCATCAGAAAAGGCAGCATGCTTATGACTGATCTACAGGCTGAAACCAAAAGGCGTCCCGTCCACTCCACGCATGTGGGCAGTATTACACGTGGGCCTCTTCAATGCTGCACTGCACATTTCAGCCATGCGTGTCGTACTTTTGTTCACACATGTCGGACAGGTGATTGGTCAAAACAGATGTGATTGGTCAAAACAGATGTGATTGGTCAAAACAGATGTGATTGGTCAAAACAGATGTAATTGGTCAAAACAGATGTGATTGGTCCAAACATCATGGGCGGAGCTTAATGGATCGGTCTCTTTCATTGGGCAACAAACCAATTCAAACTGCAAGGCAAATTTAAGTACTAAGCAATAAATCAGCTGAGAAGAAGTTAACAGTCCTGCCAACCTTTTGGATCGAAAAATTGTACTCTGAATCTCAAGAAGTTGTATTTTTCTTAAAAAACTGTATTTTTCAAAAATATGCATAGACGGGTTATACGAATAAATTAATAATCTTAATTAAAGTTATAAAAAAAATGACCAGAGGTCTCCCTTCGGGTGGTAAACCCAATAAACAATTTGCATGAATAAGGATATTGATCATATACCTTATTCATAAACGAACTGCTTTAAAAACTATTCAATGCAAGTCTACCTAAACATAAACTAAAGACTAGACTTCCTCATGTTTGAAATAAATAAACCTATAACGCAAGTGAAACATTAATATGACTTCCAAGTAAAATCAAACTTATTCATGTTTTATCACGTCGCCACCAAGTGCCAGTTTGATTCTTCAATCATAATTCACGTGCACACACTGAATGTTTAAAAAAAATACACAGCAATCGAACAGAGTTTTATTATAAACTTGGCCTGCCCGAAAAAGAAATCAATTTCTTGCATTTGCTGGCTGATTTACCTGGTTTCGGTTTGGGCCGCCCGCTTTAATTGTTGATTTTTCTGATTTTTGAATTCGTTTCAGAATGTAGTATCAAACTTTACTATTCAAAAATGTTTGACATAACGTTGTGACTATCGTACATGGACGTCAAAGTGTATTCTGTGTATCGTGTGTGCACTGAGAAAAAGAAAGTCTGTTGACTGCACGTAAGATCTGCCGTACGTACTACTACTGGTATGTGTGTGTACGAATACAGACATTTATTTTTGTGGCGGGGTGCCCGCTGCTTGAAGTATCGGCACTCCGGGAATGGGCTGGTTCTAATTTGTGATACTGTGTACATAATGTACATCGAACAGTGGGAAATCGCAAAAGCAGATTCAGTTCGTGCATGCAGTATATCGTTTGCTTGGCTGCTTGCAATTTACGATGTTTTATCCGGCAGAAATCTACACTCACAGCCGCTTTGAACTAGAATTTTTTCAGGCCTGTCAAATTGGTCAAAACCTGTATTTTATGGGGGAAAAACGTACAGTCGTATTTTCAACAAATTCCCGTACGAAATACGGCAGAATCGTACTAGTTGGCAGGTCTGAGTTAACACTGATACTTTGGCTGGTCGCAAAAATATTTTGTTTTGAGCAGGATTTTTCTGCAGAGTAAAAGTAAAGTTTGTCACGAGCCAATGTGGCCCAATCAGGCCGGCATTTATCTCCGGTTTCATAAGCATGAAACGACTGAGAATATTTCTATTCCCCCTGAATGGGATGCTAGTCCATCGCAGGTTACTCCCCAGCTAATACCAGTACCCATTTATACTACTGGTTATACACAGAGAGGGAGGGTTCATTCTAGGGTGCCAATCGTTTTACTAGAGTTTTGGATTTGGGCAGATTAAGAGGATTCCTTTCATGAGGGTAAGCGGTAGGTTCATAAAAGGAAAGTTCCTCGACAGAGATTTCCCCCTTGTTCCAAGTGTTCAACTCACCCACACTCTTCTCCAAGGTGGCGATTCTGGTGCAGAACACCTCACCCCTCTCAGACAGGGCCAGGAGGACCTCCAAGGCCCCCAGCAGCAGCTGCACGTCGTGTATGGTCAGGAGGCGGATGACAGAACGGTAGACCCGCTCCTCCATGCACTGACGGATGATGTCAATGTTGCTGTCTACTTGTGACAGCTTCTCTACCACTTCCATAGCTGTCAGTGAAGGAAAACAACAGAGTTCTAATCAACGCGACAATGACATTTTACAGAGAGTGGATTTACAAAGGTATCTCATAGAAAAAAATATTGAACATTACAAAAGCACAAGAAGTGAACTACATTTTCTACTCTGAATAAATAGTTGATGCTGACGTGAAGTAAATTTTTTTTCTTTCCCTTTGAGACAACACAAAACATGAAACAATTACACTTTACTCCCATGAAGACAAGGTAATACATTTTTGCATCCAGTCATTAAAAAGTTGGATCAAAAGACGCATCACAAGTAACAGGAGTTAAAGGGAAAATACAACATTTGCAAACATCAAAAAATACAGCTACCAAATCATTTTGAAAAACCTTGCTGTACTGTTAGTGAATGACAGTGTAAAGCATCCTGTAAAATCATGGCACCTGGTATACTGTCATTTTCAAGAAAAGTGGTATTTTTGTATCAATTTCCAACGCTCATTGGCCGACCAGCGTTGGAAAAAACTGGCTTTTTTTCAAATACTGGCCCCAGTTGACCATCGCACTTGTTTGCAATCGATTACACACCTATGAACAGGTACAAGCCAGCTAGACTGGTTCCCTGACCTTACAATTCCCCAATGTATGTAAACTGCTCTGTTTCTTCTTAAATGGAGTCAGGGAACCAGACTACAGGAAAATGATTGTTTTTCTTGGTTTTTATAGCATTTTCGAACCCAAAACCTCAAAAAAGTCAGTGTAACTATATTTGCTATATATTTCCAACCCCCCAATTCCATCCATTTCTGAAAATTACAGCAAAAGCAAATGATGTATATTCCCTTTAAACAATTACAATGGAATGTCCTCGTCACAGTTAATTTAAATAGCTTGTGACTTGAAAGAAGGCTGGGCGACTTGTGATGATTTTAACTGTAAGAACCAGCTTCCATATCACGGTTGCAGTTGTTAACAAATATCCTTCTTCAACCACCTTGTAAACTTTACCAGCAGATGCCATGCACTATTTACCTCTCAGTATGATGAACTTGTCCTGGTTCTTCATGGCCTTATCTATGGTGTGAAACATCAGCTGTGTGCTCCGGTAGTCAATGGGATCAAGTATAAACTGGCGTGAGAAAAAGAAGAGTTGGATCATCAATTTGACTCACCCGCTGTAAATGTGTTTACACAGGAGTACATGTACTAAGGGTCGTCACAATTTTAGAAGCCAATTAATTTCTCAATGCCGCTGCAAATTTGTTGACCCCCGGGTATACAATTGAAATGCAACATAACAGAAATGAGAGATTTCTTATTTTAGTATCTAAGCTTTGGCTTTACAACGCAAAAATTCAAAGATTTATGGCTTACAGTTAAGTTGTGAACATTGTTTCATCATTTTCAATGCACTTGAGTAGATTCATTGGCCATGGGTTTGAACGGCCATACCACTTTTTGAGAGGACAGAAATACCACAGATGAAAGGACATCTGGTTGGCCAAATGCTGCATGTGCAACACAAGGACAACCATTTTATATAAAAAAATTAAGATGGAATGATTTTGACAAGTACTCCATTAGCAGCAGGGTAATAAAAACCTTATAGATATTGACTAGGACATTTACAAACAAATTGGGGGCTAAAATGGTCAAAAAGGATAGCTTGATTCAAACTATCCTTTTGACCATTTTAGCCCCCAATTTGTTTTTGTTTTACTTGTTGAAAATTGCCTTTGTCTTTAAACCATTACATGTCTGACTAATAAGCAGGAAACACATCAGGTAAATTCATAAAAGTTTTTCAAAACACTCTCAGACAGAAATGATTGAAAAAAATAATAATAAAAATTACATGGGCAAGTGGCAAGACACACAAGTCAACTATTCCATACCTCCTCAGCTATATTGCTCAATGTGTCCATCCCAATCTGCTGGAGAGCCGAGCAGCTATTGTGGACACACAGCAAGAGGAACCGATAGAAAGTCCTATGGGCTGCCATCACTCGCTTGTTGTGGTCCTCGAAGGATAAATTCCTCAAAATCACCGCAACCTGGGAGACGCGATAAGTGAACAGAAACAGCTCACAGAACCAACTCACAGAAACAACTCAAGTGCACAAAATGTTTGTTTGAATCATTTAGTACAATTCAAAATAAAAAAATCTGAATAAGGCATGTTTCATTTGAGAATGTACGTAAATTTCAGTTTGATGAGAATTGAAGGTTTGCAAGGTTAACTTTGCGGCTGCATTGTGACAGGAGCTCTCTTGCGTTGAGTTTGTGTGGTTCTGAAAGAACCGGAGAAACTCAACGTTTCGGACACTATACTATTAAATTTCAGTTAAAAACACACATTAGCTGGTTGGAGACCTATTCTTACAACACGTGGCGAAATTTAATTAAAAGTAGTTAGGTTATATTCATAAAACTTTGAAAGTTTTGAAGATTTTTTCAAACTTTCCCCTGCATTCTGTAAGGGGAATTTGAGGATGAATCTCCGATGTAAGGGAACTCCTGAAAGCTGCTTTAAGGAAAGATGATGATACATTTTGTTCCACACTTCATACGAAAAGGTTAAAATGTGATGCGATCAAGCAACATGAGTCGTTTGTCGACCCTAGTCAAATTTTTTTTTATTACAGATTTGAAAAGAGCACAATATCAGCATTACTGCTGTGAAAACCGCATGCTGATACCATCTTTAGTGCAAAAATTATGGAAGTTGGAACACCAAGAATTATGATGAAGTGATGTGATGAAGTGGCCCTATTTTGGCCTGAATCTCCAAATAAAAATTCCTGACAAACGAGCTTGATCACATCACAAATTGATGTTTAAGAAATTAAATTCATAAAAAATAATGTTTCATGAATATTTAATACCTGGTGATGGTAAGATAACAGTCAGGCAATTTCAGACTGTTTACCATACTTTTTCCTAACCAAAAAGTGGGCTCCGTACAAATTACGCACCCTTTCAAGTGCATTCTATGTTTACAGTGAAAGAATTTGACACTCCCTGTTTGACAGTTCAAAATAAATTGCAGCGGTATATTTTGTTCGAGCAGTTTTGGGGTCAAGTTTCACACTCTGTGCATGTGCAACCACCTGCACATGCCTGCAACTATTCATGAAGCTGCTTACAGTTACATGCAAATTTGGAGAAAAATGCAATTGTACAGTAAGTGTCATCTCCTCACGACCCAAATTTATCATGAAATCATGAAAGCTTGTCAAGGTACAGTAATGTCAGGTGATAGTGTTGATGATTTGTAGGTTACTTCTAGTCCAGTGGCATGTGCCACTTTTGACTCACTACGTGTAACGTGATCATGGGCTGGAGGAGTCCCTTGGTGGTTTGCGGAGCTACAGGGAATCTCAGTTTTGAAAATGAAAATAAAAAATGATGCACCATATCTATTGCTGGGACCCGAGACACACACTAAGGATCAAAAGAGGAGGGAAAGAGGCTGCCATTTTTACCTGGAGAGCTCTTTGTCCTTCGATGTCGTTCAGACCCAGTTTCCTCACGGTAAACTGCTCAGCATCTTTGATCTTACAGTGGGCTGTCAAACCAATAACAGACGTAGACATAGTCAATGTTTCTTCAGTATAATACAGCATTTGTGTAATTTGGTATCCAGCTTAAAGGTAATATACAACATTTGCAAACATCAAAAAAAAATATTAAAAAAAAAAAAAAATTATCAAATACCTCACTTGACTGTACATGTAAGTGAATAAAAGTCCCAAGCATCAGGTACCTGGTGCGCTGTCATTTTCAAGAAAAGTGAAAATTTGTACCAATTTTCAATGATGGTCAGCCAACCATCGTTGGAAAAAAACTATTTTTTTCCCTCCAATACTGCCCCCCAATTTACCAAATTTAGTTAATCCACATTTTGTTTACAATCAGTTTACACATCCATGAATGGATACAAGCCAGCTACCAGGGCAGCCTGGTTCCCTGAACCTGACAATTCCCTGGAATTCCTCCGTTTAGTCTCAAGTAGGGTCAGGGAACCTGACTACAAGACTTTTTTTCCAACATCTATGAACACAAAACTTTAAACAGGTCAGTGTAGCATGATTTACTACAAAATACTAACCCCGAATCCATCCACTTCTGAAAATTACAGCAAAATCAAAAGTATATTACCTTCATTAAAAGAAGTTTAATTGCATATTTCTTTCACTGACCAACAAATTTTAATCACAGTGGTTATGTGGTCAATATATAGTTGGAACAAACATGACTGTCTGTAAATGACATACAAACATACAACATTTAGATCAAATTATCCATAAAAACAAACCATATTTCTAAAAATTCAACAAAATTAGTGAGAAGGGAGAAGGAAAAAAAAATACTGACATGTATTGTGGCATTGGTAAACAGCCGATAAACATAAAAATCTGCCTGAAAACTAGAACAAAATGTTAAAAAGCTATGATTTACAAGTGCACCTGCAGGATACATGCAACCCTCTTCCTCTCAACAAATCACCCCATTAACAGGTACCAATTACAGACGCAAATGTCATCCCTCAAACTTTGCAGTGCACAAGTGAAATCTCACCTTTTGCTCGTAACGTGTCCGGGCCGATAATCTCCCGTATATCGCTGTCCGTTACCGTGTCGTACCAGAACGTCACAAAGTCACGCTTTGTGGTGGGTTTCCAGTCCTCTGTGTACAGTGACCGAAAGCCCCCAGGCCCTGCCGAGAAAACATGAACCCATTGATCGATTCGAAACCCTGCACATGATTCGATTATTTCACAGCCAGCAACCACTGGCTATTAGATCAATCAAATAAGCATGAAGCATTTTCAGACAGATATTACAGCAACTGATCATACATGTGCAGTATCAGTACAATACATAAACAAACAAATGCATGTTTGTACATGTATAAGCAGGTAATTAGGCATGTAACTGTCTCTTTGAGTGAGGGGACTTCAGTCCCCTTGCATTTGCCTATTATGGCATACGGATTATGGATTATGTAACATCTGGCGAGGCAGAAGTGACCCGCAGTAATATGCGCAAGGGCCTTTGTCGAAAACAGGGATTGATACAACATACAATGATACATGTACATGTACATGCAAGTTTCTTTGTTACAGCACACGCATCTTGCCCAGTAACATTCTGTAGAATCCCTTGTTCATTGTGACAATATTCTACTCCCTGGTCACCACTCATTTCCAGTAACGAAGTTTTTCTTGTCAAAATTTAATGATCCACTAACTATTAAATTACATTCGTCGGGTGCGTGAAAGGAGATTGTTAGGGCAACAAAATGGGTCAAAAGGTCAAATTCAGATTTTTCAGGTAATCGATAGATCATGGAAATATCTTTCATATGATATACATTTAGTCTCAAAGGGCTACGTCATACTGACATAATTAACACAATTTTTACGAAAGTCGTAAGGAGGTTTTCTTTATTTGTGCCCGGCAAAAGGTCGTTAATTCTAATGTAATAAAATATGTTCCGCGTGCGCTAACATTCCACTCAAGTGGGTACGCAAAGCCAAGTTTGTTCCCGGCAAAAGGTCAATAGGATTTAACTTGCTGCTTAAGGGCACGTTTAATGCAAGGTGAGTTCACGTTTCAGGCAGATGGAGTTCCCGGTAAAAGCTCGTAAGCAGAAAAATTGAACTTCCAAATTAAGTAATATTTTGAAAGAAAAATGCACAATATCATGAGTCCAAATTTCAGCTTAATGTGATTTTTAATTTAGAAATGGGAGCACAAAACCTTTCAACTTGATACTCTCCAAAAGTGCATTTTGCTTGCCTGGGCTGCTTACAACCTTTTCCTTGGCACACGCCAAAATAAGGACTGTCAATACTCAAATAAAATTAAATGTGCACCACAAAATTTTAAGAATTATCAGTTTTTTTCAATGGACTTGTCACACTGGGAGATCACACTCAACCAATCCAATGACATGTATGCGGACACGGTCAGACACGCGAGACAAGCCTTTTCCCCACCCCTCACCTTCATAAAACACGCCGCAGTGGGCCAGGAGCAGATCAATCAGCTTCACGGCCCGCTCCAGGTGGAGTACGTGCCGTCCCTCGTTGGACAGCAGCGTGCAGACGTTGATGGCAAAGTCCACCTCATTGGGTAGGCCGCTCTGCAGCGAGAACATGATCTTGTCGTAGTCGGAGAGACGGGGTTTCTGGGTCGACAGACCCGCATTGATGCGCAGTTGCTCTGTTGGATCGAAAGAGGGCTTTTATTATTGTTCTCTGTCAAACGGGCCAAAATGACATTATTTCTTTGCCGAGCAGCAGTTTCACAAAATGAATTACAGGAATCGGTTACTATTAAAAAATGGACAATTTATGTCTTCAATTTGTCAACGAATAAAATTTGACTCTATAACTGTAGCCAGTGTTTCCCCTGGGTAATGAACTGAGCGAGGTGGTACCAATTCAAGTTGATGATTGAAACGAAATTTATACAGTCTGCAAACTGAAAAGAATGCAGCGCTCACAAAAATGCGCGATGATTCCAAAAACACATCGAAATTGTGAGTTCTTGATAAATGGAGGTAAAGGAAAAGGCTTGTATATTACACAAAATGAAAATTTTTCAATTGATATTTTCTTTTTTGCCAATCTTCACAGCGAGGTGGTGATATTGGCAAAAATTGAGCGAGGTGGTCACTGAAAGTAGCGAGGTGGGCCACCTCACGTTTGAATGGGCAGGGGAAACACTGACTGTAGCTAGGATATTGGTTTCTTATAAATCTGTGTGATCTACAATTCTACATCATACATGTCTATCTGCTTGTGTTTGTACATGCAGATAAATATGTACCACTCTGTCATTGCTTTGTTTTCAGTTTTATTCGTCGGGTCTTTATAGACGCTACTGAACTTGGTGATTACACACAATGTGCTCAGTGATTATCCCACTTACAAACCATGTACAGACGACTCTTGTTAGTACAAACACTGTTAATACAAATTCTGGTTATAGCAAACACAAAGCCTTGATCCCGACTGTGCTTTATAAGCACAATGAATGGGACTCATGTTCCTCTTAATACAAAATCCTGATATAACAAACAATTTGGCTAGGTCCGAACGAGTTTGTATTAACGAGAGTCGGCTGTATAATACTATAATTAAGGATGTTTTTTTTATTGTAGACATTTTCTTTTGATAAAACCAAACATGTATTTTAAATACCATTCAGGATTAAGACAGATACTATGTGCAATTTTGCATACAATGCAGCATCAACAATTTTTGTTTTAGTTCACCATTTCTTTTCATGAGAAACCTTAGGATACAGGTCCATGTATATAAACATTATTTTATTTCATTAAACCATTTATTTCATTCAATCATTCACAATTAACCAACAGTTATGTATTAAGGATTATCGTTTTTCAGGTAGGTTTTGTTTTAATAGAATAACCTTTCGATATGACTGATAAATTATTCATTTGACAAAACCACGATTGTTTTAGCCAGGTAAGGCAACACTTAACTCACCAGGGATCTCCAGGCCTTTCCTGGTATCGATATTTCTCTTCTGGGGTTGGCTGGACGGCGTCGCGGGCCGAGACCGTGACCGTAACACCTCCTCCGCATCCTCCCCTTGATGGTGAATCCGCTCGTAGGACTCCAAAAATCTGAAAAGGGGCGTCAACAACAAAACAATGCAGGTATAGGGCCAATGATATTCTATTTCAAATTGTCTGTTTTTGATTTCAGGAAAATTGTCAGTTTTATTCATAGAGCTATATTAAATTACTAGAATGCAAACTTCGTGTACAAAGTAATGCCTGCTGGGCGCATCCATGTTTGTGCACAAACCTATGGAGACCTAGAAATTTGCGCAAACAGCGCAACGCGTACGCGTATTCGCTGCAGATGCTTTTGCCGTCACATATTTACATGTATGAACCGTCGCGTCAATGACGCACTTAAGTTGTTGCGTATGTTCTACTTGCGCGTTGCATGTAGAGTACACTTTCAAAATTCAATCCATTTAAATTCATTATGTTCTACAAACAAGCACATGAATTCAAAATGTCTGCGCCCAGGACGGCTTCAAAGCGTCTCCGCGCGCAGAATGAGGAGTTAGCGCTCTAGTAATTTAATATAGCTCTATGGTTTTATGTGGACTGTAATTTTGTGTTAGAAAATCCATTTCCAGTGTCATCATGTTTAATGAAGTTGATGTCAACAGAAAATGACTGAACAAAGATTTCTGCAAAACAACACATTTTATATTGACATGTAGTGTTTCAGTACATGTACATGTACACGTACACACTTGTACGTGTACCTGTACATGTACATTTTACACTATGAACGCACATTATGCAATGTGCTGCAAGCACGTGGAAGAACCAGAACACTACCACGTGCACTGAAACATTCATTCACAAATGTTTCCAACAGACAAAACCCTAACAAAGGAAATGGCTCTGCCCAACTTGTTTTAATCCCAACAGCTGCGCCAACTCATCTTCCTATTCAAGTATACACACAATTCATTAAACCCATTCAGCACGGTGATTTGAGTTACCGCACGTCTGTTAAGCACATGGTTTACAATGTACATGTACGTACGTCCATGTATTGATGCACATGGTCCAGTAAGTGAGGCTAAATGGTCCGTGCTCCAACAAAGACAAATGTTTGTGGATACACATGCACATGTTAATTGTGCAGGGAAACCAGTGACACATAAGATGCCAACATCATGAAGTATTAATACATAAAATGACTGAATAAACATGTGACAATACATGTACATATGCATTTATTTTTTACTAAAAATTACTGTAAACCGGTACATGAACTACATGTAAATGAATACAAAATGTACAGTCTATGAATCCCAAATTACATGTAACATGCTGCCTCCAACTTTAACCAATTACGTGTTAGAACTGTCAGACTAAGTTTGTCACACACACATGTTGTGTAAATGTACCGTAAGAAACTTGGGCTTACCATACATGATCAAGAACAAAATGAAAGAAATGGACAGAAAAAACCAATGCTGTCTGAATAGTTTTGTTGAAATAAATGGTACTTGCTCATTTAAGTTCAGTGGTACACAACAGCATTATGCAAACATCTCACACCTCAATACAATTATGATGGTGTGTGTTCATGTATGTAATGCAGAAATTGTAACCTAAATTCCTTCATGCTTTTTACCATTTCAATACTGTGCAAATAAATATCGTCTAACCTTTGAATAACCAAGATGTCATGTTATACACTTACATGTAGTGCTGTTTTAACCCTAACCCCCTAGGCCCTTGTTGCTTACAACCATCCTCAATCCTCCAAAATCCTCCAAAATCCTCCAAAATTTTCCAAAATTTTGCAACTCCGCCTAAATTTTTCAAAATTGTCAGACAGTCCTGCCTCAAAATGCATTCATCCTCAATCCTCCAAAATCCTCCTCATCCCAAAACTTTGCACTCGTGTTTAAATGAAGGATAACCAACGCCAAATCCTTCAAAATCATCAGACAGTCCTGCCTCAAAATGCATTCATCCTCAATCCTCCAAAATCCTCTTGTGCTTCAATCACCATTCATCCTCAATCCTCCAAAATCCTCATGTGCTTCAATCACCATTCATCCTCAATCCTCCAGAATCCTCATTTGATTCAATCACCATTCATCCTCAATCCTCTAGAATCCTCCAAAACCGCCAGGAGGATTTTGGAGGAGTGAGGTGGGTTAGGGTTAATGCTTATCATTCGATCCCTTTCATTTAAATGGTCAATTTAACGATCGTATGTTTATGATCATTTTGGTTAATTGCGTTACGTGACACTCTTCAGGTTGTACATGTACACTGTCTTTGAATAAGTGCACGGGTACCATAATCAACAGTGTGCATGGATTATACAGTATTTGCAGAACTAGAAAAATAAAACACTGACCAGCAATAAAATAAGGCAATGAAACATCTGTTTTCTTAGACCATGTGGTAACACCAAAGCGCTTGGCACCCATAAAAAGTACCTGTACACTGTGTATCATTCACACTAGTGATACACTACAGGGCACACAATGCAACAATAGATGGCTTTGGCAAAGCGCAGGGAATGAAGCATACCGCAGTAACAATAGAAGCCCATCCTGGCCAGCCTTGGGCGCCCAGTCCCTGCTATGGGAACTCCATCACACGGTGTGAAATGCGCCTTTATTATCAATGGCTCGCTTTTATGAGAAGGTAGTGAAAGGACTCCGGGGATAATAACAACAACACTTTTATCCTGGTAGGAATATGTATGCGCAGCTACCTCGTTGTTGATTTGAGTGTATTAAAGGCAGACTGAGTGCGTACATAAGTACAAAGCATTTAAAATAATATTCTGCTTTTTTGAGAAACACATCTGGTGAAGCGCAAATTGTTAAAAGCCTTTTAAAAGGTAAAAATTCCCATTTCAAATTTAAAAGCATTTCGGAAAATATCATATGGAAGCTTGAAGGTTTTTCTTTTCTTTTACATATTCAAAATTGTGACCAATGTATTTAACAAAATTAGGTGTAAATAAAAATTAAGACATTTGTCACAATTACTAAATTTTTGTGTGTTGTTTTTCAAATTCCATCACAAAAATTAACATAAAAGATACAAAAAAATTTAAATGTAAATAAAGTGTAACATAAAAAATTTGCTGGTTATATTGAGGCATGTTTGCGATAAACACAATTAAGCATCCCAAAGGCCAAGGTCCACATGCAGGCACAGAGTTGTTTGTAACACTATCTCTAGATAGACAGGTCAGCAATTACGTGTACAATATGAATTTCGAGGCAAGATTTTTTGGATGTTATGAATGCCACACAAGTTGTTGTGTGCAAAGTTCAAATACAAACTTCCATTTTTTTTCTCCTTCAGTGAAACAATAATGAAGAAAAAAAATCACACCAACCAAACTGTAATAAATCCTAAGCAATTAAAAAAAACCTAAATAATCTGATAAAATCAAAGTGTTTTGAATAACAGTAATGACAACTACCGGTACATGTACTTACAATGTACAAACCCCCATACCCAGCTGCAATTTGTATGCAATTCAATAATTTTTTTGTAAGTAAGGAATATAAATATAATGAAAGGTTTCCCCTGAATTTCATTTTCAATTAAGCATTTTTAAGCAGTAATCATTTACTTAAGGAATTCAGAATCAAAACTAATGGAAGTAATCACAAAAATTCTCGGCAATGATCTTGAAGATAGTCAACAAAGGTTAATATAATCCCTCAAGTAAACAAATTATCTTTGCTGATTTGCAGTCATGCAAAGGATCAGTCACCTCAAAATGATAAGGCCCCCAAAGACATGTGAACACAGTGCATGCAATTTAATATCTTCACTAACCATTTTTGTTTGTTTGGCTGGCCATACATGTACCTTGAATGCAATAAACTGCCACTATTAATATTTACATGGTCATATTATAGGCATGTACGTGTATATTGCCTGTGGTCTCTCTTGTACGGGTATGTGCACCACACTTGGCAAAGCATAAAATGGAAATGTTTAACTGTTAACCTTCTCAAATTTACCCGCACTTGCTCACACAGTTCATTGCTAATGGTGACAAAATCCAGGAAACGGTATTGTACATGTACAGTACTGTACACGTGATGTTTGATTCACGTACCCTGACAAACAATATTGCATACATGCCACTAAATATACTGTATTGCCAATTTGTCATCATTAATGTTTATGTCTGCTTGCGATTGCATGAATATTTAAATAGCACCTCGTACATATTCATTGGTCGATGGTCCAATGCATGAGGGAAGGGAAGGCTACGTGCAACACATGTATACTGTACATGTACATTGTACATGCATTGTACTATTGCCTAATTGGTCAGTGGTACAAGGGAAGTACATGTAGTCCCTCAAGATTAGATCCTAGACTTCCAACCCTGTAGCATTTATGATCGCAAACGCATTCCAGGGGAGAGATTTCCCAAAGAATTTTTCCACTTTTGATAATAAAAATACGTATAGGAGATGTAATAAAACAAATTGTATTTCAGGGAAGAAATGCAAAATTGCTTCCCGTCGGGACTCGGGAGGTAATAAAATCATGCACCAGTAATTTTGCACAGCTTCTCCTCTAAACCATGTTGTAATTGTATGATACATGGTTCGACCTACATGATCCCATTCATTGCCACTGTTTCTGTACAAAAACAACGTGCATGTGTGCACATGTACATGTATAGTACATGAATTTTATGCAAGTGGTCATGTACATGTACGATGGTATGTACTACAAAGTTTTTAAAATGAACAATGTACATAGTAAAGTACATAGCATGCACATCAACAATTCTAGCAACAATCAAATACATACACACATACATGCATACATGTTTGTATACACTTTTGTATACAAAATGAGAAGGCATACACTTATCATTGACAATGTACGGTACATACATTTGTTCATGTATACATTGTACTATGCAGATGTGAAAATGCATAATTAATATTAGTATTTTGTTGGTACATCATTTATTTTGAAAACAGGGCATGTTGTATTGTACACTGTACATGTATGTACATATTATGTACCCGGTAGATTATTTAAGCAGCGTTAAATTGAGGAAAATATTGCTTCAGTTATAGCACTGTACGCATACAATGTATCACAAAAGAATAACAACATGATTCGTCATTTGATATTATTCCAACCAGGCACTCAAGCCATCTTGCATCAAATGCAAAGGTGAAGCCAATAATATGAGACTTACTTGACATAGAATTGGCGCAGGGCAAAGGCAGCATGGCCACAGGTGGCAGCGATCCCAAAGTACTCCTGAAGGCTCTCCCATTTTCCTTGATCAGTGACCTGGATTGGACAAAGACGAGTTTGAAGATGGATTAACACGAGGCAACTGTATGACATCTACATGTATCATTCAGATACAAAAGAAGAGGTTTGAGAAGTTACCAAGCTACACATTTATGTACATGTATGCTGCACATGTATGGGCTAGGACAATACAGATTAATGAGTGTACATTGTACATGTACAGGAGTACCTTGTGCGCATGTAGAGACTAATGAAGCTTAGTGATTAATGTAAAATCCAAGTTAACATCAATGAAATCTGTTTGATGTCACTCCAATGATTGATTTGTCAATGGTGTAATGTGTGTATGTGAGAGTCTCCTGACAACGGGGCAAACCATGATTAAAAGCCGAGTTTCCACAGTTCTTTTCAGAACCTCACAAACTCACAAAAGAGATTTGTCACATTGCGCTACCGTAAATCCTTATCTTATGTGAGATACAACTAGACAATCGTAAGTTCTACATCCATGGTTTGTCCATGTTCTATTTTCTTAACTAAATGAAGTACCGGTATTTGATAAAATGTAAAATGTAAGAAATAAAGGATGTGAAAGACTTATGTATTTTTTTTCCTTTTCTGAAATGCTGTCCTCACACATTTGCAGCTTTCTTTGTGGGTAAGATTGCCTTTCAAAATAAAGTGCTTGAGTAAATTGCGTATACATGTATCAAGAGAGAATGTGTCTGCCATGTTTGCTTTATGGTAGGGGCAAATAGGACAAATTGTTGGCCTGGAAAAGCTCTGTACAATGTTAATCTATTTACAAGAGCAATGCAGACTATTGTTGAACATTTATTACCTCTGCAAACCTACAATGTAGGATAACTGCACATTCCTTTTCTCTCTGATCCCGAAATGTCAACATGTAACCTTTTCGATGTCTTCAGTAAATTTATTCTGACCTGTTTTCTCGTTTATTGGGTTGAGTTGAAGTTGCAAAAAAAATCCCTACATGAAGTGCTAAGTTAGTATACAGGATCATGTTTCATGACCATATTTGGTTAACATGGTATTTTGGATACAAATTTGTAAAGCAGTTGTGTATTTTAATATTACGCTGTTCAAGAAACAAAAATGAAGGGTGAGTGATTTCGGCGATTAAAGGACAAGTTTTTGATTCATTGGTGCTGTTAAAAAAGGATTACATAAATGCAACAAAAAACTGACATTGATGCATGTGTGCTTGTGCATTTTTCAACCGGGGTTGCCGAAATCACTCACTTTTTAGGTTGATGGAAACACTAAACAGTTATTGAACATACCAAAGTGGGGAGAGACATTTGTTAAACATCCTTTTTTAAAGTTAAAGGACAATATACATGTACAGGAACATAAATGTGCTTTTTCTGTAATTTTCAGACATGAATGGATTTGGGGGGTTAGTATTATATAGCAAATATTGTTATACTGACTTGTTTTGAAGTTTTGAATTCGAAGATGCTGGAAAAACCACACACACCAAAAAAACCCAAACAATCAACTTCTTGTAGTCTGGTTCCCTGAACCCACTTCAGATGAAACAGTGTAATTTATACACATCGTGGAATTGTAAGGGCAGGGAACCAATCTAGCTAGTTTGTACCCGTTCATAGGCTTGCAATCGATTGCAAACAAAATGCGGTCTAACTAAATATGGTGCATTTTGGGCAGTGTCTGAAATAAGCCAGTTTTTTTCAAACGCTGGTCGGCCGACCAGCGTTGGAAATTGATACAAAAATACTACTTTTCTTGCAATTACATGTATATCACACAAGGTGCCATGACTTTACAGGATGCATTGTCATTCACTAACAGTCTAGTAAGGTATTTCATAATAATTTGGTAGTTTTGTTTTTTGATGTTTGCAAATGTTGTTTATTCCCTTTAACCAATGTCTATGGACCCAGTCTTTGATTATTTATTGCCAAATGTTGTACATTCAATTCGAACAGTGCATCAACCTACCGCAGTACATACACGTACGAATGTATGCTGTGAAGCCGTATAGATACATGTAGTCCTTGTATAAACTACACTGATTTTACTGTACAAACTCCAGCCAGTGGTACATGTACACATGTACCGGTACATGCTAGTATGGAGCAAGGAAACGATGCTAGACAACAAATAACCACAGAACACATATTGTACACGTTATGTACATGTACGTGTGAGCTTTCCTTGCTCCATGGTGTGAGTAATTAATACACTGACAAGACTTGCAGTTTTCTCCGCAAGGTGTTTATGCCGTGGATCTTAAGTTTTTAGTGACCTGTTACATGCGAAGTCCATCACCCACTTCTCAGTTAACCGCACAAAATAAAAGACTGCATGACGTGGATGGATTCTTCAATCATTTACACGTAAAGTGTATTGAACAAAAACTTGTGTTTGCAATAATTATGTATCCATGCTTTGTACCAAGTATGAACTGGGTTTAACGGTAATCTCCATTCATTAATGCAACTGTTAACACATCTTCAAGTTCATGTACCTGATTATCATCGGTACAAAGGTGTGATCACAAATTTGATGTCTTAAAAGACTGCCCTCTATGTGTTCCATGCACAAGCATCCTCTCAACGAGAAGAAAGGGAGAGTTGAGGGAGACCACTTGGAGAGACATTCGAATGTTTGTGTAGATTCAGAATAAAACTAGAGTTCATACTTCACGCTCAGTACAGTGTTTCCCCTGCCCATTCAAACGTGAGGCTGCCCACCTCGCTACTTTCAGTGACCACCTCGGTCAATTTTTGCCAATATCACCACCTCGCTGTGAAGATTGGCAATAAAGGAATACTAGTAATCAAAAACTTTTTATTTTGTGTAATTTATGAGTGTTTTCCTTGACTTCTATGCATCAAGAACTCACAATTTCAATGTGTAGACAGAATCATCGTGTATTTTTGTGAGCGCTACATTCTTTTCAGTTGGCCAGACTGCTTAAATTTTGTTTCAATCATCAATTTGAAGTTTTACCACCTCGCTCAGTTCATTGCCAGGGGAAACACTGGCTCAGTATATGCGCGCGAACCAGTACGTGTACGCGGTGGGTGTGCCATAAACTGCCATCCACTGGGCTCTCGAAAGTGGTAAAAAAAACCCAAAAAAATCCAGTAAAATATGCCATGTTGCAATCCCAACTTTTGTCTGCTATGCTGCTATGCCAAAAACTGTTCATGGTATGATACACATCTGTTTGTATGAGATGTTTTGTAATCTTGTAAAGTCAAGCTCCAGCCTTCAAAGGTTTAATACTTCATTATCTTTATCAGTTCAATGATTACATTTTACAATTTGTTTAAAAATTACATTCATACCAATGTTAAGAAATTGACAGCATCGAAAAATGTGTAACGTATGCCATAATAGGCCCTGATGCTATGAGACTAAGTTATATTGTGTCTTGGATACTATAATTTCATTGGTCTAAAATGGCCACGTGTCCAGTCTATATAAGAATTTACGTCATACATACACTGCGTTGCATACAGTACCTCATAAAGGCCAGTTAATACTTCACGCCAAAAGCGAAGCAACTTTCATGACATCAACACTTAGAGGTTCATTGTGACGCTCCCCGTTACCCTAACGACATTCGCATGAAGTATAAACTGGCCTGTATACCGCATTGCATGGAAATTATCTCATACAACCGTGTTGCATAATAGTTAAGTGTGTAGGGCCCGCGCACCTCGCAACAGAGAACTGCAAGCTTTCAATCTTAAGTCTGGCAGTGTAGTGATTTAATTTGTATTTCTTGAATAGTAAGTTAAAAACCTAATCTTTTTGACTTGTTGGCACGATACAACAAAACAATTCTTGACTGTGATGTTGCGTTTTTAACCCGCTTGGAGCACATCACCCTTGGCTTCGCCTCCTCCTCGTTTGTCACAATCTACATTTTGTAATTTCCTAGAATGTACACCCGTGCATCTCAGGATATTATGGCAATGTCCCTACGGACATACTGTAATTTCACTTGTCTACACAAAATTATCAATTCTGAATAATAGTAAAAATGAACATCTCATTTACATCACATTACTGCACATGCCACAACAGGTGCTTCACCCACATACACAAGGTTTTCATTGAAAGATGAAGAAAGTCATGTCACGTTTTGAAAGTGAAGCAAGTAATCACAATTACCAAGTATACAATTTTTAATTAATGGATTTACTACCCATTCTTCACTGACCATCAATTAAACTTTGCAGTGGGTATAATGGAAAGAATGTAGTATCCAGACGCCACTTCAGCAGTTGTGTACAAGGTCTACATGTATGGAGTGTCAAGATTTTTTTTTAAGTATTTCTAATCCTAACAATTTGTTAGGAAATACTTTTAAAAAAATTCTTGACTCTCCAATTTTGTTACAAAATTGGAAATGTTTCTCAGTCCCAGATTCATGTCTTTTCAACACTTGTGCAATGACTGACATTTCGAGATGATTGATAAAAGTGGCCTCAGGAGGTTGCAACATTCTTTCCGTTATAATTTTTTTGGATAGGGGCCTAGTTTTTAATCTTACATGTAAATTATAAATCATAGATTTTATTCACCACTCTGCTGTCTTCCGATGACAACAGGAACGTTTTAAAAAAACCTGCCCCCTTTTTCGTGAAACAGCCCTACAGTACAGGTTTGTTGCAAATGCAAGGTTGGTCTCGAGAAATTTGAAAAAAAAAAAAAAATTAATGAAAGGAAAGTAGGTCACTACTCTAGGCCTAAATTGCTAATAAAATACTCAGTCCAAAGCCATGAAAGCTGAATCAAAATCTTACTTCAGCAGTATTCAAAACAACGTAAAGTTCGATTTTACTCTTCAAATTACTGGGGAAATACATTTAAGGAATCATTGTTTTCCTTTGTACATACAACTTGATACCGAACAGACATGACAGACAAAGCATTGCTCCATTTCAAAACCCCTCCCTGTTTCTAGACACACAGCACACACCACACAGCACTGCTTAAAATTTAACCCCATCAGTCCCTTCCCACTACACCCATTCCATCCCTATTTGACAACAGAGAACACACACACACAATTGTACACAAACATTGTCAATAATACATCAAGGAATTCCCCTCTGTTTTCATGTTTTTACAAGACAAAAACCACCAACGTGAATGAATAGACCAACGCACGCCCGACACGCCGCACACAGATAAACATGTCATGTAGAATTTGCGCCATGGTTTTCCACCTTTTATTCGAAATGAAACACAACCCGAAACGATTTCACATTCATCAAACAGTCCCCAAAAGACACCTCAAACAACATCTTTATTCCCTTCACCGCGGTCGAACATCCATGTGGCAATCTCCGCGCACATCTATAGAATACCCCAGTCACAGAAAGAACCCCCATTTGGAGCCAACTTGGACGTAAAATGCTAAACCCGGGGAAGGCAAGGTGCGGGAATTCCGAGTGCAAAATAATCTTACCTTCGTCAAACCACCCCAAGCCACGACTTTGCTGTACAACAGATATAAATCCAATTCTTTGCCAGCAATTGTCGGCAAACGAAAGAACGGTGTCCTAAACAGACAAAAGAGAAAGAAAACAACACACATTGAAGAAGAGTGAACTTGTGGAGAACAATGGCATTGAAAAAAAGTTAGTCCCGAAATAAAGAATTGAAATGGAGACCGAAGTCGGGAGGATAGAGTTCTTTTCGGATTTACCCTTTCGATGCGTGAAACTGACGAAGCTGGTTGACGAATGCTGTACGCTCTTGCTCGTAACTGAACGGATCTTTATCCAGGAATTTCGCCATAATGTTGCCCCATGTACTCTCCAACTTCAGCACCTTTTCGAGAATGAGTTCTGTTAGGTCATCTGTTAATGAATTTCCTGTATGCCAAGTGGCGCATCAGTTTAAATTTCCAACACCAATCTTGGCCACAGGAGCTCCGTTCATGACAAAAAAATCAACTTCTCATATGCACGCTGTATGTTACTCCTTGTTGTTAAACCGCTAGCAAAGGCTATTTTCAACTCGCAATTTTTCCCCCTTTTCCGCCGATTTCCTCAAAATTTTGCCGCGGGGATCAAAGGACAGTCCCTCCGCTCACCGACGGGCCGGTCAATTTCAAATTCAGAAGACGCTTGGTGATGGAAAATAGCCCACGTAGTAGAGTTCAACTGTGTGAAGGAAAAGCGGTCCGAGAAATCCGTAACAAAAAGGACATAAATGAACATGCCGAAAATAGCAATGGCGCTATGAGGGGGTGCTGCAATTGAGAATGCGCCGAGCCACTCCAGCAAATATGGCGGCGCCCTGGATATGCAAATTAGATATGGAGCGCCAAATTACAAAACTATTTTTGTATGATGTTTGTTTCAGTGTTTTGAACGTACGTGTATTTGGGTAATGGTTCAAAGTACTGCATACACAATCCCCAGTGATACTTGATTGAATCTGCACAAAATAATTGGGAAAATACTTGAAACAAGAATAAATCTTGAAACAAGAGGAACAATTAAGTAACAGACGTATTATAAAGAAAAGATAATCATTCAATCGGGCAGATGAATACTGTAATGGGGAAAATGGTCTAATAAAAATTGGCACAAATATTAAAAAGAAAATTGAAACATAATTAAAAGCGTTCTTTGCCTTTCAAGAACGAATTCGATCAAATCACAGAGTTCAAGAGAAAAGAATACAAGAAATAAAGAACTTTATCCATAAATTGTATATTCTGTCTTTTGTGCCACATCTCAATAATTATGAATCGATATTGGAACGAATCATATAAAATGACAGACATTATCGAAATTTAACTCCAATCGACTGACCATTTATTTAAAGAAAGACAGAAAAAGATCTGAACATTGGATATTCAAATACATGTTGTGTTGATCCTCCGGTTGGCCCCTTTTTCTCTAAAGGTGAGTTAATCGGCGATTTTTTATCAGCCCCACACCAGGAAAATATCTCCCTGTCGCCAACAAATTTTGGGAAATACCCATTCAAAACCGAAGCAGCACATTATGGCGCAATTCAAATAATTAAGCTCGAGTCGTGGATATCCCCGTCACCATGAACGAATAACATCTTTACTTTCAAAAGGCCATGCGTTGAGGGTGGAGTTAGCTCCATGGTTCGACAGTCATTCGTAAATCTTTTGTGCATTAATTGTCCGGGTAGTTTAATAAAATCACCCCGATTAAGAAACCTGGAACGTTCTTGCTTCCAGGTCTACATGTACATAATGACTTTCAAATCTTTTATTTCTGATTGAAGAAAATGGGACTTAATTTCTGGGGAGTGCTCATTTTCGCAATTCCAAATTTCCTCATTATACATTAAAATTATTGAAATGAAACAAACGTAAACTGCACACAATGTTCGTTGATAGGACATGTGTGTGCGAGGCACTCATGCATAACCACTTCTTATGCAAATTTTACGCACGTGCTTTCCACCGGTAGTAAACAAACCACGATGAATCGCCATGTGGCCATGTGTGCGCCCACCACGTACGAATACACATACATGTACAAGTTCGTGAATGATGCTGTGGACCTTGTGATTTTTGTATGGGGGAGATCTTCCCACTACATGCTGTGTGATTCGAAGTTGGCGCTTTGAATAGAAGGGGGGTTTCCACGTGTGTTGGGCACTTGCACTACACGATCACCGTAATAATAAATCCAGCTGAGCTAGCTAGCTGTCATCGTCGCAGTTCATCAGTAGTCGTCACGTGTGGTACACTTGTGCGCGCTCTAGGTTTGATCGCAAATTCGATCGCAAGATCAAGACCGGCCGACTCAAGTTAATTCCATCACGGGCTGTCCGTGATTCCATCCGGCTACTGCCTTCTCACGCTCCAGAGAGGACTTGGCGAGGATATAGGCCCTACTCTCTTCCCACCGCCTGTGTTGATACTCAGCTTGCTGATCGATCGAGTTTCAGAAAGAGTCCTGTTGTCCCACCAAGATGGCTCGATTTTCGGTTCTCTGCAGTGTCCTCGTATTTTTGGCTCTGTTCAGCCGCGGAGATGCGTGGTTGGAATGGTTATGGAGCTGGAACTCCAGCGAGGCACCCGATCCGGACGTCATGAGAAACGCGGTAAGCTTCAGTGATACCAGCTTCAGTGATCATCAACTTGTTTATTTGATTGAAATCTTTCACTTCTTAACTTTTCTGTATAGTTAGTACAGTATTAACATGATTAACATGATTAATATTGATCATGATCATGGTGAATATTTGTCAACATAGTTAATAGGCCCTACGGTTCCCTGTCATGCTTGAAGTGTCATAGTTCCATGTCATAGTGTTACGATGTTTGAACATGTTGCGTTACAATAACTTTGGATAACATGGTGCATGATGAAATTTAAAGAAAGGTTATCAGAAAAATCATAGATAGGAGTATTATGTATGAACTTAAGCACCGTCGGTGTGGTTGCAACAAAAGGGTTGTTTTCTCAGCGCGCCGTTGACATCTCACCCGTGTTCAATCATGTCAATCAGTCGCCATGGTCATTGATCATGTTGATTTTAAAACAAACTGACAAAAACTTCAAATCTTCAACAAATTGGTCAAGTTGGTCAAATCTGCGATGAGATCTCGTGGCATAACATGCATAAGCTCACCAAATAGGCATCCCAGGCATGCCAGGCCCATTCATCATGTTCATGTGATTGTGCCTTATGTGTTTCCCCTTCAAAATCTATCTTGAGGGACTCACATCCTTTTTTTGGTAATCCTTACTTTTAGGACACCTCTATTTTTTACGAGTTCTGTTCAAAACTGACTTTTGCAGATGACTGTCCAGTACCAATGTGACTTTTGCAGGCTAAAGCAGTCCTTTTTCTTCATATAAACTCATGTTAGTTGTAATTTTGAAAGCACTTTCAAAGAAAATGTGACTTTCCTACCTTTTTTCGCAGTCAGACGTGCATGTTGTAGTTCTCACACGTGTGAAAGCCCTACATAATGAAAGCCCGATGCTGATTGGCTGCTAAAATAAATAAATAAGATGTTTATTTTTTATCAGCCAATCAGCATCGAGCTTTCATCGCATTGAGCTTTCAGGTTTGCCATCTTGGTTTTTGAGTCTGTTTTCTGGTTGTCATCTTCGTCTTTTACCCCTGAATTTCCCTCATAAATCAAAGCCCTGCCCTCTTTCCACATCCTGCTGATATTCAAGAAGGTGTCATTGCCAATTGTTCAGATGTGCCAAGAAATATCAGAATGTCAATTTTGAGTGTCATTTAGTCAACTGTTTTGGTGAGTCTTTCCCTTCCTATATAGGAATGGGGTCCTAAAAGTAAGGATTACCCTTTTTTTGATAGACCATGACTTTTAACATGACTAATCTTTATCCTTTTTGGAAATCTCAGGCATGCAACTTAGAACATTAGAAGTAACAAAAAAGTGGAAACTCCAAACCTTACAAGACTCTGTATACTGTTTTTCAATTTAATTCAAGTGTGAAGTGAAAAATGAGTGAATCAGCTGATCTGAGGAAAAGTTGCATGACTGAAATTTAATTTCGAAATGTTTATGCAAATCAAAAAGTACCCTTCCATACTTCTGCTGAGTAGATTTCCAATATTGTTGCTGAACATGGAACTTGGAAGTGGAGCTCAACTGTTATAACTTTTGGCGTCATTTTGTTTTTCCCCTTTTTAGAGTGTGATCAGGGTTCAAGGCATAACGGTTTAGAAGAAAGGATTGATAGATTAAGGGAAATGTTGTATTTTCAATTCTTTGGATTCATTTTGTTCCCTGCCTTTTGGATGGAGGGCGGGAGGCCAGAATTACATGAAAGACTGTGGAACAATATAGTTGTGAAATTGCTTGCTAGCCCCCTGTTGGGTCCTAGTTGTAAACATTGGGAATTAATCTGTTGGAATTCACTTAACAAGCCTCTTGATAGACACCTGTTAAAGGAATTCAGCTGGTTCTATCTTGCTTAAATTTTACCCCCTCCTGAGTAGCCTTAAGGGTCACAAGTGAAGGTCCACTTTACCAAGGATTGGGCGGTACCATGATGTGTGAAGTTAAAACTTTCTTGGATTATACCACTGAGAGCAAGAAACAGTTGTTCTATGTGGCAGATGCAGGACATTATTGCGTTTTAACAAAATAACCCTCTAAAATAGGTTGTACAATAATAACATTCAATGTAGTTGAACTAGAATATTTTTTATACCTAAACTTAAAAACCAAAAACAAACCTCTTTTGCCAAACCACCAAAGTCATTGGTAAGACCAAAAGGTCCACACAGCTAGTGTTTTGCATGAAATAAGGAGAACCATTTCATGAACTGTTTTTATTTGTGGATATCATCTTTGCATATGTCTCAACTTTCACGCTTAAGTTGGCTAGCTGTTTTGATGCTTCAGTACCCAAGAATATTTGGTATGAAGAACATCTGCTAGTTTAGTCCTAAGTACAACCGTAGGATCGGATTCCTTAAATAGCCAATCAAAACACTAATTTGGCATTCTTGCAATTCCTTTCTTGTAGTTTCATATGCAATTAATTACTCTGCAGAGGGAGTGTATTTACCTACTTTATTTCAAGGCCAAACCTGTTAGTGTGAGGATCAGTTACATTTAAATATATTTTTTCAAGTTAAGATGTACCCGCTACGCAAGTCTTGGAAACATGTATCAAATTGTTCATTTGTCCCAAAGAGCAATTTGCCTGACCAAGTAATCTGTGTAAATTTGATTTTAATTCAAAGTAAATCAAAGTATTTATCTGTTTTTAAACATAGCATGCAGTCAACATTAACAAGAACAAGTGCTTTTCTTTTTTTCCATGATTTTTATCATTTTTTATTTTGTGACTGAAATGGTGGAATAATTATTGCAATGCTCCCCATGCCTACATTCACCTATGTGTAATTTGCAAATGGCAATAAAAATGTATCAAACAAAAACACAGAAAATGTGCTTTTATCTAAATGTTTCACTAAGAAAGTGTTTTCCAACAAATTCAACAAAGTTGACAGTTAAAAAAAATACACTGAAACAAAAGACACGCACAGGAGTTGGTAAAGAGACACAATAAGTTCTTTTTCCTCTGTTTCTATTTCTTTAAGGAGATTTTTTTGTCAGCCACCTTTAATAAATAAAAGAAGCAGAGCAGGTGCAAAGATGGGAACTCCCCTTGAGAGTTCTCAGTAAGAATAACAAACTTTGGAGACCCACAGTGGGCCAATTGCCCTGAAGTTAGGGTGGGCATCAACATGCAGGGACCTTGCCCCCAATCTGTAAAATGCAAGTTAAAGGGAATATTCATCATTTGCTTTTGCTGTAATTTTCAAAAATGGATGGATTTGGGGGGTTGGTAACTTACTTTTTTGACGTTTTGGGTTCGTAGATGCTTTAAAGACCAAGAAAAACAATCGTTTTCCTGTAGTCTGGTTCCCTGACTCCATTTAAGATGAAACAGCAATTTTATAGACGTTGGGAAATTGTAAGGCCAGGGAACCAGTATCTAGCTGGCTTGTACCTGTCATAGGTGTGTAATCGATTGCAAACAAATGCGGACTAAATATGGTCAATTGGGGCCAGTATTTGAAAAAAAGCCAGTGTTTTTCCAACGCTGGTCGGCCGACCAGCGTTGGAAATTGATACGAAAGTACCCCTTTTCTTGAAAATGACAGTATACTAGGTGCCATGATTTTACAGGATGCTTTAGACTGTCATTCACCAACAGTCCAGCCAGGTATTTCAAATTAATTTGGTAGTTTTATTTTTTGATGTTTGCAAAAATTGCAAATGTTGTATTTTCCCTTTAAAGAGAAGATACAACATTTTGAAACATCAAAAAACAAAATGATCAAATTATCACAAAACATCTTACTGAATTGTTACGGAATGACACTCTAAAGCATTCTGAAAAAATTGTTGCTCCTGGTGTGCTGACATTTGTAAGAATTTTAACTTGAATTTTTCCAATGCTGGTCGGCCGACCAGTGTTGGAGAAAACTTTTTTTCTTCAAAAAAGTGCTCCTAATTTTTCATATTAAGTTATTCCACATTTTCATTGCAATTGATTACACACCTGTGAAGGGGTACAATCCTGCTAGACTGATCCTCTACCTTACAATTCCCCGACATCTATAAATTGCTCAGTTTCATCTTATGTGGGTTCAGGGAACCAGACTACAAGAACATGGTTGGTTTTCTTGGACTTTACAGCATCTCCGAACCCAAAACGTGAAACAAGTCAGTTTACTTTAACAATATTTGCTACAATATTCTAATCCTCCAAATCCATTTGTTTCTGAAAATTGCAGCAAAAGCAAATGTTGTACATTCCCTTTAAAAGTCAATGGATTTCACCAAGGACAGAGGGAAAAGTGTTGTGTTTATCATGTTTATATCAGAAGTGCCCTTTGGTACCATTCTTAAAGAACAAGGACAAGTCAGATCTTGCCAGCCCAAAAGTACAGTGCCTTAGCCTTAGCTGATACAAATCGTCAAAACATAAGGTAAAGATATTTAACAATCTTCACTTGCTTGTAAGTTCAAGGTATTTTGATTACAAATTCAGACCTCCATGGTGCAAATCATCATCCTCAATATTAAACACCGTGATTGTAAAGGATTTGTATTTAAAACGGTCCTTATTTGGTTCACCATTTCAGTGAAACACAAAGTGAAAGTGCTGGGCCTGCCTTGCCAATAAAGTTTAGTATTTTCTTTTGTGTAATTTTTTTTCATACCAGTTATATCAAACCAAGGTTTTGATGTGGTTTTTGTGATTCATCTTCAACAGAGTGAGCTGATCACAAGTAAAGGTTATCCGTGTGAAAGGCACTTCGTGACCACCGCCGATGGCTTCATTCTGGGCCTGCAGCGCATCCCGCACGGCCGCAACGAAACTGGTGTCCACTCGTCAACCGCCCAGGCAATCAACGCCACTGAGCCATCAACCAACACCACCAAGCGCCCTGTGGTCTTCCTGCAGCATGGCCTGCTCTGCTCCTCCACCAATTGGTTGACCAACCTGGCCAATCAGAGCTTTGCGTACATCCTGGCCGATGCGGGATTCGACGTGTGGCTGGGCAACGTCAGGGGCAATGTCTACTCTATGGGGAACACCCACCTGAGTTCTGACTCGAATGAGTTCTGGGATTGGAGGTTTGTCAGAAAAGGGCCAACTGCCTTGCTTATTACTTCCTGTACCACCTGAAACCACCTGAGCTCTCTGTGGTTTTATGAATTCTTTACAGAATAAATACAATGTATAATGTAAAACAACATAATGTGCTTATGGGTTAAAGGTATAGTCCATCATTTGTAATTGTGCATTTTGTTCGTTTGAAACAACAACAGTTCTCAAGATCTAAAGAAGGGTGCTGAACAACTAACCTGATGAAGTTTCAGCTCAGCTTTAGCTGTATATTTCGAGAAAAACAACATTCTAGGATCTCGATTCAAATCAAAAGTTGCTGAATCATGTTTTGAATTGGGCCTGAATTCAGCCTCGTCCGATACACGTTCTCACTGAGCCCATTGCAGCTACGCGATGTCGCGCACTGATCCTACGAATTATAACAACCGCGCGCGCGTGTGCGTTGTGCCAATGCTTGCGCGCGCTTCGCCGAATAACAAAACGAAATACTAATTTGAATTTCCTACGGTGCTTCTTAGAAGCACCGTTGGAAATACCTTCTTTTGTTGATTTCTTCAAAATGACAGCTTGCCAGAAAGAATAATTTCACAGGGAGTTTAGTCCCCTAACTATCTTTCAACCAAGTATGTTTTTCAACAATAACTACGCCAGTTACTTTTTGGATAGCTGCAAATGGTGGACTCTGGCTTTAAATGAAAGACACTGAAAATGGTTAGAAGTGACACATTGAGAAGTGTAAATGAAATCAGGAAGGACTGACTGACAGTGGCTTCTTCTCGACAGCATATGAGGATACTGGCCCATAGGCTGCATGGTTTGCTGGTTGTAAGAGTTAATTGGAGTCTTATTAGCTGAAAGGCTAGGCCTGCTGTATGTCACATGACTAGTACAGTTTGTAAATGTTTGGTTGCAACTGGTCTCTGTTTGGTATAAACTATACCGGCACTGGCAAGCTGATTTGCACTTGCACAGTATTAGTACCGTGCCAGTAAAGCCCAAACAGCTGATCAGTTGGCAAGATGCAAAGATGGTTTATATTGGGTGGCTGCCTGTCACACCATCATTTTTTGGGGAAAATAAACCTAACCATGCTCACTTCAACAAGATTCTGCATGATTCAAATGAACCTTGAGCCAGGGTTAGGGCTACTGCTTTCCTATATTATCTGATTGGATAGTTCAATAGTTCAATGGTCATCTGGTGAACAGCATAAAAGCACATCTGAATATTATTTAGCCTGTCAGCATTCCTAATGGCCTCTAGCATAGCAGGCAACCACTTTAAAATGAAGAGATGATGAATGGTAGGCCTAACTGTTTGATTTGTTTACCAACTGGCTAGGTACATGCACTTTCATGGCCTCTGTAGAATTTTGAGTTTATTAACCTTGGCCCTATTTCTCTGAACTGCTTAGGAGATAAATATTATTCAGCAAATTTGTGCACAAAGCAAAAATCAATGGAAATCAGGCGCTAGCATGATACCACCCAGGCCGTTAGGCTGGTCATCACCTGGTTTTGCTCAGGAGCACATTAGAATTAAGGACCATGAAATTGGCTGCACTGGCATTAACGGCTCTTCATAAATACCTCGGACAGTTTAGCTATTCCTATTGGTCGAGAGCCCGTCACGTGGCCGGTCTTAAACGGATGATAAAGAAATGGCTACATGTAGCTGGTCTTAAACACTTTTCCAGTGTCACAATAAAATGTGGACTCCTAAAAATCCAGTGCCTCTTACCGTTTCATTGGTTGAACGTTCACAATCCTCACGTAGGCATGCTCAACACTACCAGCGAGTCAGAATTTTATAGTTCTAAATTCAAAACGCAACGCCCCAGGTGCGTTCTGCGCGACATCGCGCAGAACATGCTACGCGCGCGTCAATCTCCATAAAAGGGTTGTTTACATCTTACTCTCCAGCTGAACACTCCATTATTTTGCTAGAGGGATTTTTCAAAAAGCATGCAGTGAACTTGTTCAACAAAATCGGGATTTTGTGAACGAATTATTTGATATTTTGTACCGAAAAGGTATTTATGAATGGGAATAAATATGTGCTCGGTCGGTATTTATCACTCTGTTTAATACCGCTTAGAGTCTGGGTGCTGATAATTACCCTTGCCTCCGGCTCGGGTAATTATCAGCACCCAGACTCTAAGCGGTATTAAACCCTCGCCTCCGGCTCGGGTAATTATCAGCACCCAGACTCTAAGCGGTATTAAACAGAGTGATAAAAACCTCCGGAGCACACATTTATTCCCTTACAAGCTGATTTACCCGATCATAGATCGGGTAGGGCTCATTTGTGTTGGGGTTGAAAGTGTGGGGAGTTAAATGTAAATGGGGGATTTAGTTGAGAAGACATGTAGCTATAGAAAAGCAATTTACGGTGACGCGATCTGAGGCAATTTCTGACCACGTACGATAGTAAAACAAAAGATCATCTTTTAAACATCATTTTCGAGTTTGGAGTCATTGAATCAGCTGTTCTGAGCAAAAGAATATTATAGTGGGCTACAATTTTTATTCGGGGAAGAAAAAGTGGGGGTAGGGAACCAAACGATATTGCCCGCTTTAAAATGTTGGGGTGGGGGTCCCCCGTCCCCCACCGATTGACGCCGCGCCCATGATAATTATGTACCATGGCATGCATAACTGTCTGTAAATTTTCCCGTTGGTCTGTTAAATTGCATTTTGTGAGGCAGTCGCGTTTGTTAATGTGGGAAAACTGAGTTGAAAGACTTACCGTATAGTACACAGGCGAAGGCTGATTGTACTGTTTTGACAATAAATCATAATGGAATAAAACGTGAAGGTGGCATTTGCAATGAAAATGTTGAGTGTGTTACCATAAAATTACATAGTCTGAATCATGGAGGAAGGTCATTATGAAGGTACAGTATTGAACTCTTCAACAAACGTAAACTTGAACTTCTTACAATTTGCGAGACCTGCGAGGAAAAAGTCGATTTAACTATTTTATTCAAGTTGGCATGGTTCAACCATAATATAAGCAAGGCCAAACAGCCAACAACCGCCAATATTATTATTTATGCACTCTTCGTTATTCCAACCCAACATAGTTCAAAGATCACAATATTTGAAGCAATGCATCGATCCCTCGTTGATTTACCCGATCATAGATCGGGTAGGGCGTAGAGTTGGGGATGAAAATGTGGGGAGATGAATGTAATTGGGGGATTTAGTTGAGAAGAAATGCAGTTATAGAAAAGCAATTTCTGTGGTGCGATCTGAGGCAATTTCTGACCACTAAAACAATTTTTTTTTTTTAGCAAAAGATCATCTTTTAAATATCATTTTCGAGTTTGGTGTCATTGAATCAGCTATTCTGAGTAATAGAATCATTATACATGTAGTAGCTACAATTTTTATTCGGGGAAGAAAAGTGGGGGGAGGGGACCAAAACAGTGTCCACCGCTTTAAAATGGGGGGGGGGGGGGTGGAGGGGTTCCCCGTCCCCCACCGATTGACGCCCATGATAATTGTGTACCATGGCAACAGTCTGTAAATGTTCCCGTTGGTCTGTTAAATTGGCATTTTGTGAGGCAGTGGCATTTGTGAGAAAACGTACTTGAAAGGCTTGCCGTAGTACACAGGCGAAGGCTGATTAGGAAGGTCATAATTAAGTTTCAGTATATTGGGCTCTTCAACAAACGTAAACTTGAACTTCTTACAATTTGCGAGACTGTCTGCGAGGAAAAAGTCGAGTCAACTGTTATTCAACTTGGGTCAACCATCTATATAAGAGCAAATTTTACTCGGCCTCCGAGAAATGTTTGCTCCCGAAACGATCTGAGACCGCGGTCTTTCGTGAGGCCAAATCGCTCCACGTCCGTGGAAAAATGTGGAGGGTGTCTTCCGCCGGATCGGACACATTTTCGTCGATTTTTTGTGTGACTGCGTTTAAGATCGCTGTTGAGGCCAGTCTTCTGCGCGCTTCTGGTTTGCGTACTGCGCGCACTTACGCGTTCTTAATCAGTTTCAAATGTTACGCGTGGCAAGTACTTGTTTCAGTTCGTTCGCCGCGCAGAACTCTCAGACCCAAGTCACAACGGGGTGTGCAGGTGTACTAGGGGCTGGGGCGAATTTGCACGCATCTGGCAGTCCTCGAATGGCTATCGTACCCGTCTTAGTAAAGGCATCTTCAAGTCATGAATGCATTGCCACGTACGCATTTCTAGACAACGGATGTGGAGCAGTTTTCGCAGAGAGCGAGATTTGCAGAGCACTGAAGGTGAGAACAAGGAAGAGAAGTATAATACTGAAAACCTTGAATTCAGAAGAAGTTGTCGACTCTGCTATCGTGATAGATAGACTCCAGTTGGGAGGGATGATAGAGGAGAACAGCTTCATCGACCTACCTGATGTGTATGTCAAGAATGACATTCCTGTGTCGCCAGAAGACATGGTAACGAAAGATGATCTGCAGGGATGGACCCACCTGTCACACATACAACTACCACAACTGTGCAGCCCAGCGATTCCAAGGGTAACCCTAATCATAGGTATGAACGTACCAGCTGCTACAACACCAATTGAGGTCATCAGAGGCAACTCGGGAGATCCTTATGGTGTTAAGACCCCTGTGGGATGGGTCATCTATGGAGTGCCCGGCAGACCGAAATCCCAACTTGATGCGAACTACATCAACGTACTAGATGGCTTGACCAACCTGGAAGATCAATACAAGCACTACATGAACTTAGACTTCAATGAAAGGTTGGGCGAAAGCCAAGATGAAAGTGCACTGTCAAAGGAAGACATGCCCTTCTTAGACATTGTCAAAGAAACTACAGAGTTTCAAGGCGGTCACTATCAGATGGCACTACCACTACAGCGACCCACAGTAAGAATGCCTGACAACCGCTCGCTGGCAGAAAAGAGAGCTGTTCAACTGAAGCGGAAGTTCGATAAGAACCAAGAGTTCAAAGAGAAATATGTGCAAGCTATGGAAGATACCATAGGCAAGGGTTATGTTGAAA